GATAATTATTACCAATGATCAAGATTTAGTTAATCAATCTGTTAATCATCATGATAAGTTATCAAAAGTGTTGATTTGTCTTTGAAAAGTTTGTTATATGTTTGAGGAAGTTACAAATTTTTTTTCAATTTGATTTGATTTAAATCTGATTAAAACTAATTTGATTAATATTTACATCAGCCTGTGATGATGATGATGATGATGATGATGATGAGATTCAATCAAGATGAGGGTTTATGATGATCATTATTATTTAATTGCCCTCAAGGGGTTCGCTTTGATTTAAACTGATGCAACATGTTGATAAATCAAATGAAAGAGTTAATCACCAATGAGATTAAACAATTAAATCCTAGATTAAAGATTGAAGATAAATCATCTCAATAGTTGATTAATCAAACTGTTGATTAGTTGAGGGAAAAGTATTAAAATAAATAAGAGATTAGGTGAAAATCTTCAGGTCAAAGTGGACAAAGGTCAGTAGATGAAACGAATCAGCTGAATTGGAAAAGAATTGGGAAAAATGAGGTATCAGTGAGAGAGATTAGAAGATATCAAAGATCGTGAGGTGGGTGAGAGAGAGAGAGAGAGCAATTTGACAGAGAAAAGGAAGATGAGAGAGCTCATAAAGTAGGTGGAGATAAATTTCCAGGGAGGAAGAGAGAATGAAGAATCATGGTGGATAATGATGATTCCATGAAATTATCTTGTTATGATTTAAATTTCTTGATTTTTTAAGAATGATAATTATCAAGGTAAGAAGATTACAAGGAGAAATTAAAACTTACACTTCCTAGTCCTCCCCCCTTTCATTAAGCTGTCAATCACAATTAACTTAATTAAGTCAAATGAGTAAAGGTAAAAAAAGTAAATTGAACCTGGCAAATAGTAAATTAAGAAACAACTAATCAAATCAAATTAACAAATTGAATAAGTTCATTAGCAAAAAGAGAAAGAAAAAAAAAAGTTTTATCCAAAGTTTTGTTTTCTGATATTCATTGACAAAGACAAACACATTATAATATACACTTGGAGACTGGTCAAGCCCAAACAATTGACCAACATTGTAGCATATTAGACATGGACAAGAAAGGAGGATAATGATGATAATTTGTCTAACTATTAATCATTTTGATAACAATCCAGGTAAATATTAATGATGATGAAACTTGTCTATTGGCAATGTTACTCTCCAATCCTCTTCATCTCTTCTGACCAAAACCCCGGAGGGTTTTCTGTAAATATTAACATATTTATTATGATTTTTTTATCTTCTTATACATATATACAGTCTGGCACATTATGATGATAATATATTAGTTTAATTCAGTGAGAGAGAAAGTGAAGAAGAAAAAAATTCTGAAAAGAAATAAATAAATTCGTGACTGAATCATGTTCACCAGGTAAATCACTGAATACTTTTTGATATCTATTCAGGGCTAAACGTCAATGATTTTTTTCCTGCTCTTCACAAAACAAACCTTTATCATCATCATCATTAGAATGATGATTTCAATGGAGTTTTGGAGCTTTTTTTCTTGAAAATTTCCTCAAATAAGAAATATCAGAATTCTGAATAATCATGATAATGATAATAATACAATGATAATAATAGGTAACCTTCTGAGTGGGAAATGCCTTTCACTTTTTATGTAAGAATAACTTTTTTATTTTTTTTTCCATGTGTGATGTTGTGAATGAAACAACAATTTAAACTGTAATCATATAATAATCTTAATAATAGTAATGATGATTAGGATGATGATGATGATGGTGATGGTGATGGTGATGATAGAGATTTTCAGAAATTCATTGACGTTTAACCCTGAATGAAGGTTGAGAAAAGTTCCAGTGATTTACCTGAGATTGAACATGAATCAGTCACGAGTTTTATCATTTTCCTTTTTTCTTTCAAACTTTCTCCGATAATTAAACTAATTGTTATTACTATTATTTGAAAATTTCTCTCGATAATATGATATTTATTGGATAAAAAGAAAAGAGAAACTTTTTCTTCTTCTATTAATAATATTCTTGGGAACAAGTTGATCGATGGGGTTAAAAGTTAATCTCAATCTTCACTTAATCCATTAATTTCTCATTCTTTTTACTTTTTTTTTCTTCTCACTTTTTAACTTCAATTCTAATCTCGTTATTAATGATTTTTTTATTCTTCATCTTTGTTTTTACTCATTCTCTTAATCAATCTGTATATATGAATCTTTCTCTCTCTCTCAGTTTAATTAATAAATGATGATCATCTTTGATCGCTGGGCATATATTTCAGATGAATTTAGATTGATCCGCTTTTTTTTCCTGGTTCATTGAGGTTTCACCATGAAGATGAGCCTTAATTATGTGAATTAAGTGAATGAGCGATGAAACATTGACATTGAATCTCAATTCCTACTCAATTTGATTCTTATTTGTTTCTCATAAATTTGATTCTTTCAACTTTATTATTATTCTGAGATAATCATGATGATGATGATGATGATGATGATTAGACTGATATTTCATGGAAGGTACAAATTTAGATCCATTTTAGCTTCCTGATTTGAATCAAATTCAAAATGGTTTCATATTCCGGGCCTGAGTTTAATTATTTGCATGTTGATAGATTTAAATTCATTTCAATTGATTCAACTTGAAAGGTGATCAATCAACAGAAACATGAATAATATGAAAGGGAAATAATTTTGTTTCTGGTTTAATTTTTGAGAGATTTTCTTAATTGTAGATTGTCATGGGTTTCATTTAATTGCTATTACCGTAATAGAGGAGGTTTAATTATCTATCTCAATGTTTAATCAACATGGGGAGCAACTAAATCAACGGTGAAATGATTAACAAATTAGTCGCAACGGTTATTTCAACTTTTCTCTTGGATTGTTTTAATTTAGTTGATCGGATTAATTTTTTTTTGTTTCAATTTTCGTTAATCAACTGATTGGTTAGTTTACCTTTTCATCATTTAGTGACATTTATTGTGATTTGGATTTAATCATGAACTGGACAATCGAGTTAATTGATTAAGGCAATAAATATCAACTAATTAATGGTTGAGTTTAATTGGGAAATTAAATTTATGGTGAAAATCATAAATTATCATCAAGTTTTTATAATCAGTGTTAATTATGTAATGATTAAGGCTTGGGTCATCTTACTGAGAAAATCAGTTGATTGTATATTAGATAGAAATTAGTTACAACAATTAGAATGATCTTAATTGTAATTGGTCAATCAAATTTTGTCTGTGAAGAAAATAAATTGATTTAATTACTGATCATTTCTATTGGTTTTGATGACATGAAATTGTCTTGATTAGTTGATTGTTTGTGTGCAACTTTTCAGATCAGTTGCAATTAATTTTGATTATCCCATAATTACTTTAATTGCTTATAGAAATAAAATTAAATTCCCACCGAATTGATTTCTCATGGAGCTTGGATCAAGTTAATTGCATATTATTGAAACAATTTATTTGAATATTACTTGAGTTCATCACAATATCAAGGATATTGATCATAAAGAAAAGGTAATAATTATCTAAATCATCAAGGCCTGGACTTGGCATCGTAAATGGTTAAGTTTGTTGATCATAATAAACACCGAGTGGAGGAAACTTGTGATTAGATGGTCACCTTGACCATTGGTCAGTTCTCTCTCTGATTTAATTTACTAATAGAATGAATCATTGGTAAGGTTTAAACGAATAAGAATTTCGTTTATTTCATCTTTAGATTTAATTTACTAATAGAATGAATCATTGGTAAGGTTTAAACGAATAAGAATTTCGTTTATTTCATCTTTAGAATCAATTGATCGATGATTTTAGATATTCTTCCGTTTCGAAATACTGAGAAACTAATAAGCACTTCGAGCACAATAATCAAGAGCATTTGAAGAAATTGTAATAAACGTCCTATTAAATTGATTCTTTGGACAATCACTGAAACTAAATCGTTAATCAATTGAACTCGATGAACTCCAACATGAGATTAAGTTAGAATTTCAGAAAGAAAAGAATCAATTGAACATGTAAATGATTTAAATTTTCTCACTGATCATTCAACTAACTTATTCTCGATTTCTGACAATCTAAATCAAAGTATTTTTAATCAATTGTCTAGTTGACGACAATGGTGATGATACAATGACGATTTAAACAAGTGATGGAATATGAATCGTTAGTGAATTAGAAAAAAACAGTTTGATCATCCAAATTTCAATAAACTAGAAGAAAAATTTTTGGGTTATCAACTAGTGAGAATATGTTAATAATAGGAATAAGAACAAATCTATTGATTGTTAATGAAGCAATCAAAATTAATTTTTGATTTAGCAGATAATTAGAACGCTACAAGTTCCATCTATGGAAAGAAAAACAAACTAATTCCAATTTCGCTGAGGAAATTATTAGACTTCAAGTTAAAAATCGTTATGATCTGTTGTCGAAACGATGAATTTCTTTATTAGAGAAGGAGAATCAAAGGTCATTTAAGGTCAAGGTAACTTTCAAAGAACATTTTCGCAAACGATCAGGCCAAGATTCCAAGTCTACATGATCGCGTCCGAGAAACTTGTGGCTTGAAAGATGAATAGAAGAGCGGATATTGAAAGGTCAAGGTCGTTAAGGCTTTTGGCAAACATCAATTTTGAAGGTCATTCGAACAAAGTTCACGAAAACGTACCTTCTAACTGCAAAAGTTTTGAGTCTCTTCGATTAAGCGATTTTCATTCAAATTTTTTCAACGAACCAATGGATCGGGTATCTGGATTCGAATTGTATCCAATCTTATGTATCTGATCTTTCTGATCTTTTCCTGGTGAATTTTCAACTTTTTCATGTTAATTTGATTTTCTAATTTAATTATCTCATTTTAAATTTTAATTTCTAATTTAATCTTAATTAGACTAATCCATGTTCGATCAGTAATAGGAATCAATTAGTTATTATTCAATTTGGAATTATAACAATTTATCAAAGATTCTTTTTTCTTTCTCTTTTTCTCTTTTCCTCCCTTTCAAATGTGTTTTTTTCTTTTCTCTTTTTCCATTGACCTGTCAATAATTGGCTTTTCTGATTAATTTCCTGTTTATTTTATTTCACTTCTTCTCTAATAGTGATTATTATTAATTCTATAAACTGATTCCCGATGTTTCAATTAATGGTTCTTCCTTTTTAAAACTAAAGAGCTTCTACTTGGTTACCCATCTACAGTTTTCCATTATTTTGTCACTTTATTTTCCCTCGCCCATTTTGTGTTAAGTGCTGCTGCCATTGGACCAGTTTTCAAATTCTTTTTCTCTTTCTTTTTCCTTTCTCTTCTCTTTCTCTCTTTATCCAACCTCTGATGGAACATTTTTATTTGGTTTGCATTTCGATTAATTGATTTCACTGGTTTTCCCGTTCGAGACTTGGTATCTTGATTTTTTTCCCTGGCATTTCGAGTTCTCCAAACTTGAGTGTTTACTGTTTTCTCTTTCCTTCTCTTTTTTTCCTTCTAATTCTGCACTTAACTGTGTTTATATTTCTAGTTTGGTATTTTTAGGTCATCTTTAAATTACTTCATACCCACCCACTTTCAGCCATTTTATCTTGCCTTCTCTCTCTTCTCTTCTATTTCTCTATCTTTTTCTATCTCTCTCTCTCTCTCTTTCCTGTCTTCCTTCCTTTCTATTTTTCTGTTTATCTTTCAAACTCTCCATCTTTTTCTAGCAACAACTTCTCTCTACTCTTTCTGTCTTTTTCTTTTTCTCTTTCTATCTCTCTCTCTCTCTCTCTCTCATCTTGATGCTTCTATTTTTCCCTCTATTCTTTTCTCCTTTATTTTCCACCATTATTTTTTTAGTGTCTTTTTCTTGTGTTCAAATTTATGTAATATTTTGACAATTATCTTTTTCTTGGTGGAAATGGTGAATTTACTTGCATTACTCTGGCTCGTCAAAGAGGCTGTGAAATGTAAATAACCAATTCTAATTACTCATATCACAGCCAGCTTTGATGATTTTGGTAAAATGCAATTCTCATCATCACCATTTCCTCCTAAATCTTGATTCTATCCATCCAACAAATCTCATATTTCAAAGGATCACATTGTTTACTTTTTTTCTCATTGTGCAGTTGATCAATTTTCTTTCAATTGATATTTTATCTTCTCTAAAGCTCATTGACCTGTTTACCTTTTTTTAGTCTTGACTTTAAACATTTTGATTAGTTGTAACTTTCTCTCTCTCTCTCTCTCTCTCTCTATGTTTCTCTGTTGGATAATATTTCTTAATTCACTGTCAGGGTTATCGATTAACCTTTACAACACTTTGTATCAACTGAAAATTTTACCAATGGAAATCCAACTGATCCAGTGAACTGTAATTCTGTTGATCTACAATATCAATATTCTCGATAGGAGGTTAGTTTTTTTCTTCCCTCTCCATTGAGATAAAATGAGCTGTTACAATGAGAAGATGATGGTCAATCGCCTCAAGGTCAGTATTACAAGAAATTAACCATTGATCATTTGATTACTTAGATCATTTATCAACTCGATTGGTTTGATTATACTTGAAAAGTTTTTCTTATTTGCAAATGAAACATTCAGATTTACTGTCAATGGATTTTGTTCAAGTGAATAATTTTTTAATCGCGATCATTGTTATCATGGTATTGATGTTAATCACTGGATTAGACGGATCATCGAAAGGATGCCATTTAAGGCCAGTTGTTCATGTACTAAATCGCCCTGGGTGTTTATCTAAACCCATTCCATCATTTGCTTGTCATGGTTCTTGTTCATCTTATGTTCAGGTAAGTTAATTGAGACTTTGAACTTTTTTTTCTTACTTCATGTGTCTCACATTTTCTCATGTTTATCATCTTGTTCAGATCTCGGGCTCTAAATTTTGGCAAGTTGAAAGGTCGTGTATGTGTTGCCAAGAAATGGGTGAAAGAGAGGCAACAATTGGTATTTTTTGTCCAAAAGAAACACCCAAAATTAGAAAGGTAAATTTTAATGATAATTAACAAGAATCAGTTTACTTTATTATCTTTTTTTCATAAACTCTTATTTAGATTATTACCAAAGCTCCTGTTGATTGTATGTGTAGACCTTGTACTGGTATTGATGGATCAACAATCAAGCCTCAAGAATTGATTAATTTGACCGAAGAATTGAAAAATATCGAGTAACATTTATCACTACAATCAACTCTTGCCGCAAGATTTAATCATATCCTAATTGGAATAATAATACACAAATGATCGGTGATAATTTGATGGATTAAGTTGAAAGATTATTAATTGCTCCAGCTATTTGTGTTGATTTGTATTCTAATTTGTCTAATTGATACAATTTTCTTACAATTAATCATCTTTTTTTTGTCAAGTCGATTTGTTGTTTACAATCAAACAAAATTTTTGATCAACTGATATCTTCAATTGGGTATGTTGATCATGGACAAACTGATTCAATCTAACGAAACATAATCACGATTTATAAATCAAATCAAATCATTAAATCATATTGTTGATTTTCTCAATCTTAATTGATATTTTCCCGTGTTTATAAACAATTAACGATTGATAATATCTACAAAATCAAAGTGAAAAATAGATTGAAAATTTAATACAATTTGAATTTGAGATTAAAATTAATTCAAGTGGATTAATGAAATCGAGGATAAACAAAATCACTTTTTACAACTTTCCAGATAAAAAAAATGTTGCAACAATTAACAAAGTAGAAAAAAAAATCAAGATTAAAAAGGTAAATTTATCAAATTAAGTCGACAGGTAATTTGATTGAAATGACGAAGCTGAGAAAGACGAACGGTCAACAATTAGGATAATCTAATGGACTCGATGGATTAATCATTGGGAGAGATAAATTTGCTGATCAGATCGTTAACAAGTTGAGGAGATTCGATATGAGCGTAATGTCCAATTCGAGGGATATTTTCAACTTCGACAGAGGAAAAGTATCTCTGAAGGATCGTCTTCGAACCCAATTTAGGACACAAAGTGGAATCTTTTTCGCCCCAAATGATCAACGTTGGATTAATTATTCGTATGGAGGGATCGGTACATTTTAGACAATCGATATTGGCTCGAAAATAGTTGAGGGCACATGTGACGGCCCCTGGTCGGGCGAAGGTGTATTTATATGCTTCCATTTCTTGATCGTTGAGCAGGGGAACGCCGATGGGTGAACGGAAGGTATTCTCGAGGAAGGCGAAATCTTTACTGAGGATAACAAATTCGGGCAGAAGATGAAGTTGGAAGAAGAAGATTTGCCAAGAGTAAAAGAATTGCTTCCAATCGGAGGTTAAAATTTCCGTGTAGAACTTTAATGGTGTCGAATTGATTAGAATTAATTTATCCACCATGGTTGGATTTTTCTCTGTGAAAAGGGTAACAATACAACCGCCGATATCGTGACCAATCAGAATCGCCTTTTCTTTTCCTAGAACTTGAATCAATCCTTTGATATCTTCCAGAATTGAATCAAATTCATAACTCTTCAAATAGGGTAACCGATCGGATTCATTGAAACCTCTCAGGTCCAAAGCGACGGTGAAAAAGTTGTCAAAATGAGGTAATTGGTTTCTCCAAGTGAACCAGAAATCGGGAAATCCATGAATGAAGAGTAACAGGTCATTTTTGGGATCGCCTTTGGCCACATAATGAAGATAAACATCCTAAGGTGGAAATGGACAAAAAAAAGTCGAACTTGAATATTGGAACGGAATCAATTGATCGAGAAAAGGAATAACAATCAAGCACTTACATCGACTTTCACTTTGGAATGTGAACCATAGATTGGATTTCGAAGACAATTGGGTTGACTGTCCCGTCGGCGAATTTGAAAATATTGTCGGCGATGCCGAATCATCGAAAAAAATGTGAAAATTAGAACAATGTAACCATAGAAAAGCGAAACCATGGCCAAGATCGATCGACGAATTAGTTCACGAAGGGAGATCCGAGTCATGGAAAAAGGAATCGGTATCATGGTTAATCGGTTTTTGGGTTAGCACTTTCGAAAAGTAATTAAAATCTATTAGAATCAAGAAGAGAATCAATTATTTGATTGAGAAGAATTAAAAATTTCTACATTTAAGGAGAGAAACACTTAAAGGAAGGTGATCTTTGATTCTCATTTTAATTGTTTGAGAACAACAAATTGAAAGCTCATTTCATTCATGATAATCTCTCATTTCATTAAAGTGAACTTTCAACTGAATTAATCAACAATGTGAATTAATTTTCTCAAACGATTAATTTAAGTAACTAAAGATGAAGATCTCAAGTCATTTGTTGTCCTCAAAGTAATTTAAACATTGAGAGAGGATGAAAAAAGTGTTACCTGATATGTGACCTGAGTTAATTAAAGAAAGAGACAATTGAAACAGCTAATCAATAATTACAATCATCAATTACAACAATTAGAAGCACTAAATTTGAATTGATTATAATCAAGGTTCCAAAAAATAAACAATTGCACCAAAACAACAACAGGAAAATCTTCAAGAGGCCAAGAGATTAACAAGAAGCAACAATGAGACGAGATTGTGATCGTTGATTGTTTGATTAAGGCACAGAAATCGTCTAATTAATGGAAACAATTAATTAGAATTGTGTAAAATGTGTTGACAATATGATGATGGAAACATAGGAAAAGACAAAAGGTAAAAAGGATTGACAAGGTTTTCACTTTGATTCCATTGATTGTTTACTAATTACAGGTGAACATTAGAACAGGTTAATTGTGGTAAACAATTAGATGGTTGATTGTTGATTGTTGATTAGAAGATGAGAACACATAATATAATCAATGGTGTTTTTTTGTTCTACAAAAATAAAAACAATTGAACAAAGAAACGCACATAAGGTAATGAGAGAATTGGAGGAAAATGTTGCACATTAAATTCTCGAAGGTTGTCAAGCAACTCTTTCTTTTTCTCTTCATTATCATCTCTTTTCTTTCTTTTTCTCTTTCTAATATAAATTCGTTTTCTTCTAAATTGTTACAAACTACCAATTAATTGAGAATTGAAAAGAATTTTTAAGAAATCAATTGAAAATGATTCACAATTAACAAAGAAAACAAGTTGAAATCGTTAACCAGTTTCTCTGTTTTTCTTTGAATGTTGTTGGAAAATCAGCTGATCGAGTAACCGAAAAGTAAACATTTGGTTTGATTGTTTTTCTTTGGAAATAATTTTTTCTTTGTTTAATTTAAATTGGAAAACAACAACAACAACAATTAATTAATCATTGGAACAAAGGTTTGTATCAAAAATAATTGGAATATATTAATTGTAATAAGTGGAAATATTGATTATCTATGTCAAGGAGATTCTAATTTTCTTGATTCTTTTCTCATGATGACAATTTAGTTTTTTTTTAATTCTGTATTTTAGATTTTGGGTTAATCATTTGATTTTTTTTTCCTCATTTGGTTCAGATTGGATTTTATTTTCTTCGTTTGATGAAACTGGCCTTTGGATAGTGGTGACCATTGTAATGGTGACGATGATGATGAGGATAATGGTGATTGTAACCTAAATGGTGAGGGTAATGAAGATGGTGATTGTAAGAGCCGTGATGACCATGGTGCCCGTGTCCGTGTCCGTGTCCATGTCCATGTCCGTGTCCATATGAACTGTGATGGTGTGGATGATGATGGTGACCTCCGTGGTCTAGGTAAATGATTGCATTCGACTTTTGTGGACTAGATTTGTGAAGGAAATGAAGGATCTCCCAACGACCTGATCGATTACCCGGAAGTACAACTTGACACCGAGCTTCAATATCCGATGGATAACCAGTGTGTTTAATATGAGAGCACTTAAAATGTGTCGGGGGAAGATGACTGTAAATTGGATGACGATGATCATATGAAGATGAAGCTGGATCATAGTATCGATGATCTATCATTTCAAACGAAATACAAAACAAAATGTTCATCAAATTAATTCCCTTCTCACTTGATTGATTTAAGGTACTTACCGTAACCATGATTGTAATGATGACGATAATCCCTTGGTGGGTGAGTTAAATCGTCGGCGACAAGTTCACCGTTAGTTGGTTCACCGGGGACATTTTCAATCGGAATCTCTTCAACATCACTTTCAATCGGATCTTCTGATAAAGTTTCCTCATCAATTGGTGTTTCGGTCACTTCCTCCGTCTCTGGGTCAACAAGTTCACCATTGACCATCGGGTCAACAGGTTCTGATGCTCCGTTACTATCAGGCCCAGCTAAATCATCAACACCTTCCTCAATCGGATCAACTGAATCCACTGAATCTACAACTCCGCCGTCGACAGCTTCACCTGTATTGGTTATCTCCGAGCCGGTTTCATCGACTACAATTAAAAACAATCTCGTCAAGTTAATTGGTCAAGTTGATTAGTTGGAAAAATTTTCATGACTATTACCTGATGGATAATAATGTCCATGGTGGTACTCAGGGTATCGATGATGATGATTACCGTAACTATGGTGAGGGTATCGATGGTGGTAATCACTTGGACCATAGTGGTGTCCATAATGGTGACCATTATGATGACCATTGTGATGACCATTGTGATGACCATAATGGTGATAAGGATGATGACCATGATGGTGATGATTGGAACGGAAATCATGATATGAATCTAAAAGTAAAGTTCCATCACGATTTGTTTCCGGTGTTGAGACTCGAAATGAATCAAACGATGCAGATGCTTTGGTTTCGTTTAATTGTTTCTCCAATTTCGATCCAGTTTGTTGATTATCATTCTGATTCCCTGATTGTGGTAACGTTAATCGCGGTTGATTTAATGATACAGCCTCAGAAATGGACAAAGACCAAGCCAAAGAAACTTTAAATTGTGAAAACATTGGAAACAAATATTAGGAAAACAATTAACCACTAAAAAAGAGATACAATTTAATCACAATTACCTGTTAAAACAGTTATACACGAGTTGATGTTCATCGTAACAATTAAAATTTCCAATATTTCAAATCGCAAAGGAATCACTTTGGTCAATCTATGTTGTTGATTGTTGGCTATTCAACTACAATTTAACTTTTTCCTCTTGATTGTGATTCATTTTATATACTCAGCAATTGGTCAGAAAGAATCAAATTAAAGGAGGATTCAAGATGAATCAATCAAAGGTCAATTATGGTTAATCAATATCTTAATTAACCTTTTACCAAATAATCAAAGACAAAGTCAAGTTTTCAATTGATGGAAAAAGTTTTCTTAATTGTTTACAATTAAACGAGAAAACTAATCAACAAATTTATTGGGCTGAACCGAGAAAAATGATTTACTTAAAATCATATTGTTTTCAATCAATTGTTGATTCTAATTGTTGAGTGAAAGTGAAACTCAAGCTGAGTTATTGTTAATTAACTTTTCCTATTTTGATAATTAACCAAATCAGTTGATAATCAAATCGATGGTAGTTAATTATTTCCGTTGTATTGGAAATATTAATTTGATTGACCTGATAACCTTGCTGATGATTAATTAAACTAGAAAACAATTAACCCCATTGAAAATCAGTGAAATTTAAAGATGATAATTTATCACAATTAAGGAGAAAGGTCAATGATTGACAATCTAATTGTCACTTACCAGACAAATTGATCATTTAATTTAAGACCATAATTTAGGCAAAGCAATTAACTTGCGACTAAATTTAATTGCTGTTAAAAAAAGGTTTATTTTAAACACAATTTAATTTCATGTAATTAAGTGTTTACCGTTATAATTAACAACAATTTCTTGCAAAAATGATCAATCAATTAAATTGCAAGCCAAGATATTTAAACTAATTGTTAGACAGAAAATAATCAATGACAAACAATTTAAATCAATTACAATAATCATCGATTGGAAACTAATAGCAAACAATTTAAATTATTAATATCTAATTGTCACTGATTCTCATCATAAATTATTTGATAAATATTAACTATTAATCCATTGATTGTTGATTAAATTTTCATTCTTAATCATAATTAACTTGATTAATGATTCCTTTCAATTATTTGATTACAATTTTCATATTTCATGGTGATTAACTTGTGCCTCTTGATTAACTAAGTTGCAAATCAAATTGTGTTATAATTTAATCAACAATTAACAAATTCAAGAGTTAATTTTGTACCTTTAATTGTAACTAAATCAGTTGATTGTTGGATTAAAAAACTAAAGTTTTCCCAAAGTTTAACACCTTTTAAATTGCTGGTTTACAATTTAAGCTCCAGTGATTAAGCCTTTAATCATATTATTAAAATGATTATTGTGTTGATTAAAGTGTTAATCATGATCCCGATGATTATGATCACTTTTTTAATTGTTACTATTAAATAAAGATTCAAATGTGATAATCATTATAAAAGTGATAATAATAGTTACGATAACGAAATATTTAGATTTCTGATTTGAATTCAATCAACCAGTTAACTTAATTGTTGTTAAATTGTTAAGAGACCAAAATCAGTTTCTATTGATAATCTTAATCATAATAATCTAAATTGTAATTAACTTGAATACATTAATCACTTTCATCTCATCTTCCGCACTTGAACTTGACTATTAAATTATTTTCGGTGAAAGTTAAAACATTAAATTGTTAATCGTTAATCACAAACCTTAATCACACAATTAACTCAGGCCATCCAACCTTAGATAACAATAATAATCAAGAAAGCAAAAAGTTCAATTCTTTAATTGTTACAACTTAATTGTAGCTTCATCTTATTATTATTGTTGTTTGTTTTTGGTTAATTTTTTCACTTTGATTCATTACAATTTATTAATTGTCTTGTTCATTGTTGAGATTGATTTTAACAAAACTGATCTTGTTTCAACTGTCAACAATTTAATCAATCATTGTGATCTTGATTATCAACATCAAATTAATCAATTGAGCTCAAGTAAAAATAATCAAGATAAATTTCAAGAATCAGTGATTAACGTGATTGTTTTTGATTAACCATGAAAAAAGGATTTGATAATCAACCAACAATCAAATAATTACTTAATAATAACAATCAAAAAGTTGTGTAACAAAAATCATAACTTAATTGAACAATAAATCAACAATTAAATGGATACCCAATGAGTTAAAATTACTCAACAAAATTTAACATAACAATCAAAGTAAATTTACTAATTACTAATTCCAATGAGTTGATTGTTGTCACCACAATCAAAGTTAATCGTTTCAACCATACAAGACTCTAAATCGTCCCGAAACTGACCAAATCATTGAATCCTCTCAACAATTAGTAGATTATCTTGATCACAATTTAACGACCATCATGATGGTGATCATTTACCACTACAATTTAAATTGCTTCTGATAATCTACAATATGATTTGTCATCGTAATTCAACCAACCGTTAATCGAAACGACCGTCACCCTGGGTTGGTGTACCCACCTTCAAACCCACTTCTTATCGTCATCCTCATCATCCTCATCATCTTCATCATCTTCATCACCATCTCTTACGATTGAGAATCATCATTTAACTGTAATCACTTAATCGGTAAACTTCATCTTCAATGGATCCAAACTGAATTTAACTGATTGTTGAAAGTCAACTTGAAACAATCTAATTTTTTTTTCGTTAACTTTTTGTATTCTCGATTCTCATCTTAATCACTATCATCATCATCTAATTTTTTTTCTCTCTCTCTCATAAATTGTCAAAGATTAAGGTTATGTGAGAAAATTAAATTGTTAACAATTTAATGTGTTTGTTTTGTTTTGTTTGTGATTTACCATCAAAACTAATCAACTGAATTGTGTTTCTGTTGATTGGACAAATTTTGTGCTTTTTAATTGTTCATCTTTCTAACTTTTTCTCTGTCCATTGATTTACCTGATTATGGATTTACTAATTGTCTCCATCTATTTTTATGTCAACTTAATTGTTTACTGTTGATTGTTAACTGTGAATTTGGGAGGCAAAAAATAATACAGACAATTTGTTTTTCGTTGATCAATTTTATTTAATCAATAACGATGATCGCTAATCCTGATCTTAAGACTTTAATTGGACTAATCCCTTTATTAGCGTTTTTTGGACCAACAATCGACGATCGTTCCGATAATAGTAAATCATCATCACTTTTATCCCGAAAAAATTGGGAAAAGGAATATGATTATATCATTGGTGAGTAATTAATCGTTAATCCGGCAATTAAATGATACAAATTTTCATCTAATTTTCTTAAAGATTATTTATTAATTGATAATCTACAAATTGGATGATTGTTATTCAACAATAGATTTTACAATAAATAAGATTAATTATCAACACTGTTGATGATTTATTGATGGTCGTTTTCAACGATCATGTTATTTAACAGATTAACAGATTTTCAACTGAATTAAATTATGGAAATTGGAAAGATTTAATTGTTTGGTTGGATAAGGGGAGAGAAGAGAGAGAGAGAGTTTGATGATATTGATGATGATGAGGAGGAAAAGGAAGAGGAAGATTAATTATCTGGCACAAACGCTTGATCCTTTCATGAACCAGTGGTCAAGTGTTTCCACTGATTAGTGTAAATGGTCAAGCGGATATAATGTTGATTTAAATTACAAATATAAAGACAATTGTTCAATAAATTTCATGTTTTTCTCTAGAGTCTAAATTAAATGTTAACTAATGAGCGACTCTCTAGTATTCGTGTCCACCATGTCCCCAGCCATGGTGCTTATCGTAACCGTGTTTGTGGTTCTTGTGGGCCCAATGATGACCATCGTCATATTTTTCCTTTCCCCACTTTTCGTTATTCTTTTTGTGTTGACCATGGTCACCCCAGTTCTTTTTGTAATCCTTGTGTTTCCAATCGTCGTTGTGTTTGAATCCACCTTGTTTCCAATGTCCCTGATCGTTGGCGTTGTGTTTTTCCCTATTAATATAACAAGAGAGAGAGAGACAATTAAGGTCAATCCGATCGTTTACAGAAAATCAGACAGTCGATCGACGGATAATGTCCATCACTGATCAATTGTCCTTCGTCATTAGATCCGATCACTTACCAATAGTCTTTCTTTTCTCCGTGTTTGTAGTCCTTGTGATTTCCACCCTTTGACCCTTGCTTATATTTCTTGGCGTGTTCCTTGTCCCATGAGTATGACTTTTCGTATCCATGACCTTTGTCCTTGTCGTAGTTCCATTTGTCTTCCCATTTCTTCCAGTGATCTTCCTTTTTACCCTGATCCCAATGTTCCATCTTTTTACCTGAGGAGCAAATTTAGAACAGAATATGAGTTTACAATTTTCTTTTTTTTTCTATCGATTGTTATTCTTACCTTTCTTTCCGTCGTCATACTTTTTCCATCCCTTGTCAGCCCAATGTTTCTCGTCGTGATGAGCACCGTTTCCCTTTTTGCCCCATTCTTCGCTGTGTTTCTTCCAGTCGTCGTACTTCTTGTTTCGATCTCCCCAGTCCTTGTACTTGTTCATGTGTCCACCTTTTTTACCTTCATTCGAAGCTAATTAAGATTAATTAATCACATAGATTTTCGTTGGTCCGTAAAAATTTTTCTCACTCGAATTCTGGTCAAACTTTTCAATACATTCAACTTATTGAACCAATTCCCTAATTCAGTTCGTTACTGTTTCTATTTAACTTAATCAACCCACTAGATTGGTTGTTTTTTCATTTAGTCTGCAGTTTTTTTTTCTCGATTGTTAATTAAGTTAATCATCTGAAAACTACTACAGGATTTGTAAATTGTAATATTATTCCTGTTCTGATTAAATAGAAATCACTGAATCAACTAGTTGAGAGTTGATTCCTGAAGAGAATCAGCAATATATTAAATCAGTGAAGATTTGGCCGAGTGATTAAAGAAACTGGGATGTTAATTAAGATCAACTAAATGGAAATGTAATGTTAATTTTTGACTCAAATTCGAAAAAAAAAATTTCTTTTTCGAAAGTCTTATTCTCTCTTCAAAGAGACAACCAAAGTTATCGAATTGTTTTCATCGAAAGTTTTGATTGTTCAATTTGTTTGAGAGAAAATGATTTTCACCACTTATGAACACTTACCCCATTCATCGTGTTCCCATCCTTTGGCATCGTAACCCTTAGGTTGACTCCATCCCTTGTGTTCCCATCCATTGGTCGAAGCGGCAACTAAATCACCAACAGTCAATCCGGTAGCACTTGAATCGGTTTCCAATGATTCAGCATTAGTCCATGAGATCAATGAGACATACACCAAACAAGAAACTAATGTTAACTTGATTATCATGATTTTTTTAATTCTTCAATGAAACAGACACAATATTTAGTAGTAGTTTAATCCTTGTCTTTTAGTCACTTACGACTGTCTGTGTCTTTAAACAATCAAACTCGAACCTTTATATACCTCGAATGTTCAAGTAAACACCCAAACCAAATTTCTCTCTCTCTCTCTCTCTCTCTCTCTCTCTCTCTCTCTCTCTCTCTCTCTCTCTAATTGAATTCTCAAACTTCAGGTCATATTATTCGAAGGGGGTGGGAAATTTTAGAACAAAAAAGAGGACGTGTTGACATCGACGACAGTGATGATAACGATAACGACGGCGATGATAACGAAAAGATATATTTATTTATTCAAATAGAGATAAAAAAAAGAGGGAGAGATACTTTAATCTAATGGTGTTCGATAATCTGGAATACAATATATTATATATTTTGAGATAATTCTGATGATAGTAACAGACAAATAAGTTAACCAACTACTTCGACCCCAATTTACTCCCGTTAATCGAAAGAAACACTTTTAACAATTAAATTAGATTCTAAATGAAAGCGGAACCCAATTCGAAACCCTGTAATCCGTCGTGTTCACACTTTCCATCTAAATTTTCATTCTTCCCTTCAACCATATCTCTCTTTCTTTTCTTTCTTTTCTATCATCATTATCATCATCTTTCTTTCTCATTCTCTTTCTTTATCATCACAATTCGATATCATCCAAATTGTCATTCTAATTAAACTAATTTTCCAATCCATTAGGTTGATGTTATATAATAACCACAATACGGAAGCCCTATGATAGTGTAAATTGTTAGCCAACAATCAATAACAATTATCATTAAATTTTTACCAATAGTTAATCAAATTAGATTGAATTAGTTGACAATTTAATCCCAAAGTTAATCCGACAAGGGAAATAATCACAATTTTCAATTGATTTGAGATTGAAACAATTAACACAATTCAATTATTAGATTGACTCAATGAAAAGTTTGAATAATAGTTTGTTAATTGTTGTTTAATTGTTTGTCAATATTTTTCTTTTGATATTAATTCATTGAAACAATTAATTTCTTAATCATGATCATGATCAACTTTTGTCATTTTATCAACAGAGCAAAAAGATTACAATCTAATGTGAACAATATACAATTACAATTAAATTGAAACAATCAACTGATCATAATTATTGTTTTTGTTATGATTAATTTTTGCCTCTCATAACAATTAACTAATTAACGGGTTTAACGAGTTAATTTTGATTGCGTTAATTGTGATTAACTTATTTATCTAGTTCAATCAGAAACATTTATGTTATTGTTAATTTAAATTGTTTCCGGAGTCTCATAATCTACCTTAATTGTTATAATAATATTAGATTGTCATCTTGGTGTAATTATATTGATCGTTAATCATCAACTGATTTCCCAATAATTTAAATTATTTTTTGTTTCTTTTTTCTTTCTCTTAATTGTTAATATTACAAAAAGAATTAATTTTCATGTTAATTTGTTCACCAATCATTAATTCCGCCAACAAATTAATATCTTGTTCATCAATTAACTTTCTCCTTCTTAACAATTAGTTAAATCATTCAAGTTCATTAAAATATTCACTCAAATATACAACCAACAAATTCAAGGATTCATCACAAAATAAATCAATTAAATCGAGAAACCAATTGATCTAATTAAGTTACGAACAAATCTATTCAATTTACTTCCAATTAGCTTAATGATAAACAGTAATTTTCATAATTTACCAACAATTAACTTTAACATCGAGTGAAATATTATATCATTCATTTGATTGGAAATTTAGAGAATCCAGAAAATTGTTGATTAATCGTAATTCTTGAATTATTATTGAATAGTTGGCGGTGGAACTGCTGGTTCAGTATTGGCGAGGAGATTATCAGATAATCCTGAACATCGAGTTCTGTTAATTGAAGCCGGGGGAATGGAAAACATCATGCATGAGATTCCATTAGCATGGTGGACATTGAAAAAATCTGAATACGATTGGAATTACCGAACGGAAGCTCAAGAAGTGGCCTGTTTTGGTTACGACGATAAGGTTTGTTCCAATGAGTTATTATCGAATTGTTAACAATCAACTGATCAACTCTCTTCAACAGCGGCTTGTTTGGCCTCAGGGCAAAGTTCTTGGCGGAAGTAGTTCAATGAGTAATATGATTTACGTCCGAGGAAATTGCCTCGATTTTGATGGTTGGCTTAAAGATGGAGCACTCGGCTGGAGTTGGGATGAAGTTTATCCCTATTTCCTCAAGTCGGAAGATAATTTGGACATTGAAATTGCCTTTAATGGTGAGTAATTAAGCTTAATTAACAATTAACTGGCTACAATTAAAAACCCATTAGGTAATTATTACTTAGGAGACAAACAATCAACGGTAAATCAAACTTTCAACTTGTAAACTTTCAATGTAAACATAAATAATTTTTACACTCCATTGATCAGCTGTTAATTAACTGATATTAATTAACTTTACTGTTTAACTAATCATCAAGATCAGAGTATTTGTTTTATTAATTATATCAGTTTCTCTTAATCACAATTAACCTTTTCATCAATCATTGACTTTTGTTTGCTTGTTTAAGGTTCAAACCTTTGGTTTAATTGTTGATCCTTGATTGTATTATGTTTATTGATTGATTTGAATTGTTGATTACGATGAAAATTTAATATTTGATGTTATCAAATAAATAGATTCAATTTTTTGTTATTGTTCAAATGTTACAAAGCTAAATTGTCGTAAGGTAAACAACCCTTGATTGTTACAAATTGATTTGTAGTTAGTTTTACGTTCCAATTGATACAATGACAATTAACTAATTGTAACAATTGATCATCAACAATATTGACATTATATTAAAACCAGAACGATGTAATGATTACTTAATTTCTGATAATATCCTAAATGTAACAAAAAAGTTTAATTGTCTTAACGATTATCAAGTTAATCAAGGTAATTTTATTACAATTTCTTGTCTCATTCCTGAACAATTAGTTAAATCATTTCGATGGTAATTTAAAGTAACCATTTGTTTAGATTATTTTTGAATATATGAATTGTGTTAATTGTTATTCTTTTTAAAGTTTAATTTGATTCTTTATTGGAAACACTTTGATTCGATGGTTCGATTTTCGTTGTATTTTCATCGGTTGATGATCTTTTCCGTTTTGAACTCATCAACTTGAACGATCTTCGAGCACCTTTGAAGTAATTGGAAATTGAGTGTTTATGTGGATGAGATGACGTTGGAATTGGTTTATTATCATCAGCTGATTGTTCAGAGGAATTAATTGTTTTTCCAATGGGATTAATTTTCTTTCCCTCTGAAACTAATTTCTCTACATCCTCGTCTTGATCGTTGATCGTTGATGAAGATGCTTCATTCTGAGTATCTTGTTGTTTTATTGCTTCTTTTATCTCGACTGTATCCCCATAGGAAACACGTGGTATCGATTTACGTGTTTGATGGTCTGAATTTGACCTTCGTTCGTCTTGTTGTTGTTGATCGATTGTCGATCCAATTTCCGTTTTGTTATCATCGATTGTTAAAGAAAATGATTTAGATACTTCGGTGTTTTTTGTATCATTTCCTCGTCGTGATCGTCTTGGTGCTCGACGAATCGAGCTCCAGGTTCGTCGGTGATGAGTTGAAAATGAACTTTCATCAGCTAAACTTGATGCTTGGTCCAAGAAACTGAATTAAAGATTAAGATGGTTAGTTAATTTTCAGTTGATTCGTTAATCTTGTTCACTTACCCATCTCCTAATGTAAATATCACTCTATCATGGTTATAGCTGGATGAAGATGTCGGCGGTGGAGGAGGAAGAGGTGGAGGTGATGGTATCGGTAGTGAATGTTGGTAAGAGTTGTAATGATGAGCCGGATAAACATTTGCATGGGGATGACGATGAGATGTTGAAGATACTGTTTCCAAATCTGAACCAGAACTTTCATCGTCCGGTGTTGACTCGTTTTGATCATTTGTCTCCGCGTATCCATTGGCAGGCTATGAAAATCATTCATCATGAAAGGGAAAATAATGAATCAATTAAGCAGTGAAAAAAGTTCTAATCCCCTCAAAGATTAAAGATTATCTTTAATCTCTATCCAAAGGATAAGAGGAAATGTTATTATCGATTCGGTATTGATATAAGATTGACGTCATCTAATCACACACACATGAAAGTTAATTCTTAAATTGATTAACATGCTATTATTAGAATTAATATTTTACGTAATCAAATCTTAGATGATTGAGTTTGATTATCGTTCATTGAGAACACAATTTGAATAATTCAAGTCGATCATTAATCCATTTCAATCAGCTGATATTTACCTCGGTTCTTGATAACTGTGCATGTAGATAATTGTGTTGAATATGATGTGATTGATGATAATTAGCTGATGTTGATGAAGTCGATAAACTTGATTTGTGATCTGAAGAGTGACTTGATCGAAACGATCGTTGATTAAATCCATATCGAGATATACCTGGACCTTAAGGTAGAAAAGGATTATATTAGTAATCGAAGTGAAAAAGAAATTGATAAAATATGAATTCGCTCACTTTTGGATAATGTTAATGTTTCAGTTTCGGTTTCAATGTAATTCTCGCTTGTTGATCGGTTCAGGTCAACAGGCGAAGGTGAATTTTTGTAATTGGTGAAAATTTCCGCCTGAATTTGAACGATTCCTCGATTATGGACTATTGGGAATCCACAGAGATGTTCAATCTGCTGCCAACGATACAATCGCTCCTTGAGCTCTTTGGTTATTTCGGAAAGCGCTTGTTTGGCCTGGAGAATACGATTATCAACATCGTCGATTGAAGATCCATGGGCGACTCGAAGAGAGCCGAAAAAAGTTGATCTTTTCCTCTTTAGTTTTTCACACTAATAAAAACGATGAAAAGAACAATAAACAAATAACACATACGAAAGCAATTAGAAGACAATTAAAAATCAGTTAGTTGTAATTTAGATAATTTAGATTAGATTATATTCTAAGGTGAAGATTATTAATTGTTCTCGGTAAGACAAATATCGCTACTGGGAACTTATTACATTTCGATCGGGTAATTGGTAACTTACCCCTTCTTTTGCGGCAGCTAATTGGTTCTCGGCTGCTGATCGCTTGGCGATATAATGATTCAGCTCAAGTTCGTGGGTTAATTGTAACCACAATTGGAGTTGATGAGGTGGTGCCCATGATTTATTAGCTAATGCAGTTTCCGCTCTGTTTAATTGTTCCCTTGTTTGTCTTAGCTCTTCCTCCAATTCATTGATTCGAGAAAAATCTGACCCAAGATCAGATGTAACCATGAGGCTCGATGAATTGTAGTAATTGTAAAGATCGTTATTATTATCGGTAATTTCTGAATCCATTGAATATTGATTTCGATTGATTGATTGTTCATCGTTGTGATTGCCTGTTTGTCTATTATTATGATCACTAATTGCTACGATATTGGATGATTGTCCGATTGATGTTGATTCCATTTTCACTTTGTCCAATTCCCGTTGTAGCTCGTGAATTTGATCTTCGGCCTTTTGTAATGACGCCATATCTTTGAGCATTTTTCGTTGATTAAATCTTGAATAACGATATTGAATTAGAGCAACAATTATACCAATTAAAGAAATGAGGAAGCTTAATAACACAATTAAATCTTTCGCTGAATGATGAACCTCTTTAATTACTCCAATGGGTGAAAAGTTCATTGATTTGATTGAAACTTTTTCGTTGAAGAAATCATCATCATCCATAACGAACTCATATTCTGAATCAATTCTCACAATCTATTGGAAATTAAGAGAATCGTAATTAATTAGATAACAATTAAATCTAATAGAAGTTAATTTTGAGCAGAATTAAATTACTAACTCAATTGTTTGGATAATACAAAGATTTAAGTCTAATTTATTAATAGTTGATTAGCAATTAAGCTTGACCATTAAAGAGATTGGAAAGGTTATCGACAATTAACCAAACAATTTAAGATCAAATTGATTATAAATATAAAAGATGAACTTAATTAGTTACAAACCTTTTTAAATGTTAAATGTTCAATCAAATGAATTGATTACCAATGGAAAAGTTGATTGATGGAAAATTGATTAACAATTAACGTTTCTAGAGGTTAACAATTTAATCTAATCACATGTTAATATAATCAATAAATGGACAATTTATTTAATTACAAGGATTGAAATTGACTTGGTGATTTTTTCTCGCTGCTTTGATTGCAATTAGTTAATTGTGATCACTAGTTTAATGAGATATAAATTGAATGATAATCAAAATTGTAATGAGACAAATTGTTATGTGACAATTATGGTTTACTGTTGACGCTTAAATTGATAACAATTAATCGACTAATTATCTTTATAATACCATATTAATCGTAGTTAGTTACTTGATTGTTATTAAATTACCTTTTTCTTTATCAATGGAAAATACAATTAAGATGATTTTTCATCATCAGGACACAATTTAACTTGAAAGATAATTTAATTGTTTATCAACTTTTATTAAATAACTGACGAACAATTAACTAATCATTTCATACATTAGTTAATCAGTTAATCTATTAAACCTTTAATCAGTCTATAAACTGATGATATGTTAATTGTTAACAATTTATTCAAGGATTCAGGTGATTCTGATTATTCAATTTCTCATATTAATTAATCTCATGGCCAATTATTGATCAACTGACAATTAATTGTTAAACCGATTCGATTGATTAACATTTTAAAATCTTAATTGTAACTATTAAACAATAATTAACTTTGTCTCTTGATTAACAGAAAACAATTAAGATTCATGTAAACTTCAATTAAATGATTTAGTTGAAATAAATTAATTCTTGTGAATCTTTTTAATTGATATGAAGCAAAGTTTTGATTAATTGTTAATTATCAGGTTGATTGATTATCCCAATTGTTAAAGGAAAAGGTGAGAAAATGATAATGATTGATTTAATGGTTGTAATCAATAATTTAAATTGTAACAATTAAATAAATTGTAAGTTCTGTTAATAACATTACACTTGAATGGACTTGATTATTGAGTACAAATGATAATTTACCTTTTAATTGTAATGGTTAATTGTTATTTCTGTTAAGATTTCTGATCGGTTTGACTTTCTTTTTTTCCCCTTAATTGTTATTCGTTAATTGTTGATTAATTACAGGTTATCATAGGCAAGGGGGTCTAATGGGAATCTCCAAGTCCCCGTTCACCTCTGATCTTGGACGGACTTGGCTCCAAGCGGGTTTAAGTTTGGGCTACCGATCAACTGATTGTAACAGTCAGAAACAATCAGGTAAATTAATCAATTGATTATCATTGTAGATGGTTAATTGTGTCACCCTTTAATTGAATTAATCGTTCTGTTCATTTGTTAATTGTTGTTTTAGGTTTTTCGATTCCTCAAGGTTTCGTTAAAAAAGGAGGCCGTTCGAGCGCTTATAAATCATTCATCGAACCAATTAAAGATCGTAACAATTTACATATTATGTTACATTCTCGTGTTACAAGGGTAACTAATTGTAGAGTGTTTTTTTCCCAGCAATTAACGATTTTTTTGCTTCTCTAAATTGATTGTTCTCTATGTGATTAGGTTCTTTTCGGAGATAATAAAAGAGCCGTTGGTGTACAATTTGATCGCGATTCATTATCGTTCGTGGTCTATGCTAAATCAGAGATTATCTTAACTGCGGGAACAATTAGTACACCTCATTTGTTGATGGTCTCTGGTGTTGGTCCAGCTGATCATTTAGAAGCCCTCAAGGTAGATTGATTCATTTGAAGAGTTTTCGATTCCGGGAAAGATTTTCTTGTTCTGATTGTTAATTGTGACTTTTTTTCATCGATTGTTGTTTAGATTCCAGTGGTCGCTGATTTACCTGTTGGTGAAAATCTTCATGATCACCCTGTTACCGGTGGGATCACGTTCTCGGTGGCCAAAGTGAAGACTCTCAAGATTGATGAGATTTTCAGTCCTCAAAATTTTCTCCGTTATTTGGTCTCAGGTTCGGGTCCGTTGACTTCTTTCGGTGGGATTGAAGGTGTCGCTTTTATGTCGTCCAAGTATTCAAATAGTTCACTTGATTGGCCCGACATTGAATTACTTTTAGTTAACGGTGATTTACAGGATGGATCCAGGGGAATGACAATTAAACTGAAAGATTTGTACAATACGACAAAGTCGATGGACACTTTTACCATATTACCGGTTATCCTAAGGCCAAAATCTCGTGGATGGATTAGACTGAAAACTGCTAATCCAGTTGATTATCCTTTAATTGATCCACTTTATCTAACTCACCCTGATGATATCATGGTGATGGTTGAAGCAATTAAATCAGCTCTCGCTGTTGGCACATCAAAACCTTACAAAGAGATTGACTCTTCATTAGTACCATTGATGATACCGAGTTGTGACCATTACGATTGGTTATCTGACCAATATTTGGCCTGTTGGGCTCGAGTGATGACCGGTACCATGGGAGACGCTGTTGGAACTTGTAAAATGGGTCCACCTTGGGATAAATCATCTGTCGTTGATCCAGAATTGCGATTACTTGGTGGGATTAGCGGATTAAGAGTTGCCGATGCCTCGATTATGCCAAAAATTATCTCCGGGAATATTAATGCCGCTGTTATTATGATCGCTGAAAAAGCGGCCGATATGATTGTCGGTAAAAAATTGGAAGCATTTTCAGGTCCAATTCCACCCGATTATTCATTATTGAAACAGTTAAATCGAAACTAAATCAATCAGATAAAATGGTTCGGTTGATTCGATTCTCTTTGTATTATAATCTTTTGTTCATCTATCGCTAATTGTTATTTTACTTTTAATTTGGACAACTAATTAAATCGTTTTTGTTCAACTAGAAAAAAATTAGTTAAAAAATTTAAGTTAATTAAAATCACCTTAAGCTTGGAGAGAGTCAAGACAAAATGGTTACAATGGTTTATTGTGAGTTCGATGTGAATTGTTAACTTAATTTGGCTTAGAATTAAAAAGGAACCAAAATTTGAGGCTCATGCGTAGAAGGCCAAAATTAAAGGTTCCACCGAGATTTGAACTCGGATCGCAGGATTCAGAGTCCTGAGTGCTAACCATTACACCATGGAACCAAATGTTAAGGGAAGAGGAAATTTTTTGGTGGTAACCTTGTTGACCAATTGGAATTAGTTGAGAAATTAGTTTGATTAGTTCAAATTAAAAATAATTAAGTTTTCACTCTGTTTAATTGTTTCCTTGTTTGTCTTAGCTCTTTCTCTAATTCATTGATTCGAGAAAAATCTGACCTAAGATCAGATGTCACCATGAGGCTTGATGAATTGTAGTAATTGTAAAGATTGTTACTATTATCGTTAATATTATCGGTAATTTCTGAATTTATTGATTGGTTGATTATTTAATTAGTTACAAACCTTTTTAAATGTTAAATGTTCAATCAAATGGATTGATTACCAATGGAAAAGATGATTGGGAAAATTGATTAACAATTAACGTTTTTGGTTATTAACAATTTAACCTAATCACATGTTAATTTAATCAATGAATGGACAATTTATTTAGTTACAAGGATTGAAATTGACTTGACAAGTGATTCCGATTATTAATAGATCTCATGGCCATTCATTAATCAACTGACAATTGTTAAACCGATTCGATTGATCAATATTTTAAAATCATAATTGTACTTACTTTAAATCTTAAGTCACAGATGACAATTAATCTTCATTCATGTAAACTTCAATTAAATGATTTAGTTGAGATAAACTTTTTCTATTGATATGAAACAAAGTTTTGGTTAATTCTTAGTTATTAGGTGGATTGATTATCCCAAGTGTTAAAGGAAAAGGTGAGAAAAATAATTTGATTGATTTAATGGTTGTAATCAATAATTAATTTAATAATAAATTTCCTCTGAATATAATGCTTGGTTCCATGGTGTAATGGTTAGCACTCAGGACTCTGAATCCTGCGATCCGAGTTCAAATCTCGGTGGAACCTTTAATTTTTGATCATTTAATTAATTTTTATCATGCGGTCGCAAAATTGCGACAAAATTTAACCACCGAACTGATTTAATGGTTTATTTGAAGTGGCGTTTATATCAACCCACCTTTTTTGTTTACTATTAAAAAATGACATTTTACTTGGATCCATAGTTGAATTACCAAAATTAAAAGATGAGCCAATGTTGGGGTTGGTTTGTTGTTGTTGTTGTTGTTGTTGTTGTTGCTGGTGGTGGAGGTGAGGTGGTGGTTGAGAAGGACCTAAAGAGCCCATTGGTATTTTTGGAGGGCCTGGTGGTGCGTTTTGAGCATTCTGGTCATCCTTTTCATCCTTGTTAACCCATTTTTGTAACCTGTCATCCCAGATAATTGAGGGATCTTTATCATCTGGAAGAACAGCTCGTTTTGGTAGTGAAGGTAATTTTGAGAATAGAAAATCAAATACACCTTTTTGTTTTGCAGATTGTTTAGAATCTAATGTATCACCTTCACCAGATTTATCTTTGTCATCACTTTTTGTATCCTCTGTTTCTCGGTCACGAGGGTTAACTTGTTGCTGTTGCTGTTGTTGTTGGACTGTTGTATCAAAACTGATATTGCTTCTCATTTGACTGTAATCTGTTGATGGTGATGCGATTGGAGATACAATTGGAGTTGAGATTGAAGGTGCAGCAAGTCCGTTGGTTGTTGTTGAATTGAAGTTATACTGATTTGAACTTCTGTATGATTGTTGTCCTGTTTCTCTTTCTTCGTATCTATTAAGGTCATAAGAAGCTGATTGGATTGAAATATAGTTCATTGGCTGGGACTGCCCTGACTCAATAAAATCTTGGTTTGGTTGTTGTTGTTCTTGCTGCTGATGCTGAAGTGGGGAGACGAGGGGTAATTGTTGTTGTTGAGTTTGCTGCTGTTGGTTTTGAAAGGGTATTGGAGGTTGTGACTGAAAAGGTTGAGGTGGTTGTGAAAAAGGCTGGAATTGATGAGCTGATGAACCTTGAAGAGCCCAAGGCGCTGGTTCTGTCACTCTCGGTGTTTGCGGTGGTGTATTTGTGGAAACATCATCAGCTATTGAGCTCATTGTTGAATTAGTACGTTGTCTCGGTCTCCAAGTTTGATTCCGTTGTTGACTGTTAAATTGGCTTGATGACTGACTGAAAGGAGCAGGTTGATTAAAGTTTAGCTGTTGTTGTGGTGCGATTGGTGGTGGTGGCTGTTGTTGTTGTTGTTGTTGTTGTTGAGATTGTTGTGGTTGTTGTTGACCAGAAACCGGAAAATTATCACTTAAAGAGATTGGAGTAAAGGTATTGACTGGTGTTGGAGCTGGTGGAGGTGATGGTGGTCTCATTGCTGGGGGAGGTGCTGATGATTCCACTGGCGTTGGTTCTGGAAGTATACTTGATTGCGTTGAGAGGATATTGAATGGTTCGGGTCTACTAATGTAAGAAACGGGTTCCGGTCTTTGAAACTGCGATGAATTAGGCCTTGGGTAGATTGAAGCTTGCTCATCAATCACAGATGAATTTCGTGATTTAAGTGGAGAGGAAACTAATGAACCAGCATTTTCCTCATCAATACCAACAGATAATCCACCGACACCTTCAACCAAATTATCAACAGAAACTTCTGAAACTGATGGTTCATCATCTCCAGCAATCGCATCACTTGATGCCAAACAACTTTCATTTGGTGAATCAATGAGAGATCCGGTAATGCGACTCTCTAGATCATCAATGATTTTGGTAACAAGATCCCAGTTAACATTGGCGTAATTGATCAATCCTGGGCTTTGATTTGTATAATAATTGACAGCTTCTCGTATTTTTTCACAATAACTTTTAGCTTGATTAATAAATCCATAGTCAAATAATTTGCAAGTAAATAAAACTTTGTAAGGAATGAAGTCGACAATAATCTCATCACAGTTTCTAGAGTACTCAAATATTTCATTGATAAATACAAGCTCCTCGGAATAATCCAATTTAACACCTCTCTTTGTATCAATCTCATAAGACGCAACAGGTGAAATTGAGATGAGATGTTGTGAATCGTTGTTTCTCAGAGCAATTATGAAATTAAGAAGTTCAGATGATGCCGCTGGAACAACAGAATTAATTTCACATTCATTAGCTAAAAGTATCGTGAAATGATGAAGACTTGAAATAGGTAAAGGTTTAGCGATATTCTTGTTATAATAAGTCCTTAATTTGTTAAGAAGACATCGATAGAGGATATAAAGGGCATCCTGATTGTTTAAAGTTGTATTGATAAACTTAGATGCTGCTTCCATCATGGCTATCGGTGGATTAGAATAGGAAAGAGTTTCTCTTGGTAAAGTGAGACAAGTAAGTGTCCAAAAATGATCCCAGAGATTATTTTTGGTGGCAAATTCTAAGGCATTTTTCCTTTGCCCAAGAGTTAATAAACGTCGGAATTGATTAATTTCGTTATTTTCTTCAGAGGTAAATTCAGCTTCATTATGATATAAAAGTAATTCAGCAATATCAGATCCAGAAATGTTACCATTCAATTGCACCAACATTTTCAATATTTGCCAAATCTGTTTCTTTTGTCTATCATAAATGGAAACTTCTATTGCTTCTCCAATTGTCTGATGTAAACCATCTTGAGCTTTGACAAATTCCATAACATCAGATTTGTCTGTTTTATCAATAACTAATGGACCAGGCCAAGTACTGATGCTAATTTTACTTTCATAATCAATTAATGAAGGTTGAATATGGTGGATTATTATATTTTGTCCATCAGCAACAACAAGTTGATTTAATGGGCCAAAGGTTACCCTTGAATGTCTAACAGGATAAAGTGGAGGTGTCAGTCTTTGTCTTCTTCCACCCGCTTCACTGCCACCATGAGTGGCTGAATACCAGCGTACATAACGTTTATACCAGTCAACAAAACCTGGAGGTAAATTATTAACTGGATTACCAGGGAAAGCACTTGGGTAAGCTGGAGGCACAGCAGCCGATGGATAACCACCACCAGCCATATTGAGAGATGGGGGAGGCATTGATGTATTAGCGAAACTATTTGGACCAAAGCTACGGTCAAATGATGAGCTACTTGTGTTAAGATCATAACGTTGAGGTGGACGAGAATAAGGATCATTTTGATAAGGACGTTGACGATTTTGATCATAACCTTGCATCGGATAATAAGGATACATTCCTGGACCAGGTGAAGGTGCACCATAACCAGGATAATTATGATATTGTGGAATTGGTTGGTAAAAATTTGGATTCTGTTGTGGCGGAGGTTGATTACCATAAGGTTGATAATGATTAGGATGATAGGATGGACCCCCAATTGGGCCACCATGTTGTGGCGGTGGTGGTCCACCATAATAACCTCCACCATAAGCATTTGGAGGTTGATGATGATAATGACTATAAGGCTGTTGATGGAAAGAGAGAGTAGCACCGGGTAAACTGTAAGATGAAAGTTGATCCGTTTCCCTGACCGAAGAGGCTCGTGAAATATTTGATTCAGTTGGAGAAAAACTGGGTCTGTGTGTTGGTGGACTGACAATTCTTTCCACTTCCACTTCAACATCAATTTCTTCCTCTTTCTCAATCACTTCTTCCGGTCTCTCCGGTCTCTCCGGTGGCTCTGAAGGTTCCTCATGGTTATCAGCAAAATCCCAACCATCCAGAGAGGTTAATGATCGCCTTAATTCACCGTTATCTTCCGATGTTTCCTCATTTAAATTGATATCACACATTTTATCCATTGCCACGTACAAATCACAGCAAAAAAACACAAGCCGGATTGATGATGATAAAAAAATAAGAGAGAGAAAGAAAGAGAAGAAGAGAGAAACAAACAACTTAAAACAAGAATCGAGTTAACTGGGTCTCCAAAAAGAAAGAGAAAAAGACACACAAACAGAAAGAGAAAAAAGAAAGAGTCAAATTTAGAAAAGAAAAAAAAAATTCTCTTTTACGGTTAACCTTCTCTTCCACCAGATGGCGACACCAAATTCTCTTCTATGTTTACATAGTCGCTAAGCCGAAATGAGATCAGGTGACCTCACCTTAGATAAGCTTACATAACAATCACCTTATTAATTGGTGATTGGAAATTAATTAATTAGTGATTTGAGTTGATTATGTGTTAGCAGTGAACTTGTTTGCTCTTTAATCTTGATTGAGATTAATTGGCAACGATTCGAATCGTGAACATTTAATAATCATCACCGTGGTTTTTGTTTGGGAAGAGGAGGAAGAGTTAATTTTTTTTCTCTTTTCTTTTTCTCTTACATTGTAACTTCTATTCTCTCTCACTTGCTGATATTCTTCTTTACCATTCACTCAACTCGTGTTTCTCTTTTCTCTTTCTTCCTCTTTCTTTTTCCTTCTTTTCATCATTAAAACCCCTCCGATGTCTTTGTTTTGTCAGATCTTCATAGTGGTTTGAAGATTTAAATCAACTTTTTTTCTCTCCCTTTTTTTCGCTCTCTCACTATTCCTCTTCCATTTTCTCGTCATCTTCATCATTCTTGTTCTTTTAAACATCATCATCATTTTTTGGTCATAAAAAACTGATCATCTGTAAATCAATTTGGATTCAGTTTTTCTCTACAATTAGTGTTGTTTGATTCCATTCTTTACTTTTTAAAAATCTCGAAAATCATCAACCTTTTCCATTTTCTCTAGAAAAGAAAAGAAAAATTCGCTAATGATAATGAATTTCTCCAATCTCTCGGTTAATCAACTTAGATGTTTGTCTTCAGGTGGAAATCGATCACTTTGCAAACTTGTCATTAAATCGTGTTTAAATTATCAACTACCTACCTCGTCATTTATCAGTATTAGATTAAAGGTAAGTCAAAATATACAAACGTTTAAATCAATTCCGATTTTAATTCAATTTTCTTCTCTATTTTTCAGCATAACCATGGCAATAATAGTAATAACAAACACGGAGTTCATTTCGTCAACAAAGGTGTCTCCATAAAATATGCTAATCAATTGGAAAAAATTAGTGATACTAATAACAAAAATGACTCTGATTCTGAACCTAAACGTTCAAGTAGATTGTTGGTTCTAATAGCTTGGATTCGTGCTGCTGAGAAAAATTTAGACAAATATCGTGATATTTATCTGAAAAATTATGGTTTCGATGTGCTAACCGTTTACACAAATCCAATTGATTTTATGTTTCCCACTTCGGGAACCCAAAAGACTGCCCATAATCTTGTAAATTATTTGGTCAATGAAGGAACCAAATATTCGGACATTGTGATCCATGGATTTTCGGTTGGTGCCTACGAATTTGGGGAAGTACTACTTATCCTTAGTAAAGCCTTAAAAGAAAATAATCCAAACGTTAGTGCCTATCATCGTTTGGTTGACACAATCAGAGGAATGATCTTTGACAGTGCTGTTGATGTCAGCGGTGCTCCACTTGGTGTATCACGTTCTGTTGGCGGTGAAACTTTTCTCGCCGATTTCATTCAACTCATTATGCGTTTCTATATGTGGTTAGCTTATCCAATTGCAACCAAACATTACCAAGCATCTTCAGCCATGTTTCACTCTATGTTTCTCCGATGTCCAGCATTACTTTTATTCTCAAAGCAAGACGTTATCTCCGACGCTCAGATCAATTTATCCTTAGCCGCTGAATGGTCTTCTCTTGGTATTAATGTAACCGTTAAAGATTTTAATCATTCTCGTCATGTTACTCATTATCGAAAGTATCCCGATGAGTACGAGAAGCAGATTGATGATTTTATCCGTAAATTACCTTATGCATCACCGTTTTAGATTAACCATTTCAAATTCTACAAATTAATAAGTGACCAATATTTGGATAGCGAAGCGAAAAAACAATCAACAAACTCAAATCATTCTCAAGTCAAAACCCAGAGCGAAAATCTAATTTACTTTTCTCTATTCTTCTTCAACCAAAGGTCCTAGTTATGTTATCTCTTTATCTCTCTCTCTCTCTCTATCTCTTTTTTGTTTCTAGTTACTTGTCAATTCTGATGATTATCGGTTCGATTAACATTTACAATTATCAATTGATTGTGAAGCTTTTGATTGCAAACAGCACTTTTCATCTTCATGCTGTGATCTCATGCAACATTTTCTGGTGTCACTCAATATTCATACTGATAAGTTAAGATTAGTTCATAATAATTGTTACATTCATCGAGTGTGGTAATGAATGTTAACGAATTAATCAACTAGCAATATAATAACAAAAAAAAAACAAAGTTAATCACATTCGATAATTAACAATTTCGACTTATCTGTTGAATATCTTCTCAATAACTTTTTTTCTCTCTAAAAGTTAACAACATCAATCAACAATAATCATCATTATTACTATTGCATCTCATCAAATCTCTGTAATTTTCAGGAATTTTTGTTTTCAATCCCTTCACTTATTCAAAAATCAGTAACAATTAAATTAGAAAATAAATTAAAATGAACAAAATTTAACGTTTTTTTCTGAAAACTGACAAACTTCCCTTTCCCTTTCATATAAACCACATTAAGGATTTTACTTCCTTCAAAATGTAATTAACTTAATTCAAATTCTCCTTGGTTTATTTCTAATTTATTCACAGTTTACTAATTAAAAGCTACTCAATTAACTAGAAAATTTAATTTTCATCAACATTTTCGCTACAAATCGACCCACCAGATGGCGCCGAATATCATGGTTGCCATGGTTACGAATTCATTTGTTGTCATTTGGTTTATCATATGGACCACATGGTGAAGTTTATTTAATTGATTATTTTTCATTTGGTTTCGTCTCTTTCATTGTTAATTATTTATTAGTTGTAAGTTTTTAATTAATTAAAATGTCGGCTGGTTGGTCAGATGTTCTTAATCGTTTGATCAATAGATCTGAGAAGACAAATAAGAAGCCCTTGAGTCGAGCTTTGGTCAACAAGGAAAAACCTTCACAAGGAAAATCGCGGAAACAGATTATCGTTAAATCGGGTTATGAAAGTGAACGGAAAAAGCCAAGTATTCAGGATAAAGAATATGAAAGGATGTTACAATCTATTGCTACCAAAGGTGTTGTTCAATTGTTTAATTCGCTTACAGCATTGGAAGAACCCGAACCTGAACCAAAGAAAGTGAAAAGAGAAGAGCCTGTTGCAAGTACTTCGGTTCTTGATAAATGGGGAGATTTAACTGTGGAAGATGATGAAGAAGATGATGCAGTTTGATCTGTTGGTAGGAAAAATTTATTATTCTATTTTTACTATTCATGGATCAATGGTTACAATCATGAAGATGCTAAATCGATGAGGAGCAAATAGGTGAAAATGTTGATAAGAAAATGGAGTCAAAAGAAACCAGAATCTTGTTAATGTATGAAAATCTTGTGATTGGATCGGTTGATCAATTTATTAAAAGAAAAAAAAACAATAAACCATTAAGTTGATTGGCTGAATTGTTCATTCAACATCCATTTCTTCATCGCTATCGTTACCTTTGGTTTGAGTTTTAATTTGTTCTTGATTGTTGTACATATCGACGACTTGCATTGCCGAAGTCGCTTCTTCAGATTTTTTGTCCTCTCGAATTCGGATAAAACGAGGAAATCGAAGAGAAATTCCTTTTTCAGATTCCAAAGAACCAAAAGCTGCTCGATGAACTGGAGATATCGATAAATCTGCACATTTGACTTCCCAAACTTGAACAGCATCAAACCAAACATCAGGTTTGATTGTCTGATCATAATTATAATAAGATTTTGGTCTTTCAATAACCAATTCTTTGAATGCTTCATATTGATTCTCAAGATCTTCATCTTTAAATCCAGTTCCAAGTTTACAGATTGATTGGAATTCCTCTTTTTCATCATCATAACAAGCTAATAAATAACCTCCATATCTACCGGTCCTTTTACCTTTTCCAATATAAGCTCCAATTACTACGAGATCAAGTGTATCACCAACACCTTCAAGGTAATCTTTTTTGATCTGAGGAAAAAAAAGAGAGAAAAATTAAATTATAAATTTAATTCCAAACAAATTGACGAATTACAAACCTTGAGCCAACTACGAGATCTTTTTGCTATTTCATAAGTCGCATCCACATCTAAAGTCTTGACCATTAGTCCTTCACATTTGGCTAAAGAAAATCATATATTCGTTGAAAAAGATTAGTTACAATTTTGAATAGAATAGAAAATAATATTAGTGTTAGAATTTAATTAACCTTTAATTGATTCATCCAAAAATTCTTGAATCTCATCGGTTGTTTCGACGTCTCGAGAAACGGCCATCATGAATTTCCCTTCGATATCTTTGAAACTTTCGCGAAGATGTTTACGTCGTTCACTAAGACTTTCGGTGACGAAAGATTTTCCATTTAAATATAACAAATCGAAAGCGAAAATACAAACATGCACTTTAATTTCATCTTCAGAAGCATCTTTCCTTTTCCTTGTACTTAACACTTGGAATGGGAGAATCTGTTTATCATGTGAATCCCATGCAACTGCTTCCGAATCGATGATGAAACTTTTGACATCCGGCTTGATGACATCTTTCATCCTCGAAATAATATCTGGATACTTGGATGTATTGTCTTCTTGATTTCGACTGAAAATTCTGATTTCACCATTTTCCATCAAATGAATTTGAGCTCTTTCTCCGTCATATTTAAATTCACAGGTAAATTTAGCTTGATTAAATCGACGAAGAACTTCATCAACACCTTTCGTCGGATGAGCTAACATTGGTTTCAATGGAACACCAGGAATCAATTGACACTTTTCGTCTAATGATTCCCATCCATGTTCAAGTAGAACGTTGATAATTTGTTGATAATTTGGACATCGACAGTAAACTGTTTTCAAAATTTGAGTAACTGTGTCCACCCGCGATTTGAATGAATCACTTCCTCTTTTTGATTTACCTTCGCCCAAAACAATACTCTGGGCTAAGGCTGATAATAACGATTGCTCTGCTAATCCAATTCGCAGTTTACCGGCTAAAGAACGGACTAAATAACGAGCTTCACAGTCTCTACAAGCGACAATCAACGATTGAATTTTATCGGTCTTTTTTTGACCTGAACTTTGTCCTGAAAACAGAGCAATTTCCCGGAAACTTTTGAAAACTCCTTGAACGGTCAATCTTGGTGGTCGGAACAATAAGCTCTGAGTAGTCCGACTATCCTCAGCAACCAAACCAAGATCCCCTTTCTTTTTGATATCAGCTTTAATGTGATCCACCTTACGTCCGGTAGCATTTGCTAAAGCTTTCATGATAATTGTCTCACCGATTCCCAGTTCAAGGCCTTCATATGCAGGACCCAATTTATTGAGACACAAATAGATTGAAGGAAGCAAATCCTCTGGACTTTTCTCCTTCACTGACCACAGGTAATTGGCAAGTATCTCGATCATTTTAAGACGTGATGACACTTCTTCTATCGCCTTCAATGTAAGTGTAAAATAAATGAATGGCGTTTTATCTCCATCCTTCCAAGAAGCATCTTTAATTGCATCATAATTACTCTTACCAGGATTATAGTCAACAGAACCATTGGTTGAAGGAGCATTTGGTTTACTCTTTGTCTCCGATTCTTCACGTTTACGTTTTAACGCCATTGTGGTGGAAATTGTTGATCTAATTAACACTAAGAAATTACAAGGTTCTAATTTTAAACAATTAACTCGATAACAACAAGAGACAATCTTTAGACAATAAGATTTAATCATTAAGAAAAGAATGATATTTACGCGCCTTTTTTTCTCCGCCAGGTGTCGCTTTTCTTCTAAGGGAAAATATTCTAATTTCTAAAATTTTGATCAATTGATTTGGAGAAAAATAAAATTAATTTAATAGAAAACTTATTTTTATTATTAATTTGATTGTTTTATTCTTTGATTTTCTCTTTATTTTTTAGACCCAACGCAGCCATTCCTTCGAGATACAATTCTCTAAAATTTTTAATTATCTCAGGAATGAAAACTTGACAATTAGAATCATTTGAAATCTTCTCATAAGAAACTAGAACTCGAGAAACGTTAAATTTCATATCTTGGTTACAACAATCAACTAAACGAAATGAGGGATGATTTGGTAAACTGTCTTCCATTTGGTAATCAGTTATCCTTGGAATCCAGAAAACTAATCGACCTCCAATTCGTAAATTTTTTAATGCCAATCGAAACAAATCTCTCATAATATCCTCGAACGGATAAAGAACCTTAGATGGATAATGACAATTTAAATATTCTTCGGGTACTTTGTAAGTTTCATCGTATTTATCAGTTCCTATTTTTCTTGAGTTTTCCCTAATTCCATAAGGAGGATCAGTTATAATCGCATCCACTTCAAATGGCCTGAATGGAGATCTCGAAGCATCGGCGACAAAAACATCCAAATAATTAGATGTTAATCCGTATTGTTGGAAATTGGCATAAACACTTTCGTCGGGATCTCGTTTGGTTGCATATCGACGGGAGGGTTTTCGTTCACCGTGAAGTAATTTGTAATCAATGTCACTGCCGATGGTAAAGGCTCCATATTTCGCTGCGGCCACTAACAGGGATCCCGAACCTACGAACGGATCATAAACAATGTCACCATCTTTGACGAACCCCAAATTGGCCATAACGGCCGTTAACCAGGGGACCATCGAGGTGTTACTAATGAATTTACGTTTCTTAAGGCTAACATCATGAGAGAATCGGTTATCTCCATTGGTAAGGAATCGACCAAAGAAAATATCATAAGGTTCTTTCGGTGCTGAATTAGATAATAGTCCAAAATATTCAATCAGATAGAAATGATTATCTGGTTCGGTCAAGTTGATCGGCCCTTCAAATGGTAAAAACGAAAGTTGCTCAATCTTATCGACCTTTAATTGACTAGTGATCTTTTTCCCATAGGTTTGAACGGTAATTTTAAATGATCGATCAGCACCAGTAAACTCTTTCTTTCTAATCAAGTCACATTGTTTAAGTTGAGAAATTAAATCTTCTCGGTTTGATGAATGAGACCAAAGATGAAACAATGATCGTACACAAACAGCCCGACTAGCTGCTTTGATTAATTTCTCTTCTTCTTCAACTGTATCACTTTTAACAATCAGGAAAGGCTAATATAAAGATAAGAGAAACAAATCAAATTAAATTATCATCATCCAAAAATAGAATAATAAACAAATTAACTTACATTTTCCTTTGGAGTATCGGAAAGTTTTACATTACAATTGAATAGAGTTAAAAGAGCTTTAATCTCCTGTGGGTAGAACAAATTGAAGAAACAATTAACCAATAATTCACACCAATAACAGCACAATTAGACGATACTTACAGCTAATCTGAAAGCTGGACTTTCTTGACAAAACCAAATTAAATAATTCATTTAATATTCACAAATGATCAACAAAACAAAAACAAATGCAAATTCAAAACATAAACTTCATTAGATTTAAGCTTATCTTTTATAAAGACTAAACATAAACAGAATTGTCTTGAGTTGACCAACTCAAATTGTGATTAAAGTGAAAAAGAATAAAAAAAATTAATAACAATTAGAAGCAATTAGAAGCAATTTAATTAAAAGTAAACAAATTTTTCTTAACAAAAGATTCACTCGATTCAAAAGGAACCGCTTCAAGTCCCATGCTGAGTCTTAATTCGGATCCAGATTCGAATCCAAGTTCCGAGTCCCGAGCTGAAAGTAAATTAAGTTTTCCTTTTGATTGTTACAATTAATATTGTTTTTAACTTTAATTGTTGGGTATTTAATTGATTGGATTTTGTGAGAGGTTCAATGGCTGCATCAATCAAATCGCTGTTCACCAAACCTGCTGATGAATTTGTCAATGATCCTGAGATTGAACATCTTTGGACAATTAAAGCTGTTGATCAAATGATTGTTCATTATAATCTAATTTCAAGTGTTCCACCTAAAGATCTTAAATTAACCAAAAAAGATGATATAATTTATGAGAAATTTTGTCAATCATTTCCTGATTTTCCTTGTGATAAGTTTAAAACGGAAGATTTAAAATCGGACGAATCAAAAGCTAAATGGAGACCATTTTGTGAAGAGTTTAAAGGAGAAGTTGAAGATTACAATTTCGCTTCTCTTTTGAGACTTGATTGTACCGGTGATTATTCGGAGGATAATACAGTTGTTGTTCCAAGAATACAATTTTTAGCCCTTGAAATTGCTCGAAATAGACTTGGTCACAATGATAGTGTTTATCTCTCGAAAAAAGCAAAAAACGAACAATCATAATTTTCTTTCTTCCTCCTTACTGAAAACCTTCTCAAACCTCAACTTCTAACAAAAATCTGATTTATATTTTTCTCTCCATCTTCTGTTATAAAATAAAGGTACAATTTAAATGTATTAAAAAATTCTTTTAATCAATTTAATTGTAGTAGCCCAGGCAAAATATTGGAAATGGAAAAGAAGAGAAAAAAAAATGTTTACAAAGTTCCCGAAGTCGCAACCATTTTCTTGGCTAATTCTGCCTTCTTTTTGGTAATGTTAAGATCAGTGTCGAGATAAAGTGACTTGTTGACCTTTCCGGAGACCAATTTTTCAACAAGTAATCGTTGTTGATGAAGTTGCTCTCGTAATTCTTTATCTAATCGTTGGAGTTCATTAATTTTATCCAAAAGTGAATGTGAGGCTCCTTCACTTTTCATTCGGGAAACCAAATCACTTATTGATTGTGATTCTTGTTTAAGATCAGCGCTAATCTGTTTGATAGCAGTTTGAAAAGCTGAATCATCTTTCGAGGTTTTAAATTTGTTTGATGTTTGGTCAAATTTAGCATATAAATTAGTCCGTTTTGCATGATGATTAATAACCGATTCAACTAAACTGCTAACACGTTGACTACTCTCTTTACCGGGATTTTTAGTTAAACTAAAATCAAGACGTAAGATTATAATTGTCAGGATAGTGATGATGATCAGTGAGATGACAAAAAGAATCGGCTTTTGGAGAGTGTTAATTGTTGCGTTAAATGTAAAGGTAATTTTGACATTTTGAATATGATCTTCAACCAGGTTCGATTTTCGTAAAACAATCTTAGGCTCTCCAATTGTGTCCAAGAATGACATGTGAATTTGATCCTTTTCCCTAATCACGGAATAAGGTGTATTCAGTTTAACGTCTGTAGCTCCTTCGGGTAAGATGATGTTAATTGTGGCCTCGTCGATAACTGCGTTATCAAAGATATGATCAACAAATGGAATCCTAAGTGAATATTGGTCACCCTCATTGGAAAGATATTCTGACAATGGAAGTGAATAACCAATAACATAATGAGTTTTCCAACCACCAAACAAAGGGAATCTTGGCCTTAGATCGGCGATCACATTTTTAAGACCATTACGAAGATTAGAAGTACTAATGTTTCCAATTTCATCTCGATAATAGACATCATAGGCTGATGGTGGTAATTTTGTTCTAAAGGTTTTAATTGATGAGATTCCATTAGTTGGTTCTCTTTGAAATTCATATCGGGAAAAGGCTCCTCTTAATTTTGCACCATCATGATGAATGTCAATCACTTCTTCAATTGAAATAACTCCTGACCAAATGGACAGATGAATATTTCTATCCAATTTTGATACGGTTAGGAAAGGTGAATTATTCTCATAGTGAACTTGAAGTTTTGATTGAGTAAAGGCTGCGATATTTTCATAAGGTCCATAGTTGATATTTTGATTGGCAGTTGAACTTGGTTTCAATTTGGTGTAAGATTCAATCGATCCAGAGGCTAATTTGACTTTAGTTGTTTGACTTTTGGTCAAATATGGACTGAAGAAGTAATGATTTCCATTGTAGAGAACTAATTGTCTCTCTGATTGAGAGATTGTATTAGGATAAGGCTCAAGAATATGGGTAAAAACAGCTTCCACTTCAATACCATCCAATGAAGAACCAGGGGCAATCTTGTTCTCACTTAAATCTAATGACCAGGCCTGTTTACCATTGGGTAAAGTCGATGAAGAAACCAACAAATTAACCTTTGATTTATCACTTTTAACCAGAGAAGCTTCGATAAATGACAAATGGGCCAAATGATTGTCATCGAATGAGACCAAATATTTATCCACCGATGTCTTACCAGAGTTTTCAATCACAATGCGACACGTAATGGTTACCAGTTGGCTGGTTACGTCTATCATCCGGTCAACTTTTCTATTGATAACATCACTGTAATGATCGCCATTAACGATCGAAGAGGACAATCCGATGATCAGCAATAAGCTGATTGTTCTAATAATCATTGACATAATTAAAGAAAAACAATAGAATAATTAAATTCAATTAATTTAAATTCTAATGTCTTCAATTTGGTTTTGGAAAGAAAATCCTAAGGCTTGATCGGTATTCCAACAGATGGCGCTAGTGGTTCATCGGTTTTTCGGTTACCAGAATTAAATTTAATTCAGTTAATCAATATTCTTGTAATTTAACTTTTAATTGCTTTTAAAATTAAAGAATTTTTTTTCGATAAATGTTAACTAATTGAATCTGATTTTATGGGTGTTAATTTCTTGAAAATAATTTTATGATTCAAGCGAGAAGATCAATAATAAAGTGATAATTAGGATAATCAATTTATGACAATTTACTTTTTCAGTGATTAGTAAATCAATTGATTTGAATTTTTGTGAATTAAATTGTTAAACAATGAAATTGAAGTTTTTCGTTGTAAATTGTTAATTTGTTTTCTCTTTCATTGAGAATTAATTTAATAACAAAACACTTGTAACAATTAATCCATCACAAGGTTAACAGATTAACAATCAATTAGACAATTAAAGTTTCCATGATTGAAATTAATTTCTATCATTTAATTGTTAATCAAAGAGGAACAAAAAAAGCTAAAAAAATGTTAATTGTTGTGAATACCAAATCAATAAATTTCCTCATCAACTAATTATAACAATTGAAACGAAACAACTAAACTTGATGTTAATCACAATCACCGATTAACCAGATTAACTTAATTGTTGGATTAATAAATGTCAATATCATAAGAATAATAAACTAATTGTACAAAGAGAAAAAGTTAATTGTTTTCTTTTTTCATATCGATCATCAGAATTTCCGATTGTTCAGTCTAATTGAATTGGCGATTTTTTTTTTGATGATGAGACAGAAATTAATTCTTATTAAAGGTAAGAAGAGAATTTATTTTCTATCATGAAACATGAAGACAGAATCATCCACACCCAATGAGAATATGGAACACGAGAAAGAGAGAGAGAAAAGAAAGAGAAGATGAGAAAAGGTAAAGATGATCAACAGAGAAAGAGAAAAATTAACAAAAAGAAAGAGAATCGATTCTCTGTTTTGGTCGATCGAAGCGACGCCAAGCGATCGAATTTCTTTTAGGTGAAGGACACACAACATATACTCGACTACGCCCTGAGTTGTGTTTAAATTAGTGAATTAATTGAGTATCGCAATCGAATTTAACTAAATACTGTGTTAATTGTGGTTAAATTATCTATTGGGTAAGTTAATTAGAAGAGTATTTGATTCTCATGTGTTAACTATTGACTGTTTTCTTTAAATTCTATTTTGTGTCTTCCCTTCAATTTTCACTTTTCTTTTTTTTTCTCTTGTGATTTATTTTTAAAGGTCTCTAGTTTTACTTACCTGGATATAAATTTACATCTATTATTTTATTTATCACTTTAATTGTTTGTGTCTGTGTTTTTCTTTGTTTCTCTCTCTTGGTTTTGCTGGTTTTTAGAAGGTGATTGATTATTGTGCAAGTTTCCACCATGGAAACATCTACATCCAGTGTTACCACCAAAGAGATTTCAATCTTGGAAACTGTTGAAGATATTCAAGAGAGAAGGGAACAAGTTCTTGGAAGATATCAAAGGTTTAAGGAAGAAGCTAAAGAGAAAAGAAGTCTATTAGAAGATTCGAAGAAATTTCAATATTTTAAAAGAGATGCCGATGAGCTTGAATCTTGGATCTTGGAGAAACTACAAACAGCTTCAGATGAATCTTACAAAGATCCAACCAATTTACAGGCTAAAATACAGAAACATCAAGCCTTCGAGGCGGAAGTAACTGCTCATTCAGATGCCATTGTTTCTCTCAGTGCTGGTGGAGGGGAAATGATTAACCAGGGACATTTTGCCTCTGAAGTTATCACCCATCGTCTTGATGAACTTCACCGATTGTGGGAGCTTCTCCTTTCCAAATTGATTGAGAAAGGACTCAAACTTCAACAAGCTCTTTTACTCGTTCAATTTAACCGTCAATGTGATGAGGTTATGTTCTGGATTAATGACAAGGAAACATTTATTACCAGCGATGAATTGGGTCAAGATTTGGAACATGTTGAAGTACTTCAAAGACAATTCGATGAATTTCAGAAAGAGATGGCAAGCCAAGAATTTAGAGTTCAAGATGTTCACAAACAAGCCGATAAGCTTATTGGAGAAAATCATCCCGATCATGAAGTGATTGTTCGCCGTCGAAACGAAGTTGAAGAAGCATGGAAACGATTGCGACAACTTACTTTACTTCGGCAACAGAAACTCGCTGGTGCCCAAGAGATTCAAATATTCAACAGAGATGCTAATGAAACTATTTCCTGGATCCTTGAGAAAGATTTAGTTATATCTTCAGATGATTATGGTAAAGATCTTGTTAGTGTTCAAGCTCTCCAACGAAAACATGAAGGGATTGAAAGAGATTTAGCTGCTTTGGAAGACAAAGTTCTCATCTTAGGTCAAGAAGCTTATCGTCTTTGTGAACTTCATCCTGATCATAAAGACAAAATTCAAGCTAAACATTCAGAAATTGTTTCTAATTGGGATAAATTAAAATCTAAAGCTCAAGGAAGAAAACAACGACTCGATGAAAGTCATCTTCTTCATCAATTCTTGGCTGATTATCGTGACCTGACTTCATGGATTAATGATATGAAATCAATCATTAATGCCGATGAACTTGCTAAAGATGTTGCTGGAGCTGAGGCTCTTCTCGAAAGACACCAAGAGCATAAAGGTGAAATCGACGCTCGAATGGATAGTTTTAAGGCAACTGACGATGCTGGTAAAATTTTACTCGACCAAGGAATTGCAACTGATGAAGTTCGTGAGAAACTAATGAGCCTTTCCAGTGAAAAGAATTCACTCCTTGAATTATGGGAGAACAAAAGAATTTTATATGAACAATGTATGGATTTGCAGCTATTTTATCGTGATACTGAACAAGCCGACACTTGGATGGCTAAACAAGAAGCTTTCTTGGCTAATGAAGATCTTGGTGATTCATTAGATTCTGTTGAATCGCTGATCAAGAAACATGAAGATTTTGATAAAAGTTTGGCAGCTCAAGAAGAGAAAATCAAAGCATTAGATGAATTTGCTACCAAAGTGATCGAAGGTCAACATTATGCAGCTGAAGATGTTGCACAGAGAAGAGCAACTCTTCTTGAGAGACGAGCCGCTCTCATTGAAAGATCTGAAGCTCGAAGAGCGATTTTAAATGATTCCTATAAATTACAACAATTTGAACGAGATTATGATGAAACTAAAGGCTGGGTCATGGAAAAGTTGAAGACAGCATCAGATGAAAGTTATTTAGATTCAACTAATTTAACTGGTAAACTTCAGAAACATGAGACATTCAAGCAAGAATTGACCGCCAATGAGCCCAGGATTAGTGAACTTAACTCAAGTGCACAGTCTCTCATCCAAAGTAATCATTATGCCGCACCCAGAATCAGTGAAAGAGCTCAAGAGATCAGTGAATTATGGTCTAGTTTAGTTGAGGCAACTGAACGTAAAGGAAGTAAACTCACTGAAGCAGCTGATCAGCAACTATTCAATCATGGGGTTGAAGATATTGAACTTTGGCTAAATGAGGTTGAAGGACAATTAATGTCTGAAGATTATGGTAAAGATTTAACCTCAGTTCAAAATTTGATCAAGAAACATGCTCTTCTTGAATCGGATGTTGCTGCTCATCAGGAAAAAATCAACGATGCCATTGCCCAGGCTGATGAATTTATCGTTAATGGACACTTTGATGCTGATAATATAAAATCAAAGCGTAACAATGTCGTCGACAAATACAAGTCACTTAAAAAGCCAATGATTAGCCGACGTAATCGATTGAAAGATGCTCTTCGGTTGCAAAAGCTTTTCCGTGATGTTGAAGATGAAGAGGCTTGGATGAGAGAGAAAGAACCAATTGCTGCATCAACTAATCGTGGTCGTGACTTAATCGGTGTACAAAATTTAATTAAGAAACATCAAGCTGTCATGAATGAGATAAATAACCATGAACATCGTATCCGAACTGTTTGCTCGAATGGTGAAGATATGATCAACGAAGGTCATTTTGCATCCGATGAGATACAAAAAAGACTCTTCTCTTTGAACGATAAATGGCAAAGTTTAAAGGAAAAAGCAAACAAACGAAAGCAGGATTTAGATGATTCTCTTCAAGCTCATCAGTACTTTGCGGATGCAAATGAAGCAGAATCATGGATGAAGGAAAAGGAGCCGATTGTTGGTGGGCAAGATTTCGGTAAAGATGAAGATTCAACCGAAGCTCTTCTCAAGAAACACGAGGCTCTCATGGCCGATCTTGAGGCCTTTAGGAACACGATCTCGAGTCTACGTGATCAGGCAGCTGCGTGTAAACAACAAGAAACACCGATTGTTGATCAAACTGGTAAAGAGTTTGTCATGGCTCTTTACGATTATGTTGAGAAATCTCCTCGTGAGGTTTCAATGAAGAAAGGAGATGTTCTCACTTTACTTAATTCCAATAATAAAGACTGGTGGAAAGTCGAAGTCAACGACAGGCAAGGGTTCGTCCCAGCGGCTTATGTCAAAAAGATTGAAGCTGGTCTTTCAGCTAGTCGACAACATCTTGCTGAACAAAATTCAATTTCAGCTCGACAAGGTCAAATTGATAAGCAATATGTTAACCTTTTAGATCTTGGCGGTGAACGTGCAACTCGACTTCATGAATCATGTAAAGCTTATCAAGTGGTTCGAGAGGCCGCTGAATTGGGCCAATGGATTCGCGATAAAGAGCAACATGCACAAGTTCAAACTGTTGGTGATGATTTGGAAGAAGTTGAAATTCATCAGAAAAAGTTTGACGATTTCCAATCTGAATTGAAATCTAACGAAGCTCGTCTACGAGAAATGAATGAAGTTGCTACCAAACTTGTTAATCTTGGTCAAACTGAAGCCGCTGTCCGAATTAATCAACAAATTGACGAATTAAACTCTAAATGGGTTAACCTACAACAAGCAGCTGACAAACGAGCTGAACAACTTGGTTCAGCCCATGAAGTTCAACGTTTCCATCGAGATATCGAAGAAACTAAAGATTGGATTCGTGAAAAAGATGAAGCTCTAAACAATAACGATTACGGTAAAGATTTACGATCAGTTCAAACGTTACAAAGAAAACACGAAGGTTTGGAACGAGATCTCGCTGCTTTGGGCGATAAGATCAGATCTCTTGACGAGATCGCCCAAAGACTGATGAAAACACATCCAGAAACCGCTGATCAAACATACCAAAAGCAAATTGACATAAATCGCGAATGGGATCAATTAATTGCTAAAGCAACTGCTCGACGTGAGAAACTTGATGATTCCTATGAACTTCAACGTTTCCTTGCTGATTATCGTGATCTAATGTCATGGATCGTCTCAATGAAAACTCTAGTCTCTTCTGATGAGCTCGCAAATGATGTAACCGGAGCTGAAGCTCTTCTTGAAAGACATCAGGTAATTTTCCATTATTATTATCATCATATTTTTCTTTAATCATGTTTCAATAATAAGAAGAAAAAATCGTGAGTCACCCTGATTAACAGAATTAGTAATTTCCATATCTACACTAACCACTCCTTAACTCCTACACCCAGCTCACTATTCAACAAAGATGAACACTGTTGATGTAATTCAACCTTCAGAAATGTTAAACAAAATGATTAGTTAAGTGTAAATTTAACATGAATAATGAATTGAAATTTTTAAACAAAACAAAATAGATTGACGGTTTCTATTGAATTAATATTTTTACCACATTACTGATAACTAAAAATTCTTATTCATTGCAATTTAAACCTAATTATAAATCCTGATCCTAAATGACGTTGATTATATTTTCATATAAACGAAACATTTAAATGTCAAAAGTTTTCTGTATTCCGATAAATATAAATTTATTTTCTCTTTGTTTACATTTCAGGAACATCGAACTGAAATTGATGCTCGAGCCTCAACTTTCCAAACATTTGAAATATTTGGTCACCATTTGTTGGACAGAGGTCATTATGCTTCTGATGAAATCGCTGAGAAGATGAGAGAGATCGCTCAGGCAAGAGATGATCTTGAAAGAGCTTGGTTTGCTCGGCGAGCTAAGCTTGACCAATGTTTGGAACTTCAATTGTTTTATCGAGATTGTGAACAGGCCGAAAACTGGATGGCCTCTCGTGAGGCTTTCCTATCTTCGGATGATATGGGCGGAGATAATGTTGAAGTATTAATTAAAAAACATGAAGACTTTGATAAAGCGATAAGTGCACAAGAAGAAAAGATTGCACAATTAACTTCACTTGCTGACCAATTGATTGGTCATGATCATTATGCATCGCAACCAATCAAGGACAAGAAAGATCAAGTTTTGGATAGATGGCAGAATCTTAAAGAAGCTCTGATTGAGAAGCGTTCTAAGCTTGGTGAATCGCAGACTTTACAACAATTTTCACGAGATGCTGATGAGGTTGAAAATTGGATTTCGGAAAAACTTCAAATGGCACAAGATCAAAGTTACAAAGATCCTGCAAACATACAATCAAAACATCAAAAACATCAAGCATTTGAAGCTGAACTTAATGCTAACAAAGACAGAATCACTTCCATCATTGGTATGGGTGAGAAACTGATTGATCAGCATCAATGTGCTGGCTCAGAAGATGCTGTTCAAAATCGTTTAACCTCAATCAGGGAGCAGTGGCAACATTTATCAACAAAGACAACTGAAAAATCATTGAAATTAAAAGATGCCAATAAACAGCGAACCTTTAATGCTGCCGTCAAGGATTTAGACTTTTGGTTGGATGAGATTGAAGGTTTATTGAAAACTGAAGATTCTGGTAAAGATTTAACATCAGTTGAAAATCTCATCAAGAAACATGATCTACTTGAGGTTGATATTTCTGCTCGAGATGATCGAATCAAAGATCTTGACCATTTAGCTGATAGTTTAATAGAATCTGGACAATTCGATCCTTCTGTTATCCAAGAGAAACGTTCATCGATCAAGGAACGTTATGAAAGAATTAAAACTTTAACCGATAATCGTCGACAACGACTGAATGAAGCCAATACTTTACAACACTTTTTCCGAGATATCGCCGATGAGGAATCATGGATTAAGGATAAAAAGTTACTAATTAGCTCGGGTGATTTCGGCCGTGATTTAACCGGTGTTCTTAATCTTCGCAAGAAACATAAACGTTTTGAAGCTGAGCTTGCGACTCACGAACCTTCCATACAAGCCGTCCAAAATGCCGGTCAAAAACTCATGGATCAATCTAATCTGGGAATTCAAGAGATTGAATCGAGACTTCAAGCATTAGAAAATAACTGGCAAGATTTGAAGTCATTGTCGGGTGTTAGAGGAAATAAGCTTGAAGAAAGTCTTGTGTTCCAACAATTTTTAGCCAAAGTAGAAGAAGAAGAAGCTTGGATCTCAGAGAAGCAAAAACTGATCGCCGTTGAGGATTATGGTGATACAATGGCCGCTGTTCAAGGTTTAATCAAAAAACATGATGCATTTGAAGCTGATTTCACTGTTCATCGGGAAAGATGTGCTGACATAATTTCCGCTGGTCAACAATTGATTGTTGAAGGTAATCATCACAAAGATACCATTGATCAACGTTTGAATGCTCTTCACGCTCGGCTTGATTATTTACAAGAAAGTGCTCGTAAGAGAGCCGGTAAATTGAATGACAATGCAGCTTACCTTGAATTCATGTGGAAAGCTGATGTTGTTGAAAATTGGATTGCAGATAAAGAGGTTCAAGTGAGCAGCAAAGACTATGGTCGGGATCTTTCATCCGTTCAAACTTTATTGACAAAACAAGAAGCATTTGATACTGGATTGGTTGCATTTGAGCAAGAAGGTATCCTTTCAATTACACAATTGAAAGACCAATTGATTGCCAATAATCACATTCAAAATGAGGCTATTATGAAGCGTCATGGTGATGTAATGAACCGTTGGAATGAACTTTTGGCTGCTTCACAAGCAAGAAAACAGAAACTTCTTCACATGCAGGAGCAGTTTAAGATGATTGAAGATTCATTCCTTACCTTTGCTAAAAAAGCTTCTGCATTTAATTCTTGGTTTGAGAATGCTGAAGAAGATTTAACTGATCCTGTTAGGTGTAATTCTATTGAAGAGATACGAGCTTTAAGAGAGGCTCATCAACAATTCCAAGCTTCTCTAACCTCAGCTCAGACTGATTTCCAACAATTGGCTGAACTTGATAGTCAAATTAAATCTTTCAACGTTGGTTCTAATCCGTATACCTGGTTCACCATGGAAGCTCTTGAAGATACCTGGAGAAATTTGGAGAAAATTATTCACGATCGTGATGCTGAACTTCACAAGGAATCACTTCGTCAAGAGGAAAATGATCGACTACGAAAAGAGTTCGCTAAACAAGCCAACAGTTTCCATCAATGGCTCGCAGATACAAGGTAAGTAAATTATTCTCTCACTTAATTGATTAATTTCTAATCAAATTAACCTTATCTCTGTTTAGAATGTGGCTACTTGATGGCTCAGCGATGAGAGAGGGAACAGGCTCTTTGGAAGCTCAACTCGAGGCAACTCGAAGTAAAGCGACCGAGATTAAACTGAAGAGAGATGACCTGAGGCAGATTGAAAGGTTGGGTGCTACTCTGGAGGAACATCTTATTCTTGACAATAGATACACCGAACACTCTACTGTTGGACTTGCCCAACAATGGGATCAATTGGATCAACTATGCATGAGAATGCAGCACAATCTTGAGCAACAAATTCAAGCCCGAAATCAATCTGGTGTCTCTGAAGAATCGCTTCGTGAGTTCAGTATGATGTTTAAACACTTTGACAAGGAGAAGGGTGGAAAACTTAATCACCAAGATTTCAAAAACTGCTTACGAGCCTTGGGTTATGATCTTAAAATGGTCGAGGAAGGGGAGTTCAATCCTGAATTCGAGGGTTTATTGGACCAAGTTGACCCCAATCGTGATGGTTTTGTAACTCTACAAGAGTACATGGCTTTTATGATTGGTCGGGAAACTGAAAATGTTTCTAATCGTGAAGACTTTGAAAATGCCGTCCGGGCCATCGCCGAGGAGAAGCCTTATGTTACCTCCGAGGAATTATATTCTGTAAGTAAAACTTTTCCTCTCCAATGAATTGACTGATTTCATCTCATTCTAATGAACTTTTCTCTCTCTCAGAATCTCACCAAAGACATGGCAGATTATTGTTTACGTCGTATGAAACGTTATGTTGACCCCAAATCAGGACGAGAAATAACCAATGCCTATGACTACGTTGATTTTACACAAACTTTATTCCAGAATTAGTTTCCTGCTAAGTTTTTTTTCCTTCGCAATTTCATGAAACACGCTCTCTCTTTTTCTCATAAAAAAATCAATCAATCAATTATATATTATAATCTCTACCACCGCCACAACTTACATGAAAAACACCACAATCACTTGTCGCTCTTTGCTCTTTATCTATTCTTAAAATGGTATTTATCCTTATAAAAACCACAGACTATTAATTAATATTATTGTCATGATTATTATATACACCAAATATATTTACGCTAAAACCAAATCAATTGATTTCCAATTATTACTCATATGAAACTGTAAATTAATTTATCCAAAACTGAATTGATTTTCCCGGGAAAATAATCAAATCAAATAATCTTTACGATTTATAATCCATCACAATTAAGACCATTGTTGCCTATGATTAGGTTAATTTGATTGTAATTGTAATAATTCAGAAATGACTGACAATCCAGTGGTTACGAACACTTCAAGCTCTGGGTTCGCGTGCAGTTTGGTGGCCATTCAAGATGGTAATGACACTTTCGCGATCATGGTCACATCAATTGCGAATATCCTTGCGTTTTCAGTGAGTATAAATGAACACAATTAACTGATTGTATTTGTAATTCGGATTTTCGCCCATCAGCTTATGGTTGTTGCTACTAAATTTCTCATTTCCAAAGCGATGAAAAAATGCAAAAAAGGAACCAAACGAAATGAAAGGTAAAGTTGATTGTTGTGATTAAAGTAAATTCTGATTGATTCTGATTAATTTTCTCAAGTTGGTTAACATTTGTATTTTGTGAAAGACCACAAATTATCCAGCATAATATTGTTCCGATGTCGATTGGTCATCATTCGCATCCCATGTCAACATTTTCGCCTCATTATTCATTTGGTATGCGAGAAACGCCCGAGGCATCAATCCAGAGCACTGAGATTTCGGTGGCTAATGAATTACAATCTGCGGATCGATCGAAATCAACAACGGTCTTCAATGAGGTCGAAATCGTTGATTGTTTACATGTTAGTAATTTAGAAGATGATCTGATGGTCAATGATAAAAATCGCGAATTTTGTCTTGTTCAGGGTGAATTAGATTCTGAGATGGAGAAAAAGGATTCTGACCCTGACGGAATTTTCTATATAACAGATGAAGCGATTCGTAAACGAAGAGGAATCGATGCTCTTAATTATCTTCTATTTCTCCGACATTTGATCTATTTTCTTGGATGTGTCGCATTTCTTTGTACGTTCATCATTTTACCGATTAATCTGATGGGCAAAGACACCAAAGGTCAAGGATATTTTATTCATTTGACCATCGAAAATGTTCCCCCGGGATCGCAATTCTTTTGGGCTCACATTTTGGTGGCCAATTCATTTCTACCGATTGGAATTGCGATCTTACTTCACAATTATACAGCTTCAGTGCTGCAACATGAAAGGTTTGCCTCTCGAACTTTGTTCATTCGCAAGAAAACAAGTAAAAAACCAAAGCTCGCACGAGAAGATATTGTTTCTTTAGTTCAAGAAATTACCACCAACGAATTGGTCATCGAGGGAATTCAATTCGTTTACGATGTTCGAAACATGAGACGACACAAAGATGATTTCATTTGCAATTTCAGCGCAGAAAAATTTTGTCTCAATTATCTTAACAATTACGACGAATCATTTGAACTGCGGCCTTATTCTTGCGGCCAATGGTTAGGACTTTTAGGATTAGGATGTTTTTTCCCGAAAACATATGCACTGACCCACTATCGACGAAAGAAATGGGAGGCCATTCGAAACTTAATCCGTGACTACTCCAGAGTGATTTCCCGTGCTCAAGGTTGTTGATTTTTCAGAATCACTATCGATTGCCACTCGAAATTAATCACTTTCTAATCGTTTAAATTGTTCCCCTCATTCAGAAGCCTTTTTCATAACATTTAAAACTGAAGAAATGACTCGAAATGTGTACAATCAGATCAATTGTTCGTGTTTCTGTTCAGCGTGTTGTCGCAATTTATCCCCTTTATCTACACCTCACGAGACGGAATCGTGGAAAGCATCATTCGCCCCCGACCCGATGGACATTAATTGGGACGCATTGGTAGTTAAGAAGAGGAACATGTGGGTTCGATCGTGTTGGGTCAACATGACCCTTTTTGCGATCTTTTTCTTCTGTACCACCCCATCTTTCGTCTTACCTTTCATGTCCAACTGGTCAACTTTCGAGTCGTTCACCGCCTGGCAACAGGCAAACAACGTCTACGGACTAGAACCGCTCTCGTTTCTGGCCCAATACAGTAAACCTTTGGCTCTACTTTCGATCGCCTCCGTCCTGCCCAATGTCGTCTTCTACTTTTCCTCTCTTGTCCCTGCTCCATTGAAATCGGAACAAACTCACGCTGTCATGTGGAGAACCTATTGTTTTATGATTCTAATGATTATCATAATTCCTTCACTTGGACAGTCGAGGTAAAAATCGATTGATTCGTTTTCTCTTTTTGCTTCGAAAACTATTCAAAGTTTCGTTTTTTTCTTCTTCTTTTCACCAACTAACAGTTTCCACGAAGTTGTTCGTAGTATCGTAAGTAAACAAACGTTCCAATGGTACTGCTTATTCCATTCATATGAATATTCATTCTTCATCATATACGTCGTTCAATCGGCGTTCATCGGTAATGGTTTAGAACTATTGAGATCTTCTCGAATAATTTCCTACTTTTTTGTCAAGATATTCCAAACATCAAGTGAAGCTGAATTCGATCATGAAATCAATCAAATTGATCTTGAATTTAATCTTGGATTGAAATATTCTCGAATTCTTTTCATGGTAACTATGATTCTATTGTACAGTGTATCTTGTCCACTTATAACGATCGTCGGTAAGTTGACAGTCTAGAAAAAAAATTCTAATTCATTAATGATGTTTAAAATATTCTTCAGGCTTAATTTTCATGGTGATCAAATATTATGTCGATCGTCATAGTCTCTATCATTCATGTTATCCAAGTTCCGTTTCATGTAAAACTTATCGTCGGATTACCGTTATGTTTTTCTCGACGATTGTCATGATGCAATTTCATTTGTTTACAATAATTTACACCAAAAACGCTCCAAGAAAGGCATTAGCATTTGACCTGATTCTTTTGCTAATATCATTGGGAATACTCCCTTGTCTTACCTCTTTGGTTCGTTCGGCGAAATCAACTGATTCATCGAAGGTACATACAGTAAGTTCAACCTCGATTCGAAAATAACGCAAAAATTGATCAATATTTCAACGATTTTTGATCATTTCAGACAACCAATCAACCGACTGACGATCAACAAACGACTGATCAATCGGACAATCAACCAAATTGGTGCTGTTGTGCTTATCTACCTGAGATAATTAAGCAAATGGGAAAATCTAAATTTCAACCCAAACAATTTAATGACGATACTGAGACAGCCAGTTTAGATACTCGTACGAAAGATACAAAGGATTAACATGATCAACAATCAATTCTTTCAATATTAATTAATTATCATTAAAAACAAAATTTTCTTCTCCTTGATTATGATATTTGAATGTAAATCTTTCCTTTCGATTCGAGGCTAATTAAATTCACCGTTCGAACGGGTAAAGAGGATGATCTTTGGTGGCATCGAATGTGATAGTTCGTACATTTTTGTTGATCGATTTAATTGTTTCCATATCTTGTTGAGTTAATTGGAAATCGAATATTGAAATATTTTCAATCAATCGCTGTTTACTTTTAGTTTTCGGGATAATTGAAAGGCCTCTTTGGTAATTGTATCGCAGAGCGACCTGAGCCCATGATTTGTTGTATTTAGCACCAATTTTGATTAGATGAGCGTCTTTTGATAGATCGTGATGATTAGCGACAATTTCAACTCTACTTACATTAGCAAGTGGAGAGTAACAAGTAACCAGGATTCCTTGAGATTTACAGTAATCAACTAAATCATCATTGGAAAAGTAAGGATTAACTTCAATTTGATTGACTGTCGGTTTGATTGAACAATTAGCGAGTAACCTTTCCAATTGTGATACAGTAAAATTAGAAACTCCAATTGATTTAGCCAATCCTGCTTTGTAAACATCTTCCATACCCTTCCAGGTTTCCAAGTAATCAACATCAGAGATTTTATTGATTCCTGATTCAGGATCATTATCGTAGCCCATTGGCCAATGGATTAGAAACAAATCAAGATAATCTAATCCGAAATTAGCTAAACTCTCCTTACAACTATCCATCACTTGGGATTGTCTATGTTTATCATTCCAGCATTTTGATGTTATCCAAATGTCATCTCTTTTCAATTTACCAGAATCGATCACTGATCGAACAGCCTGGCCGATTGGACGTTCATTACCATAGATCCAAGCACCGTCGATGTGCCGATAACCGGCTTCTAATAGAGCAAATTTGATTAAATCATCCGCTTCTTCAATGGTCAATTTGTATGTACCCAAACCGAGAGCTGGGATATTCCGACCATCAGATAGAGTGAAACAAGGAGATGACATTTCAGAAACAATTAGAGATGATTGACACAATTAACTTAATTGCTTGGCCAATAAGAAGAGGCAAAGGTTGTCGATTGTTTCAAATTGATCACAATCAACAAAACAATTACGTTTGTAACAAAAGGTTAGGGTTCTTATTGTAAGGAACAACTGACTTTCCAAATTGTAGATTTTTAATTTTCCCTTGAACAATTAATTAAACGAAAACTGAGTTTCAATTGTTATCCGATTATTAATTGTTGTGAGATTGTGTTTAATTGTCCATTGTTCAGGTTTGTACAATTTATTGTTGACTTGATTTATGTGACAATTTTGGTAATAAAGTATTATGATTATATGAAAAGTAAACCATTGGGAGATAATTAAATGAATCAAATTTGTTTGGTGTAACTAAGAATCGTAATTAACTATCAACAGATAACAAGATAATTGATAAAAAGGTAACAAGTGATTATATTAATTTGAATCGATTCATTTTGATCTTTTCAGAGCTTCAAATCTTTTTGTCAATTCTTCAAATTCTGCATCCGCTTTCATCTGAATTGCTTCCGGTTTATTGTGATCTTTTTGTTGAGATAGTTGAGGAATTGAGGTTGGAACTTGTGGTAAAACATTTTCAATATCATCTAAATTGTCGCTCGTGTTGTTAACATCGTCTTCGGATTGAATGGTTGATGTTGACCCATTGGAATCTCCATGGGAAGGCGATGGAACCAGAGCGGGACTTGGGTCATCCGATTCGAGGTCTAACAGGAATCGGTCCACCATGTTGAGGTTTTTCTCATTCAGAATATTCGGATCGGGTTCATAAGCTAAATCCAAGCTTTTTGCAATCTCTGTGAAGAAAATGAGATCAACAATTAGAATGATCACAATTTATCTGATTTAAATCATCTTACCGACTAAATATTTTTCCACCAATACTTTGGGAGGAACCTCAACACCCAATCGATGAGCTAATTTCTTGTTGACTCTTCCAAGTGAGTTTTCTCGAGCGGCGATTGCGAATTGTTTCCCATATTTCTTGGACAAAAGATCGGCGACAACTTTCAGTTCTTGACATCCCTCGACTCTTGGTGCTGCCCAGATGATTGACGAAATGGCCTCAACCAAACCTTCATCAACGGTTCTCATTTGTTCAATCATTCCAAATCGGGTAATCAATAGATCACAATACATTTCGAGCATTTCAAATGCTTCAACCAGATAATCCTCTCTTATGATATGTTCAACTCGAATCCGAGCTCGATCAATTTTACCAGTGAAAATGTATTGACCGATTTCATTGCGAGATTTTTCAGTTAATGAGGTTTTCTTTTTACCAAGTAACCTTAATCTTTGGATTGATAATCTAAGATTAGTCTTTAATTTGGTAAAATTTGGTGAAATTGGAGGAACCATTTTGAGTTAATCCAATTGCTCAAGATGAGAAACCGAAAACCAAAACCAAAACAAATTCACAAAAAGTAAACAAAAATCTTTGACAATCCAAATATCCAGAGAACCGAATGAGCGATAATCAACAATTAACCTGAAATCGAATCAATAAAATCAAGAATAAACAACAATAATTAATGACAACAATATAGAAATCAACTGAAAGATAGAAACAATCAAAACAATCAACAGATTTGGTCCAAGAACATTTTGGTTACCATGAAATTAGTTGACATTTAATTAACTTACCAGACAAAATGAAACAGAATTCAAGTTAATCAGATTGATCAGTTTAGTGATATTTATCAATAGTATCAGATGAACAATTAAAGGAATGAAACATTGAGACAATTAAATTAAGTAAACAAGAAACATTATTCTCGGGCCTTTGATATTGACGTTTAATTGTAAACAACAATCTGGTTAATTGCTTAGTAACACAAAATTTTAGGTTAGTTCAAAAGGATTGGCGGTAAAAATAATAATGCAAATCAAGACAAACAATTAGCAAAACAAAATTCTTAATTGTAATTGAATCATTTGATTGGCTATTGAGAGGGAATGTAATTGATTCCAATTATTTGAAATTGATTAATGATTACATTGAGATCGGTGTTGAAATGATGTTGTTGGTGATTCGAGTGATGATCAAAGTTTAGCTACTCGAATGATTGATTGTTAGATAAACAATTATTCTTGGCTTAATTCAACAATCAGTCAATCAGTAAATCAGTAAATATGATTTGAAATGAATTCATCTAAACATTCACCATGTTGATTACATGATATAAAACTCACTAGGTGATGAAGATGAAGATGAAGATGAAGATGAAGACAAGGATGAGGATGAACAAAAAAGTTGCGTGTAAATTTACATGGTGAAAGTTTCATCCTTATTTTCAGCTGAACAACAGATAATTTCATCACTTGTGCTCTGTTCATCATCCTCATCTCATCATCATCATCTTCTTAATTATAATCTTAAGGAGAGGCAAGTAAATTGTTCTTGTAATAAGAATCAAGTAAACTTTAATTTCCCAGTGAATTTGGTTTCATTGTAAAAATTTTTTTTCTTTCTTGTTACAGTTCAACTTATCTAATTGTTTATCGTTAATTGTTTATCAAGTGATTAACTACAACTAATCAATCTCAAAATGGAAGCAATCAAGAAAAAGATGGCGTCAATTAAAATTGACAAGGACAATGCTATGGACAGAGCTGATACCGCTGAGAATCAATTGAAAGATGCTCAGACCAGAGTTGGAAAAGTAATTAGAGTTAATTGTGTTCCTTGGATTGTTGGTTAATTGTTTTCTTATTGTTTAGGCTGAAGAGGAAATCCAAGGGCTTGAGAAGCGATTAAATCAGATTCAGGAGGAGCTCGCAAAGGCCACTGCCGATCTCGCTAAAGCCAATGAAGATCTTGAAAGTAAAGAGAAGACCTTACACTCCGTGAGTTAATTTAATCGTTAGAAATTAAGGTTATCAATTAATTAATTGTTTCGTTGAAATCATAGGCTGAGAATGAATTGGCTTCGTTGTCTCGAAAAGTTCAACAACTCGAGGAAACTTTGGAAAACACCGAAGAGAGAACTCGAACTGCTCAAGTTAAATTCGAACAAGTTTCTCAGGCCGGTGAAGAAAGTGAAAGGTAATATTGATCCAATTTCGAATAACAATTAACTAATCAATTGACCTTAATTTAGATTACGAAAAATGTTTGAACATCGTTGTACCGTCGACGAGGAGAGACTTAAAGTATTGGAATCTCAACTGAAAGAAGCTCGAAACACCGTTGAAGAGGCTGATAAGAAGTGCGATGAGGTATATAAATTAATTAACACAATTAAAAAGAAAATAAATCAAATTCGATTGTTAATTGTTCCGTTTAAAATTAATTTCTATTTCCTAGCTCGCCAAAAAAGTCGCCGAGGTTGAAGATGATCTAGAACGAGCTGAAGAGCGAGTTCAAACTGGTGAAGTGTAAGTATTTAAAACTAAACAATTGATTATAATTAATGATTAATCAAATCATAAGAATTTACAACAATTAGACTAAATTAACTTAATTTATTACAGTAAAATCTTGGAGTTAGAGGAAGAGTTAAAAGTTGTTGGTAACAATGTGAAGTCATTGGAAGTCGCTGAAGAAAAGGTAAATTGTTACAACCCAATGAAATAAATTGCCAACAATTAACCCAATTTCCAATCAATTTCACTAATAATAATCACTCCCAATATCAGCTAAGCTAAAGTTGATTAAGTTTCCTTAAAGTAACTGATATCAGATAATATCAAATAGATTAACATTTAGATTTAGATGTGGATTAAGATTATGATGAAGAGGATTACCAATAGATGATTAGAAAGATAAATGAAATAACAACAGATTCTTAATAAATGGTTTAAATTGGGATAATCTAGATAATCGACTGGCTTAATGCCCAAGAATTAAAATGCTAACCAAACAAATTTCACTGTTGATCATCTTCATCTTGTCTCTATTTCGTAAATTGTTGAGAAAACAATTGTTCCTAAATTTGTATTGTAAGATTTTCATGAGACTTGCTCTCGATTTAAATATAAACAAAGTTAACATGATGATCTAAATGTTGATTAACTTAGAAGGAGAAAAAACAACCGTTAGGAACTTTTTACTTTCTCTCTCGTTCTCTCTTGATTTGGTTGAGTTGATAATCACACTTTCTCACTCCAACGAATCAACAGAACAACAGAATTTTCAGAATTTAGATTCGTACCTAAGACATTTACTCATTTTTGGCGAGAGGAACCAAATTAGATGCCAGAATATTATCTACCCAGATTACAGGGTAAACCTTTATCATGAACGGATAATCAACTAATCGGAAAGTGACAATATCATCATGACAACTTTCAGGATAATCTTCAGGATTATCTTCATGTATCATGTTCATGAACAAATTTGATCATGTTGATCATTTTTGCTTTGTTTCAACAACTTTTTCCCCTCTAATTTAATGTATATTTTTATTCAAGTAAAATGATAACATGAAATTAGATTGAGCCCTTTAATTAGAAACTATTTTAAGCAATTAACTAATTTAATCGTGGGTGTAATGTTAGATTAGATTGGGAAATGAGTTGGTTTTCCTTGTTTTGTCAACTTTTTGATTGTTTGATTTGATTGTTTGATTGACAATTAACTGGGATTTGTTGTTGTTTGTTGATTTATTGTCAATTGTGACAAAGACTTTGATTCAATGGGAAATTAGAATTACAATTAAAGGCGTTGAAGGAATTAAAAGTTGATTTTTTATCTCTCACAATCTAACAACAATTAATCTAATTGTTCTCACTGTTAATCAGTTAATCATTTTTAATTTCTTCTTTTTTTCTCTCTCTTCTTTAATCATCACAATTAAGTCTCTTGCCAAACAAGATGAATACGAATCAAGTATTCGTGTTCTAACAACTCGACTACAAGAGGTAAGTTTTTCTTCTTGCTGTTCACAATTAAATCGCTTAATTGTCAACAATTTGAATGGAAATTTGTTAATTGTTCAATCATGTTTTCGATTATAATTTAAGGCTGAAGCTCGAGCTGAGTTCGCTGAAAGAACAGTTCAAAAACTGCTCAAGGAGGTTGACAGATTAGAAGGTAAAGTTTTTTTTTCTTTCTACAATTAACTGATTGTTGGAATTAACTAATTGTTCTATTTTAATTATTATCAGATGAATTGTCTCACGAGAAGGAGAAATCAAAATCTCTTACTGATGAAATGGATCAAACTTTTGCTGAATTAACTGGTTACTAAATTGTTACGACAATTTAAAAGTAAAATCGCTTCTGCTACACAATTAACTATTTCCAAAGGAAAACGAAAGTAATTAATCAAATCAATGAAATTAATTTAAATTCAATTGTTAAATTGTCTCAATCAACAACAATAAATTACTTTATTTCCTTTAATTGCTTTTCTTTGTTGATCTCTTCCAATCAATTGATTGTTACTCTTTAATTACTATTACATATATAAAATTATTTCAATTATTAGATTAGTTAATTTGTCAAATGTAAATGGACACAAAATAAATACATTAACAATCAATTTAGTTAATTGTGGTTCTTAATTGTAATCAGATGATTGGCTTTTATCCCAAGCTACTTATTTGGTAATATTAATTGTGAGTTAATCTCAATTGTATTTACTTGACGATTTGTTGATTGTTAACAATAAACAAACTTTGAGAGGAAACAGTTAACATTGTTAAATATAAATTGTGAATCCATGATTTGATTCAGTTCAGTTGATCAACTGAACTTTTTTACACCGAGTTAGTTAACTATGGATTTTGTTATAACAACAATTTGGCTTAAGAAATTAAATTTCATGCCAAATCCAGTGGATTAGGATTAGGATTAAAATACAGAATCAAATATTTCCCAAGACACTTTGAGTATTATTTTCATGGGGAAGCAAATGAAATTCATGATATTCATTGAAATGGAAACAGATAATCAACTGATTAACATGGTAATCGAATATGTTAAATCCAATTGATTGTTGGAAATTAAATTAACTTGAAAAGTTTTCGAGATCATTTTTTTTGTCTTCACCATTTAAACTTTGGTTAATTGTGGACAATTTAATATTCATTTAGGTTTGATTTTTAATTGTGATAATAAATTGGCAACAATCATTAATCAAACTATTCAAGTTACAATTAACTTTCAAGAGGAATGAATAATTGACAATTAAGATCTCAACTTCTGTTTAATTGTAGCTTCCGTTGAATATATTTCCCTGTCACTAATTAATTTACTAAATTCATAAGTTAATTGCCAAGTTTATGTTTAAAGCCAAAAAAAAATTAAAAACCAAAAATTAAGTTAATTAAATTCACAATTTGATTAATTATTTCAATTGTTGAATCTAAATTTAAATTGAAAGGCCTGAAAATTTAAGTGTGAAGGTAAAACTTTGACAAGTTTACAAGATTCTGATAGATTAATGATTAACAATTAGATGTTAATTGTGTCAAGATTAAATTTGTTAAACTGATCAAAAAACTAATTATAAATTTAAATTAATCTAAAACCTTTGAAAATATTGAATTTCAATCAACTTGTTGTTGTTATTGTTTAGATATTGGATCAGCTGTTTACCAAGAAAAAAAGTGAATCGAGTTGATGTTTTCAAGTGATTAATTGTTTTCTAATTACACAATTTAATCAATGAATTTTGAGTTAGTTTGTAGTGGACAATTAAAATATTGTCCATCAGTGGTTGATGTTATTGATCAATCTCTTGATTGTTATATTGTTGGTTGTTATCAGTTAATTGGTGAAGGTGAAGATTCTGGTTTGTCGGATGATCAATTAGCCAACATTAATCAACGATTGGGTTGTCTTGTTTACATTGATTCGTCGGTGATTAAGTTTAATTTTGATTGTCCTGATGGTGGTGTGTTTGATTTAAAGGTGATTAAAGACTCTACTGGATCGGGTTGTGGTCAATGTTGGACTGCCCATTCAAATGGTACAGTCGCTTGTTATGGTTTAATCAATGAGACGATTGTTTTAAATCAAAGGATAATTACTGGTAGTTTAATGTTGTGTTCATTGATTGTTTGTGATCCAATTCTGGTTTGGTGATTGTCGGTGATTCTGATTCAAAAGTGATCGCTGTCCAAAAGGATAAGATAATTGCTGATTGTAAGGTTACCAGTTCATCGGGTGATCCGGTTTGGTGTCTTAATTGTATCCAATGTGATTCCAATTCATTTGTTATTTTCTCGGGTTCTGAAGATTCACAATTGAGAATTAGTTTACTTCAATCTGGCTCATTCTCGCCAATCTTGAAGACAATTAAAGATTTTACCGCTGGTGTGACTTCAATTGCGATAATTAACAATCCAAATAGTGAACATGATGATGGCGAAAATCACAATTACGATTATATTGTTTACATTGGTTCTTATGATGAGACCATAAGAGTTTATCGGCTAATCATTTCCATGGATGGAAAAGGAGACAATTTAATGGACCAACAATCAATTAGTTTGATTTGTTTACAATCAATTGGTATAAATAATTCGGGAATTTGGAAATTGATTCCAATCAAATCGCAACAGAATTGGCCTTACATTTTGACCGCTTCCATGTACGCTGGGGCTCACATTGTCCAAGAGAAATCAATTGTAACATCGATCACAATTCCCAACCAATTAGATGATAAATCTTCAAGTGATCATTTGATTTATGGTGTCGCTGGAACAGTTAATTGTAATCAGATAATTGTCACTTCATTTTACGAGAAAACTTATCATATATTTAGACGCTCTTTTTAAACACCAACAACGCACTAATTGAGAATCAATTGACGCGTTTCTGTCAACCAACTTGTTGAAAGAAAATTGATTGTGCCAATTACCATGTAATTTATATTCGTATTTTCTGAGAAGGCAAAAAATAACACCAATTGCATGTGGTAAATTCATTACCATGAAATGATGATTCAAATTTCAATGATCTTTCAGTTGAATGGGAAAAGGATGTTGACTCATCAGCGCCATTTCTGTTTACAAACATTTCCTTTTGAAAGTTGTGATGTTTTTGTTTTGTCTCCGGTGATTTTTCCTCATTTTTGTTTCTTTTTTCATGTTAATTACTTTTATTTAATCGATTTAAAACATTTACCATCACCAAGATGATCTAATTTCCATTAAGTGACCTCAAACTCTACGGAAATCCGCAAGTTCCAAGGCGTTTTTTCAATTTTGTTTCTTCATTTTCTCATCAAACTTATTCAACTTTTTCTATTTTCCTGATACAATTTCAATTCTTTTTCATTTTCAACTGATTACAATGAATTCTGATCTTGGTGATGCATTGGTGAACTTTTTACTGGTTTTTTGTATGTTCAGTTTGTCTCATGGTGACCCGATAAGATGCAGAAATGACCAAGGAGATTCTGTCGACTGGTCAGTTGTTTACAAAATACCAAAGGAAGCAAAAAATTATCAATCCAATGGACTTGAAGCTGTTTATTTATCGGACAAAGGTGAAAGTTCATGGAAACTATCAAAATACCTAATGAATGATGAGAAAAATTTGATCGGATTAACATTGTCACCATTGTATTCCTCTGGTGGAGATTCATCTTTAAATTATATTCTTTATTCTGATCAACCTCATAAAGGAGATACTCTGGGGGCTGGAGGTCATTCCAAAGGGGTCATAGTTTTTGACTCAACATCGGGCTACTGGTTAATCCATTCGGTTCCCTCATTCCCACCCGATCCAGCGACTTCATCTCGTTATGATTATCCTGCCACCGGAACAATCAACGGACAAATATTTCTATGTCTTTCTTTTAACACTCACGACATGCTATCGGATATAATTGAACAATTGCTTTACATTCAACCTCATGTATTCAGTAATTCATTGAGTCAATCAGCTTTCCAACAATTTCCCCAATTAAGTTCACTAATTGGCAAAAAGTGGATCAAACAGCCTCACAATCAATTAACTCTGAAAACTATTGGTGGACAATCACTGATCAGCTTTGGAAAAAGTCCCGATGCTCATATTGACATTTATTCACAATTAGCGGCTCAATCATTGAAGACTGACCTGTTAGCCGAAACCTGGAGGAGAGGAGCTGGTGGACCTTTACCCTCTGAATGCCAATTAACTTATCAGGTTGTTAATATCGACGAAATCACAATCAACTATTCAGACAAATCAGCGGTTTGGTCTTACATGGAGGACCATTCAAAATGGGCGATTAGTGGACAATCAACTAATCCATACATTTGCATCGGTGACATCAACCGTATGGCCTCACAGGCTAAACGAGGCGGTGGCCTGGTTTGCATGAAGAATCAGCGGGTTTGGAAAGCTCTTCGTGGTTCCATCAATCAATTTGAACCATGTCCTCGAAATAATTCCCAGAGAAATCAATCATTTTTCCAACGGGCTCTCCATTTTTTCACCAACATATTCACTTCTAAATTTTCACTTCCAGCGAAAACAATCACCAGAGATCGAAGGAAAAAGGAACTCAGATGAAACGGGAAACCATCGATCAGATCATTCCAACGGAAATATCATATCACTCGAGTGACTCAGTTCTCACAATCAACTTACAAAAATCATAAATTATTTTTTGACGAAGAAACAATCTAATCAATTTGACGATAATCAATGAAATTATTTACAAAAATCTGATCAGCGATTTAATTGTTTCAAATGATGACATGAGAAAAAAACATCATATGTGTTTTTGTCTTGAACATTTTTAATTATCTTTTGATGTAAAATCATTGATTGGTTGTAATTGATATTTAAAACAATCAAAATTTGATTATAAAGCAATCACCATGTTACGAATTGATCTTGGTTTGAGTGTTGTTGTTATCGATTTGCTAGCGAAACCATTGATTGTCATATCTACATGATCATTGTTGGTATTTAACAGAATTAAAACTAAATTGTTGTTCGGAGTGATGAATGAGGTAGTGTGAACATTGGCCGGAGCGTTGAGAACACTATTACCAACTCGAGTTGATCCGATGGGTAAAAATTTCGTGAAATGGGCTAATGCATAGTACATTGGATTCTTGTAATACTCTTGGGAAGTTGCGTTGATAACGATTGTAGCATCGACCCAATTCTTTGCCCAATTAGGTCCACCATCGGTGTTTACAGCTAAAGCCCAGTCGGTCCACCCTGTTGACCAATGTTGAAGACCTTCCAGAATATCGATAGCATAAGATTCAGCTCGATCCCAAGCACCAAGGAATTGAGAAGCTAAAAGAGAATCAATTGAAAAGAGATGAGAATCAAATTGTTCCGTTATTCTAGAAATACAATTTAAGATAATCAACTTACCAATTCCGAAATTACCCGCTTCACTTGAGAATAAAAAGTAATTCGGATATTTATCATGGACTTTGGATAAAATTTGATACGAAGATGGATAATTTCGAGAATACCAATGATAAGCGATACCGGTGACGTAAGAAGCGGCCTCAGCATCGTCCAATAAGACGGATGAATAACTTTCGATATCGTTAGTATTATCATCGTTAATCATGAGGGTTAAATTTTCCTTTCCCCAACCAGCGGCTTTAAGAGCTGGACCCAAGTCGAGTTTAACAAAGTCTCGAATCTCTTCAGGTTTCATACCCAAAGCATTCCAAGCATAACCTGACCTGAATCCTTCAGCGGGTTCATTTTCAGTGGTCAATCCCCAGAATTTGATTCCTTGTTCCAAGTAAGCATTCAAATATCTAAAATCAATAAGATAAAATAATGTTAACATTCAAGTAAATCGATAGTTGATTTTAATCACTTACTTGACATAATATTTAGCCCAGAGTTTGTAATAAACATCACCGGGTCCCCAAATTAAGCCTCCGGCACCATTCAGTTGATGATTAACTTTCATCCACGCAGGGGATGACCAAGCTGAACCAAAGGCTCGGAACTGAGGATTCAATTCCTTAGCCAACTTGAGTAATGGAATCTGAATATAAGATTTTTCGATAAAAAAGATCGATTAATAGAATCATGAAAGAAAAACAAGAGCATCGATACTCACTCGGTATTTGGTGTCTTCTTCGGCAAGAGCGAAATGTTTCAATTCAAAATCGAACTCGGTATCGTCCAAGGAATAAGCTCGAACCGATGAATCAGATCCGCCGATTGGAACTCGTCCAATATTGTATTCGAGACCATTAGGTCCAAAATAATCTGCCATAAATTGTCCAACTAAATCATCTGAAAGTGTATCGATGTTAATTGCTGCTCCATCGGTGAAACAACCACCGAAACCCAAAATGTTTTGCTTTTTATCATTGACATCAACGTTCAACACAAATTGATTGTCATTGTAAATCTTGGCCTTTGCTTGATCAACGGTAACAATTGTCTTCTCTAATCGTGAGGTTTTCTGATCTGAATCGTAGATGAATATTTTACCATGTTCGAAGGTCTTTTCAATGTCCAAAGTGTCACACGAATTTGCATCACAAACACAGACAAACGAATCGGCGGTGTAAGTCCGTTTATTACATTCGCTTGCTAAGGAAACGGAGAAAACAAGAAACAAACTAATTAAAGTTAGAAAACTCATCACGATTAACGAATCAACTTTTCGAGAACTCAACACTAAATACAATTAAACATTTTCTCTTCTTATATTTATACACCAATAAACTAATTCTTGCCAAGAATATTATCTAATTAACAGTTGATCGTTAATCGAATCCATTGTTTTATAATCAATTTCCATCTGACGAAAACAAAGCAAAGGTAAATGATAATTTCTCTGATATTTTTACATAACAATCAACAATAATTAACAACAATTCGATGTAAATTAATGATTATTATTGTTCCATGTTATTGTTTTACGATTAAATTGTTGTTACAAAATTTTGCTCTTAATTTGTTGCTATGATGATGATAAAAGATACAATGTACTTACATATTGATCTTGATTCGTGAAAGCGATCGATCAACTTAGAAAATGACCTGAAGTTCTGATCTTTTCTGTTCGATGAAACTTTCATCTGTAAGCTCGAATATTTTGTTCAACAATTTCAAGAACGAAAGAAACAAAACTCAAAATCTATTCTTTCAATCATTTTATCGTCATAATAAATTTACATTTAGATTAATGTATTTAGTAAATGTACTATTAATCTGATTGACTAAATTTGATTGTGTTTTGTATTCGAATGAGAAATTAAATCGCTGAAAAGTTTAAGTATTTTTTCATGATTCATTTTCAGAGTTGCTATAAGACCGTTTCTATTGTAAACATCACCGGTATCGTTGTAATCGATTGGATTTCCCTTCAGATCGGTCATGATACCATTTGGAATTGAATTGAGTAAAGCATTTGGAGCGCAAATGTCCCACTTCTTGATCGATGTACTGTGAACATAAGCATCGGCGAAACCCTTGATTAACTGGAGTGTCTTGTAACCCGAACCACCGGCACTTTTCACATCGTAACTTTTATCATCGTTTTTGTACATTTTGGCTAAATTTGATTTTATATCTCCAGTATGTGAACGAGATACAATGAATCGTAACTTTGATTCACTTTCACTCTTCATTGGAGTTGGAACATTTAAAATTAAGTCTTCGATAGATTCGGAGAGTCCGGTGTCTTTCCAAGCCCAATAAGTTTCCTGGCTGAAAGGTTCGTGGATAATTCCTATGGTGGCAACACCTTTCACCGCAACACAGGCCATTGTTGTGACATATTGGGTCAGATTCTCTGAGTATTCTTGGGTTGCGTCTAATGGATCAATCCAAACAACCAGATCTTCCATAGAGACCATGGAACTTGGTAGATTGTGAACATCGTCCGCATAAAGTACATCTTGAAGTTCACCGAAAGGCAAGAAAAATCCTTCGCCCTCGGGGCTATCTTTTTCTTCTGAAATGATTCGTAGGCCAGGAAATTTAGCCGATACTTGAAGAACCATCATTTGGTGGGAACGTAAATCTCCTTCGGTTAATAATTCATCTTTCCCATTCTCGTCCTTTGATTTAGATCGACTATGTAATTCTCGGTTCTTCATCACTCCGACCACTTCTTTGCCCCCTCTTTCCGCTGCTTTGATTAATGTCACCAGAAGAGTCTTCAGATCAATAGATTGTCCTCTGAAAAGTTAAACAACAAACAAATGAGAACCAAGATTAGTAATGGAAATCATTGAAATTCTGTACACGTACCCAAGGGATGTTGGTAGATTTGGCTCTCGTTTTCGAGCTTTAATGTGATTAAGAACATGATTAGTGATTGATGATGATGAATACAGAAGATAAATGCTAATACACAAGACTAGAACTACTATAAATCCAAAAGGATTTACTCGAATCATGTAAGGCCACATTTCTGTTGACCCAAAGTATCAAATACTCTGTGATACCAGATGAAAGAGAGTGGAAAGTAATTAAGTGTCATGAACAGTCAAAAAAATACGAAAGAAAAAAAAGAAACAATTAATTAACTAATCGAGAAAAAATGATTAGTAAATTCGATGAGAAAAAAACAACATGAATTCACAAGAATAGATAAAAAAATGTAAACAAAGATTTAAAAGGTAAACATGAGAGAGAGAGAATCGATAGTATCAGCTGTAAATGTGCGATAATATCGAATCTTAATTAGATGAGTGTTTAATCGGATGAATAGAAAATTTGTTTAATTAGAATAGTCTTTCGACTAATCATACAAACAGGATTAGTATTGTTGTTATGTATGGATAATAGAGTTGGTAGAAAAGGGAAAAAATCAATGGAAAAATTGATTTTGTTTTCGATTCCAACTTGAGGTAGTTTGGTTTCCATTTGGAACTTTTGAACTTTTATCAGTGATATACATGGAATAATGTTGAAGTTTCGAATGATGATTAGTGATGAATGTTAGATGTAGTTGGGGTGAAAGAGAATTATAAGTTAATCTTTGTTTTTTGATCAATTCGAAATGTAAACAAAGTCGAAAATGATTTGATCAACTTGACAAGATTATGGATAATGTTGAGATTATGCTGCCAATTCGTTTGCTTCGAGTAATATTCCTTGAGTAAATAGTTTCGATAGCGATTGGTTTTGCCAATACTCGATACTTTGCAGTGAAAAGGAATCAGTTCTGGTGAAGATTTTATCCATGAAAAGTTGTTCGAAAAAATTGACGGAATTGTTGTCGTTCCTTTTGACGATTGTTGTTTTATCATGATAAACGGCATAGTTGGGATATTCGAAAAATTGAAGAACTTCTCGGCTTCGAACAAAAACTCCAATGATATACTTCGGGCTGGTTTTCTTAGGCAGTGTAATCGATGATGGGACAGGTGAAGGAGGAAGATAGATGATCTGCAAAGGAGTTAATATAATATTCTTCATGAAATTATCTCCAAATTTACGATTCGAGCCGCGATCTGCAACACATTCAAGAGCTTTCTCGAGTTGGCCAATAGCTCCAAGAGAAAAATGGGAATTGAATAGCTCATAAAGAGCTTCGACAATGATGTCCATTTTTCCAGCGGCGATGTAAGAATTGATCTTCTCGAAAAGGATATTTTTGTTATTGTAGATAAAAAGGTCATCGGCAAAAGCATAAGAAGTAGAATTGACACATTCAAGAGCGTATTTAACTTCGAATGGGAAATCGTTCTGCAGAAAATCTTCTCCATAATTAACGAACAGCTTTTTAATCGCCATGAATTCAAGATCATCACAAGAGCTACTCAAGAAATCAGCATGAATCACTCTGATGAGAGTCGATAAATTTTCTCTTGATTGTTGATGAATTTTGAACATTAGAACAGTACTTTTTCCAAATTGATCTCGAGACAATATTCCAGAATTCCAGTCATTCCAAGAGTTCCAATCATTTCCCTCTTTTACAAGTAATTCTGGTGGACAGATTAATCTAAAGTAAAATTCACCATCCAAATCGTTCACTGAGGTATAGAATTTATGAATTATATTTTCATCGACCTTTAGTTTGAACAATTTCTCAACCCTGCCTTTGGTTATCATGAAGTTGAGATGGAAAATTTTGGCTTTGTTATCAATTTCCACTGAGATTTCATTGATTTGTATTGAATCAGATTGTTGTGAACAATTGGAATCAAAATGAATGGCAAACTGGTTCGTTCTGATCAAATTTCCCAAAGAAAATGAATCAACATCCATATTAATGACATTTAAATTGGTTGGAGGATCGAATAAACTTTTAGGAGAACCATCGAGTTTCCATTTGATTTCATATCTTTTTCCTGATTGACAAATATTGTGAATAAACGAGATCATCATATCAACGGATATCAACGGCAATTTAGCGGTTACCCAAATGAAGTCCATTCGTTTTTCATTGAGCCGTTTGAGTAGATTACAGTTCACCTCATCTCGATTTCCAATTGCAATGAATTCACCTCCTTCTAGACGGTAAAAGTTTTCCAATTGAGCATCAATTGGCTTCAATTCCATCAAAGAATAAGCAATTTGTTGAAGTAACAACGACAATTCATTTTCTCCGAAAACATAATCAACGGGCAAAAGATCAAGATCGAATTTCGCATAACATGAAGATTCTTGAGAAAACATAATTAAAGGAAAGAATATTAATCACTGAGAGAGACAGAGAAAGTAAACAACAAAAGATTAGAATTAAATTACAATTAATTTAATCAGAGAACTTTCAAAATCTTGACAGAAAGAAAAAAGATCGAGTCTCTTTGGAATGAGTCCAATTCTAATAGAGTGAAAGGCAGATTCCAATATCGAATCCGAAGAATCTGATATTCTAAAATCGATACTTTGATCGATGTATCGAAATAACTTTTTACCTTTTTGTTGATTTTTAATGAGAAAATAATCAAAATTGATGATTAATTAGAAAGAGATTAAATTAATTGACCTAATTAAACGAAAATATCGAGAAGAAATTGGCGAAACTGTTCAAATATGTTGAATGGAGCAAAAGAATCAATCGAAGACAAAAAATTTCGACTCATTTTTGACGTTTTTGGTTCGATGAAACAATTAACTTTAAATAGGAAGTTTAATTAGAAAAGAAAATACCAATAATTCCAACAATTAACTAATCCTTTAATTATCCATAAATATATCAATTCCTAGATAAATCCAATGTTCATTGATTAGTAACATTGATTAACAATATTGATAGAAAAGTAATACAATGTAATTAAAAGACAAAATTTTTCCGGGATTAATTAGTAGACAAGGTTAACAATTAACTCTTCAAGGATTGATTTAAAGTTGACGTGTTCTAATTTATCAACAGTTAAAGATTCTAAATAAAAAAAAAGATGATACAATTCACTCACCAGTCAATCTCTAAATTCAATTGAATTGAGTTCAGTTAATTGTTCCAATTGTCGATTCTTTTACTTTTCTCCCAAATGTTAATCGGGTTGCGCAGATTCTGAGCCAGATGATCAGTCAACTATTATTTTCATGTTTCCATCTGATTGTTTACTAAATTTCTCCCTGAAATCAACTGAATATTAACTCGATTAACTAATTGTTAGGTAAGTAAACGAACAATTTGACCAATTGGACTCTTGTTTCTTTCTGTTTATCAAAATCCATCAAAGGGTTAATTTTGTTTTCTTTTGTTTTTATTTTTTTCTTTAGTCTTGTTGATGTTTTTCATGTCTTTCTAAACGTTGATCATTTATCCTTGATGATGAATTTACTTACATCTTATTACGTGGTTTTCATTGTTATTATCAGTGGAATTGTTGATTATATTGATTGTTACTCAGCTGGTGTCAAGTTGAAAGATGTTGACAGTTTGGTCTTCAAGGCTGGTCAGTTTACCTTTAGTCGCAAGGGTGGACACTCTGAGCCTCAATTAAAGTGTCTTGGTGGACCAGTTAAGTGTAAACATCAACCTAAATTGGTTAAATGTTACAATCAAGGAATCAAAGGTTCAGGTGATTCATTTCGAAATATTAATTGGCGATGTGAAGCTGATCTTGCTGATGGTTATTCATTTGATAAAATCAAAGTTAATTGTGAACCATTTGACTATTCAAATGATTTGGTTGTCAAAGGCTCTTGTGGCCTTGAATATGTTTTAGATTTTGACAACGATGATGATGATGATGATGACGATGATAAAGACAATGGTGACAAAAAGGATCGTATTAAAAGGCAAAAGAATATTGGAAATTGGATCACCTATTTAATCACCAGAATTCCCAGAAAATCAGCTGAGCTATTTTTCCGAAATATCTTTTCATTTGTCTTCTTCTCTGCAATTGTTTACTTATTTTTCTTTGGTTGGCCTACTCTTCCAAGAAGAAGACGATCATCATCATCAACCCCACCCTGGAATCCTGATGAATCAACTCAATCAATACCCAATAATAGATCGAGATTCAATCGACAAGATCGTGAAGAAAGTATTTGGGCAACAATCATCAAAGTGATATTGGAATTTGCATTTGAAAAACTATTGAAAGCTTTCATCAGATGAACGGTCAATTGTCCCTTCAATTGGTCAGTTTGAATGGACGATTCTCATAAAGTTATCAAAGGTGATTCGATACTTGGATTGTGATATTTTCTTGAAACCAAAAAGCCAAAAAGTTTCGACGAAAACCTTGGTTAGAACTTTATTTTCTCATCAAATCGAAATCAAAAAAGAAACCCAACCAACTTGATTAACCCTCAGATTAATTGTTATTGTAATTTAAAAATGTCCCTTTTAATTTCCTGCATCAATACTGATTGTAAATGATAAATTGTATCATAAAAGACCTTAACTGTGAATATCCAAGGTTAATTGTTACTTAAACTCAAACCAACTCATCATAAACCAGATTATCTAAATAAGAATAATTAAATTGTTACCCTGACAATTGTCAACGACTTTGACAATTACAAGAAGACAAAAACAATTGGAACAAGAAATCGGCGGATTAGACAAGAAATTAAACTTGGTGACAATCTATTAATAGATAATCAAAAATTAGAATTCAATTCTATTGTAATCGATTGTAATCATCTTGAAGATTAACTAACAATTTGTTAACTAATCAAAGGTCAAGCATGCTCATTGTTGATGATTGATAAATTGCTTTAGGCGCCTCTAATCACATTGATGGCAAGTTAATAATTCACCAACAATTACCCTTACATGTTAATCAATCAATTAACTTTTCTATTGTTAATTTAATTACCTTTTCCATTGTTAATTACTCTGCCTTTCCAATGGCCTACAGTGAACCCAATGCCTGTGAACTTAATTGTGCCCACGATGAGTTGACCAGTTATGGTTACGAATCAGAACTTTTTGTCGAACCAAGTAAAACAATCGATTTTCTCTGTGTCATTTGTCAACATGTCGCTAAACGACCTAGGACCCATTCCCAACTAGCCGATGATGTTACATGTAAAGTGATCTTTTGCTCCGAATGTTTAAAAAGTTATATTCGCCATCATGACAATTCCTTGACCACTTCGGAAACTCAACGATATGCTCTCTGTCCATTTCGATGTGGTGCTAATTTAATTATTCGAGGAGTGAATCGTAACATTACATCAATTCCAAAAATAGTCTTGAATAAATTGGCCTCATTACAGATGTTTTGTCCATTCGCCCGAGGGACAGTTCGATATTCAAAGTTCGAGAATCATTTACAAAATGGTCAATGTGAATGTCGAGGATTCACTTTAAATGAGAGATTATCATTAGAGAAAAGAGTTGACTCCATGTTGAATAGGGTTTGTTCCGAACAATATGAGACCGATGAACTAATATTAGTTCGTGACTTCGCCCGATTCATTTTAGATTCACTTTATCCGGATTAAAGGATAATCTTTTCCAGGCCTAATCCATAACATCTTCCAGAATTAATGTAAAAACCAAAGGTAACAGAAAAAAGAGGAAAAGGAAATACAACAAATCTAATCTGAGTTTTTTTTTCTACAAATTTTCTAACTCCTTAATTACTTAAATCTTTATCTAATTAATATATCGTGAGAATTTGATTACAACTATCTAATCATTGACTCGTTTTTTTTTCATTCGCATCAATTTTTGTAACATTAATTCAATTGATTGATTAGATTGTCAAGACAAACTAATAACGGTTTTCATTTACTCAATAAAATCCAAATTGCTAATCATTGAATTCTAATTGCAATCATGTTTTTTAATTACTTCTCTTGGTGGATGATAAGATTAAAGGTGATTACAAGGTAACTTTGTTGATCGATTGGGGGGTGGGAGTGGAAACAGAGATTCAGAGCTGCTCCATGGTGGAGATCTGGATACATGGAGGGTGGAAGAAAATGAAACCAAGAGTTGGAACATTGATCCTGATTTATTATTAATATTCTCATTGATTCTTTAAATGTTTTCTATTAGATAATTGAAATTAATTCTATCATATCATATTCTAAATTAGAACTCGACTGATTTGGAGGGAGAAAGTGATAGAGAGACAGAGAATCTCCATCAATTTGAATCAACTTAATTTCTAAATTGTCGCGAAAACAACAAATATAATCACCATTCCCCGTCAACCAGTTCCCGGTTCCTCTTACTCTTCCTCCTCGAACTCAATTCCACCCTCTTCATCAACACTCCACCATCAACCAGCGAATCAGTTACAATCATACACACACTCCCACTCTCTTCGTCACCACCACCACCACCTCCACCATCTTCATCACCTTCAACAACCTGGACCCTCATCTTCATCACCATTGGCTCTTAGGCATCCACAGCATCCACAACAACACCAATTGATTTCGAGTGTCACCTCAGCCAATCCCAATCAACAACAATTGATTAAGAATCGACAACAACAAAGGGCCGTCGGTGTCGGTGGTGGTGGCGGTGGAAACCTTGGTTCGCTTGGCGGAAGAATGTACCTACTGGTGTCGAGCTACGAAAGTCGAACCGATGGTCCAACCTATGTAACCACTCGAGATGCAAACATAATACAGAAATTAAAAGCTCTCAGGATCATCGAGGAGCCACTTAAATTTACTAATTACAATTGTTACAATTATAAATTTGAATATCCGGACATTTGTGTCCTCGATTGGTTTCAATTGCTTGGATATCGAGTGCAAACAATGGCCATGACTTATGACCCCGGTGTCGCTTGTATCAAACACATTTGGACGATGTATGTGTGAATCAAGAGCAATTTAAATTGTTCAATTCAATTGCTGGAAGCCATTCAATTAGATTTTCATATTTGCTATCTATTAGGGTCAATTGTTGCCATGGATTAACAATCAACCATTGAAATCATCAAAATCGATTGGATTAAAAACTCGAACCTTGCAAACATCAATCATTGAAATTAATCCAATGATTAAATGATTACTGGTCATGATTATCACAATTTAGAATCACAGTTAATTACATTTCTCTTTTTACTCGTTTCTTTTGCTTTCCTTTCCAACAATTAAACTAAACAATCAATACTTTTGAGCTTCCCTTTTCATCAGCATTGTTTTTTTTACCTCTGATAATTTTTTCAACTAATCATTATGATTAATTAACAATTAAAAGTTGTAAACACAAGAGAAACAAAAAAGTGCTTCTTACAATTAAAAAAAACTAATTAAAGACTAAATCATTGTGGGCTTTTAATCACAAGAAAATTGGATAGATAATAATTTGATTGTCTCCTCGCCAAGATTAACCTTTGATTGGATTTTTATTTATCTTCTAATCAACAATTAGTGTTTGATTGTAGTAAAAAAAGAACAACAAAAAAAACAATAGATTAGATTGATTATTGTAAAAGAAGATGAGTGATCATATATTAATTGTATAGATTTAATTATAATTATAATTTATATAAATATGATTCTCTAAAGATTCATCCGAGAATCTAAAGTTAAGTTTAAATTTCTAATGTCGGATGATTGACGTTCTGTTAATACAATTGATGAAGATGATGAGTTTTCTTTTCAAACTGTAGTGAAGTGAAATTTCAACTCGCCCTCCAAAACAGTTACTTATCTAACTCATAGAGGGAAAGACAAAATTAGTTATTTCATCATCTCTTATAACCAAAGATGAGTAACTAATCAACGAGCAAAGAGTAATATAAGACTGCGACCTCCTGAAAAAAGAGCTGTTTGGGGATAAATCTCACGCGAGTCGCCACTGTCGTTTTTCTCTTTCTTTTTCCCTTTCTTTTTACTATTTTGATTTCCTCTCTTACTTTTCTCTTTCTTTTCGCAAAAAATTGGTTAAAGCTTTAATGAATGTTAAATTCAAGCTCAATTAAAATCTCGTTGAAAAATGGCCTTAAAATCATTCAGAAAACTTTTCACAATTTAGTTGACGAAAAGACTACTCTTTGTCAACGAGTCATTTTCAAAGAACTAATTAACTATCATCAACCTAATTAACTATTTTTAGTCAACTTTTAATTTTAATTCAATTCCATTAACTACCATTGATTAATTACCAACCGTAATCTCAATTAACCAAATGAGTAATTTGGTCTCTCTCCCCTTAAATTGTAACAATTAACCAATGGCAGTTGGTTATCAATAATATACTTCTTAGAATGGATATAAAAGAGATGATTTTCCTTAGGAAAATCAGATACCAAAATTAATCTAAGATTAAATTGTTTTAAATTTCTCTTAGAGAAATTATTGTGTCTCAAAGTTAACCCTAAATTAATTAGTTAACCTTAATCAATTTCACCTTGTTTTTTATTTGTGTTCCCCCATATTAACCTTGTGCTTAATCACCTAAGTTGATTTACCTTCATATTACCGTTTTCAATTTAGTTTTGTCAGTTCAAGAGGTAGTCATTTAATCACAATAAATATTTAATTTTTTGTTATGATTCATAAATTGTCACTTGGTTATTTTTATCAATCTTAAGACAACGGGAAGTAACATCCTGAAAATCGTTGAGGACTATTCAAACTCTAACGGTTTCAAACATCCGAATATTAAAGTGAATTGCCGAGTTTTCTCAGTCTCTCATTTTAATCTACGACAAAACAATTAGTTTTGATAATTAAGGAAGAATTAGAGGAGAGAGAGAGAGAAAAAAAAGAAAGATTTGTATGAGCGAGAGGGAAGAAAAAAGAATATTGAGTTTTAACCATCAACCTTATTGGTTTTTGTTGGTTTTAGTTGGATAATTACTTCAATTTTAGTGATAATTTAAACACAATCAAGTAATTGATTAAAACAAGAAGAGAAATGAAAAGAGCTGTTAACACAATTACGTTCATCAACTAAAGACAGTTTTATTTAATTTTGTTTGGGTTTTTATACGGAGAGAAAAACAGTTGAGAAAACATTTTAAAGTAATTGGTCCGTTTGAATATTTGGATTATGTTGTTGTTTAGAGAGAAAGAAAAAGACAGAGAACATGAGAGAGAGAGAGAGTAAGAGAGGGAAAATAGACAAAGAGAGAGAGATTGGTTTTCAATGGCTGTTGCCAAAGAGTAATAGCAAGAGAGAGCACTTGGATGTAACCATCGATAAGGTTTTATCTCTCCTTATCTTAGGGAAAAGGATGAGATCCAGGTGGAAGCACAATTCGTTCCGTACAAAACGTTACCGAGTCGCGGATTCGGTAATTAGAGCCTTGTGAAGAGAAAGTTACGAGAATCTGGTGCTTCCACCTGGATCTCATCCTTTTCCCTAAGATAAGAAAGATAAGAGCTTATCGATACATTTCATTAAGTGCTGTCTCTTGTTATTACTCTTTGGCTGTTGCGGCCTTCGGGGGCTTCCCACTAGTTGGGGGGAGCTCGGCTTATTCCACGCTTTCGCGTATTCACCTACCCGACTATTTTAGCCGACGTACTCAATCGGCTGTATATAGTTTAAACTACTAATCGAGCATCTAAATAATAAAGGGGGAGAAAAAGAGACTCGAAAATAATGAGTTCCCATGTTAAGCTTAAGGGTAAAAACGAAAAAGTTGAAAACGCTTACGGTAGGGGGAGAGGTTATTCGTAGGGGCCTAATCCCACGCCAGAGGCTTCTCTCCCCAATGCTGGATCATAGCATCAGTACTCGCCTCAGGAGTCGAACGCGGGGCCACAGAGGTAGTAAGGCCAATGTAAAGGCTTATCCTCGTCGCTAACCACTGGACTACAGCAGAGAGAGAAAGTAAGTTGGCGGTTGGAGCAACAAAGAAAAATAGTTGAAGCTCCTAATGGATATTGGTAATGATAACAATCATCTTAAGATGAATAATTATAATAATAATAATAATAATATAAAGATAATTAAATCATAGAGAGAAAGAGAAAAGCGTAATTAAGAGTAAATGGTTAATTGTGATTATGAGAATTGACCAAATGTAAATGATCATAACTTGGTTGTTATTTATGTTATATTGAAGATAAATATATAATTCGATTCACTGATTAATTATCTTTCTAATGATACCCTTATGATAATCTAATTCTGTGTTTTTATGATTATCGGGTCTGTGTCCCAAGTGTTCAACTGGACCTTAATTATTGACCAAAAATCAAAGTTTTTAGTTAATTACTTTTGAATCAATTAACCAATCAATTATGTTTATATATTGTCTGAATGTACTAATCAAGAGCTACAAGTTTATGTACAATTGAGCATCTAAATAATAAAGGGGGAGAAAAAGAGACTCGAAAATAATGAGTTCCCATGTTAAGCTTAAGGGTAAAAACGAAAAAGTTGAAAACGCTTAACGAAATGATTCCAATGATTAAATTGCTGTTAATCAAGTAAATTTAAGTTGAAATTAACTCTAATAAACCAACAGTTTTCATTGATTCGCATGTTAAATTTGATTAGTTGGATAATTAGGAGAGAAGAAATTAACTAATCAACCTAATAAATTATAATCTTTTAACGTATTTTTCTTAAAGAAATTAAGAAGACGAGGATCAGTCTTCATTCGGACATCAGTGTTAAACAATCCTTCGTACATTGAATAGTCGATCTTTGGTGCGGTGATTGGATGAAGACGATAATCAAAGTCGCTTTTGAACGCTGATTCTGATGGTTTATTACTCGAGGTGAAATCTTGGAAAATGTTGACCACAATTTCTTCATTCAAAACATGCTACCATTTATGAATCGGAAACCCTCGCTAGTTGGACTTGACCAGTGGAATGGTCACATTAAGACCGGGGAGATGTTGGCAAATAAAATTAGTGGCAACTACTCATCTCCTAACCAGAGACGAGTTAAAAATAAAAATAGCGATGAAGATGAAGATGAAGATGGAGATAAATATAAAATACCATGTAAACTACAGTAAATCACTTGGAAGGAAACACAAAATCATTAATGTAACGTAAAAAGTTACTTGATGAGTGATAAATGAATTAAATAAAGTAAGAACACAATTAGAAGAACTTTAACTAATATAATTGAACTTTTATCATCCAATGGTTGATCCAATGATTGTAATGAATTACACAGATTATTGGAATGGGTTAACTTAATTAAAAGGATAATGACAAGATGAAATCTATTAGAATGTTTTAACTTGAATGTTGTGATGATTCTAAAAGAAATGAACATTCTATTAGTAGATGATCTGGTTTTATACGAGATCGTCGAGAGTCACGAGTGTGTCATGTGAGTTGAAAGTTTATTCATCTTTGTCGGTTAGTAATAAAAGATTCAGGTTGATTAGTAATTAATAATTATGATCCAAATACAGTCAAGTACCTAAAATTGTTCACTTTTTGTACGGGTTATTCGTAGAGCGGGTGATTTGAAAGGGGTGAAAATTAATCAATAATTTTGATCAAAAAAATATTTTACTTGAACTAATCCTCTAAACAATCAGAAATTGTCATGAAAATGATAATTTTAATCTTTTTAAATTATTTTTATGAGATTTAATTAAGAAAAAAATATTCGCTCTAATTAATTCAATGGGGGTTAGTTCCAATTAGAAAGATGGAGCTACGATCGGTGGACAGTTTTGGGTACGGACAATTTCAGGTACTTGACTGTATAGTAAAGACCATATATTGATTAACACGAGCAATTGGTTATGGAAGGACGTAATCCTAAATAAGGGTTAAATGGTTATTGGTTATTGATAATGAACGGATTTATCCTTGTACGGGTTTGTAACCAGTGATGAATAATTAGACTGTAATTTACGTTACATTTCCCCCGACTAGAAGTTGAAACAGTCCCTTGTTTCAGTTTTCACTGTTGCAAAGTCGTTGATTTCTTGGATCCTTTAGTCTTAGAGGAAGTTGAACGCCAATTCAATGATGAAGATGAGCTTTCGCATGTTGTACGGGTTTGTAACCAGTGATGAATAATGAGACCGAAATTTACGTTACATTAATTTGAAACAGAAAGCATTTTATTGAAACTGATCTGCTTAAAGTCAACTCATCTAATCCGTTCAAGTCAAAATATCGAAACACAATTCATTTTTCTAAAACAGAATTCATTTTTATCGGAACACTAAAGGCTATTTCTATCTCAAGACTAGTCCTACACTTTAAATGGATTCGAAGCACTTTGGCCTTAGGATGATAAACATACTAATTTCGATAGTTTTTTCGATAAAAATGACTTGTGTTCCGAGAAAAATGAATTCTGTATCGATATTTTGAGCAAAAAAGATTAAGCGTCTTAACCTAAAACGGATTAGTTTCAATAAAATGCTTTGTGTTTCGAATTGTTGATTTTTTGTTCCCTTCCAAGTGATTTGACTGTAAATGTTTTTAGTTAGTTGGGATGATATTCCCTTTCTCCCAATTTTAAATTGATAAAGTTCTCGTATAAAATAATAAAGTAAAAGTGACAATTGATAAAGTGAATCAATATTACTTCAATCAGTTTCCCTCAAAATTTCTGATATGAGTGAAAACGCCAAAAAAAATCACCATAGTTTCCCGAGTTAATCAAAGCCACCAAGGTGAATATGATCAACACCAGGATTAATGTTATCATAACCCCATGGAAATAGTAGTGAAAATAACCAATGAACTTAACCTCAGACTGTAAGAATAGACTTTGACTAGATAACTGTTCAGGTTGGATGTCAGAGTGAAAGCAAATTCTGCTCCGTGTAACTGTTTATTGTCCAAGAACATTTTCAATTAATGTTTCATCATTTTAGATTGCTAATTGATTTACTGTTTAATTAGAAGTTGATATTAATCAAAATGTTTTTCGAAAAAATAACTTACCCTAGGTAATTAAAACGCAACAAATTCCATTTTATTCCCGAATCTTTGTCATTATTTTTCTCCTTTTCTCTATTCATCTCTTATATTATCGATCGATTTCCCTCCCCCTCTTTGACTGTTCTACTTTCTCTTCGAGTTCACCAAGTTCATTTACCTTTTCTTTCTCTTTTTTTTCACCTTTTCTAGTGCAAAAAATCCTCCTTTGAAGAAAGAACCAAACTGCTCAGTAGTTCCTGATGATCGAACTTATTACATTAACCCCTCGAACCAATCGACCACTTTGCTACCACCGATCGACGAATGGGATGCGGGGGATCCTTGTTTACCCTATGGATGGGAAATCGCCTGCGACTCGGTGGGAAAAAACTACTACATCAACCATATCAATAAGACAACAACATACGAGGATCCACGAAAGGTTGATCATTATGAACCACCCGAACCTCGGGAGGTTGAATTGGTTAAAGAACCTGAGAGTGACTTTGGATTTATTCTTGGTTCGGAAAATCCGGTGGTTATCCGCTCAGTCCGAGAAAAAGGCCCAGGAGAGGGTAAACTACTCGCCGAGGATAAAGTACTTAAAGTCAATGGTGTTGATGTTTCTGAATTACCTCGAGATCAAGTGATGGACATGATTTCGGCTGGTGACTCAGTTAAACTAACGGTTTGTCAGCCCAATTCGTCTCGTTCATCGGCCATTCTAACAGCCGCTAAAAAAGCTAAGGCACATTCATCTCGAGTTCGATTCGCTGATGGAATCACCATTAAAGGCTTCTTTCCGTTCCAAATGGTAAATGCAGCCAATGAACTGATTCCAATTCCTCATATATTGAAAGTTCAAACGGAAATCGGTGTAACCAAAATATACAGATTCGGTCGATCGATAACTGTACAAAACTTTGTCGATTCTCTAACGAAAAAGCTTGACCTTCGCTCACCAGAATGCTATGCTCTGTGTGCGGAAGTTTATAACAATGCGTACGAACCAAAAAGGATCTCCATTCTTGACCCCAAAGAATTGGTTTCCAAAATCGTAATTCGACTTCGTAGAGTTAAGAAACTCCGATACATGCTCAGGTTAACCTTCCTGCCGAAAAATATCAAGACTTTTATCGACTACGATCCAAAGAGTTACGAATATTATTACACCCAGTGTGTTAATGATCTAATTCTGGACAGATTTCCACTCGATTTATACAAGGAACCATTCGTAGTGTTCCGTTTATGTGCTCTTCGAGTTTACGTACACGCTTTGGAAAATAAGTTGATCAATAAGCGAGGAAAAGTTAAGATGAAAAATATCGAATACTTTTACGGTTTACCTCCTTTCGTACCAAAATCTTACGTCGAAACAATGTCACTTTCATCAATTCGAACGGGTCTCAAGAGACATATTCCAAAGTATCGAGGTCGATTTCTAAAAACTCAGAAGAGACTCACCGAAGAAGAGGTGAAGACAAAATTTCTAGTGACCATCAACTACACGACTTGGTATGGAAGTAGGTTTTTCCCCTTGAACAATCGTATCAAGCCAAATCAAAGATTATGGTTACTCATATCACCTTTGTATGGGATTTGCCATTATTATTATGGGTTCAGAGTAAACGTAAAATCCTTGGGGCTTATTGAAGATGTGACCGGGATGCATTTTCACAAAGAAGAAGATGGCAATTTTACTGTCAAGATAAAGCTGAACGGACCAATTGAAGAGCCACCGCTCATTTTCAATCTCAATTCTTGTGATACTGAACAACTTTATCTGACCATTAAATATTACCATCAAATTTTCACTGAAGAGGAAAAGGAAATAAAACAGATTCACACCTATTGGAATGCTGGACCTAAATGGTGGACTGCTTCAGGTGAGATAAGTTTCACAATATCGAGTCGAGAATCAATTCTAATTGTCTATTCAACTAATTGAACTATTATGCTTTTCTTTTACTTCTCAAAATGCTATCAAAGATGTACTATTATCACGGATTGGTAAGAATATTGAAACTTTATCATTTTTTAAACTATCAATTTTTTACTTTTTTTTACCTCCTTTACATTGAATATGATTTAAATACTATCACAATCAAAACCACAACTTAATTCAATGATTAGTTAGGTTTCTTTCAACTCAATTTAATTTAAATTCTTTCAAAGGTTTCGAATGTTTAATTTTGTTTTCTTTTCCTTGTTGATCTTCACACTTACTTGTTAGCATTTATGTATTAATATTATGTACATTGAATTATTGATTTATTGATCTTTCAGCTCCAAGATATTATGGTCCACACATGGTTAGAGTTGCCCCCTGGTCATATCCAAAAGCAAATCCAAATGAGTTACGAGCGGTTGACTTTTCCAAGCCATTGAAATCCTCAAGTCTTGATGATAATGGTTATGAATCAAATAGAGATGAATATGATCACCAAACCTTCAAGCCGATTTCTGCTGCAGCAAGTATTTCCTCCCTTGAAACGGAACCAGAGGAGAGTGGGAGAGATGATCGCACAGATAATCCATCGGATTAAGCCACATTCTAATCACTTTGTTAACCTTTTCAACTATTAATACAATAATTGATGGGACGAAAAACGGACAAAAATTTTACAAAAAAAAAGTTCCCAAATCATTTGATCGTTTTCAATTATCCATTTAAATGTAAAAGTCGAATACGAAATTGATTAGTAAAAAAGATGATTGTTTGAAAATCGTTTTCATATAATCTAATCTACTATTGTGACTAGATTTATTTCGAGTGTGAATGAGAAATTAAATCGCTGAAAAGTTTAAGTATTTTTTCATGATTCATTTTCAGAGTTGCTATAAGACCATTTCTATTGTAAACATCACCGGTATCGTTGTAATCGATTGGATTTCCCTTCAGATCGGTCATGATACCATTTGGAATTGAATTGAGTAAAGCATTTGGAGCGCAAATGTCCCACTTCTTGATCGATGTACTGTGAACATAAGCATCGGCGAAACCCTTGATTAACTGGAGTGTCTTGTAACCCGAACCACCGGCACTTTTCACATCGTAACTTTTATCATCGTTTTTGTACATTTTGGCTAAATTTGATTTTATATCTCCAGTATGTGAACGAGATACAATGAATCGTAACTTTGATTCACTTTCACTCTTCATTGGAGTTGGAACATTTAAAATTAAGTCTTCGATAGATTCGGAAAGTCCGGTGTCTTTCCAAGCCCAATAAGTTTCCTGGCTGAAAGGTTCGTGGATAATTCCTATGGTGGCAACACCTTTCACCGCAACACAGGCCATTGTTGTGACATATTGGGTCAGATTCTCTGAGTATTCTTGGGTTGCGTCTAATGGATCAATCCAAACAACCAGATCTTCCATAGAGACCATGGAACTTGGTAGATTGTGAACATCGTCCGCATAAAGTACATCTTGAAGTTCACCGAAAGGCAAGAAAAATCCTTCGCCCTCGGGGCTATCTTTTTCTTCTGAAATGATTCGTAGGCCAGGAAATTTAGCCGATACTTGAAGAACCATCATTTGGTGGGAACGTAAATCTCCTTCGGTTAATAATTCATCTTTCCCATTCTCGTCCTTTGATTTAGATCGACTATGTAATTCTCGGTTCTTCATCACTCCGACCACTTCTTTGCCCCCTCTTTCCGCTGCTTTGATTAATGTCACCAGAAGAGTCTTCAGATCAATAGATTGTCCTCTGAAAAGTAAAACAACAAACAAATGAGAACCAAGATTAGTAATGAAAATCACTGAAATTCTGTACACGTACCCAAGGGATGTTGGTAGATTTGGCTCTCGTTTTCGAGCTTTAATGTGATTAAGAACATGATTAGTTATTGATGATGATGAATACAGAAGATAAATGCTAATACACAAGACTAGAACTACTATAAATCCAAAAGGATTTACTCGAATCATGTAAGGCCACATTTCTGTTGACCCAAAGTATCAAATACTCTGTGATACCAGATGAAAGAGAGTGGAAAGTAATTAAGTATCATGAACAGTCAAAAAAAAATACGAAAGAAAAAAAAGAAACAATTAATTAACTAATCGAGAAAAAATGATTAGTAAATTCGATGAGAAAAAAAACAACATGAATTCACAAGAATAGATAAAAAAATGTAAACAAAGATTTAAAAGGTAAACATGAGAGAGAGAGAGAATCGATAGTATCAGCTGTAAATGTGTGATAATATCGAATCTTAATTTGATCAACTTGACAAGATTATGGATAATGTTGAGATTATGTTGCCAATTCGTTTGCTCTGAGTAATATTCCTTGAGTAAATAGTTTCGATAGCGATTGGTTTTGCCAATACTCGATACTTTGCAGTGAAAAGGAATCAGTTCTGGTGAAAATTTTATCCATGAAAAGTTGTTCGAAAAAGTTGACGGAATTGTTGTCGTTCCTTTTGACGATTGTTGTTTTATCATGATAAACGGCATAGTTGGGATATTCGAAAAATTGAAGAACTTCTCGGCTTCGAACAAAAACTCCAATGATATACTTCGGGCTGGTTTTCTTAGGCAGTGTAATCGATGATGGGACAGGTGAAGGAGGAAGATAGATGATCTGCAAAGGAGTTAATATAATATTCTTCATGAAATTATCTCCTTTCCTTTCCAACAATTAAACTAAACAATCAATACTTTTGAGCTTCCCTTTTCATCAGCATTGTTTTTCTTTACCTCTGATAATTTTTTCAACTAATCATTATGATTAATTAACAATTAAAAGTTGTAAACACAAGAGAAACAAAAAAGTGCTTCTTACAATTAAAAAAAAAACACTAATTAAAGACTAAATCATTGTGGGCTTTTAATCACAAGAAAATTGGATAGATAATAATTTGATTGTCTCCTCGCCAAGATTAACCTTTGATTGGATTTTTATTTATCTTCTAATCAACAATTAGTGTTTGATTGTAGTAAAAAAAGAACAACAAAAAAAAACAATAGATTAGATTGATTATTGTAAAAGAAGACGAGTGATCATATATTAATTGTATAGATTTAATTATAATTATAATTTATATAAATATGATTCTCTAAAGATTCATCCGAGAATCTAAAGTTAAGTTTAAATTTCTAATGTCGGATGATTGACGTTCTGTTAATACAATTGATGAAGATGATGAGTTTTCTTTTCAAACAATTAGTTTTGATAATTAAGGAAGAATTAGAGGAGAGAGAGAGAGAGAAAGAAAGATTTGTATGAGTGAAAGGGAAGAAAGAAGAATGTTGAGTTTTAACCATCAACCATATTGGTTTTCATTGATTCGCATGTTAAATTTGATTAGTTGGATAATTAGGAGAGAAGAAATTAACTAATCAACCTAATGGATTATAATCTTTTAACGTATTTTTCTTAAAGAAATTAAGAAGACGAGGATCAGTCTTCATTCGGACATCAGTGTTAAACAATCCTTCGTACATTGAATAGTCGATCTTTGGTGCGGTGATTGGATGAAGACGATAATCAAAGTCGCTTTTAAACGCTGGTTCTGATGGTTTATTACTCGAGGTGAAATCTTGGAAGGGAGAGTTACCATCATCATCGTTACTGGAACGTTTTAATCGAGGATCACGACGCTCAGTTCCAGGTAAAGGTGGAGTTCCTGATAGAGAATCTCTAAAGTCAATACCAGAATTTGATCCTGTCGAGCCTACGGTCAAGGTGGCGGCTGATGAATTATTAGCTAAATTTGTTCCACTTAAAATGTTTTGCCAGAAATCAGCGTGTTTATTTTCATCGCTTGTATTGGCTGCTGGTTGGGTCACTTGGAGTGTCGTTTGTCGGATAACATTTAACATTTTAACGATGTCAAGTTTACTTTTCACGTTTTTGTCCTTTTTCGACTCGTGTTTCATTGGGGGTGGTGTTGTATTAGGAGCGTCTTTAAGGTTTTTCAAAGCCGCTTTAACGGGCTCATCTTCCGTGTCATCATCTGAATCGGATAAAAGTTGCTTCATCTCTCCTCCACTTGTAACATCCAAAGGTTTGATCATTTGGTCAGATGATTGACCAAGATCGGAATCATTTTTCTCTTTCTTTATGTTTGATTCATTGAAAAGAAGGTCATTAGATTCGGAGTCTTCAGGAGTACCAATTTTCTGATTATTTGAAATACGTTGTAATAAATGTCGTGCAGCAAGAGGCAAATTATCAGGTATACTAGATGATGCTGATGGTGATGAATGTTCAACCTTTATGGATGAGGTGGATTCCATTGTATCCTGAGGGGAAGCAAATGAACTGCTAAATTGTTGATTATGGGAAATTGGATTGAAATTAGTTTGACCAAGTTGGTTTGTATTAATATTATCATGCCCAGCTGATTGGATTGAGGATAAATTGACTGACGGTTGATTAGAGGTTAATGATGATGAGCTGATAATTGATTCAATGGGCACTACAGGCTGTGGACCATTGAAACTGTTAACAGCGTAAAGAGGAGGAGGTGGGCCAAGATTGGTAGATTCTTGGTAAGGACCGGGAGGAAGATTTTCTTTAAGTGGAGGTAGTGGCATTTCTTCCGGCATCACAGGAATAGAGTACTGATTGTTATTTACAAAGGAAGGCGTTGAAAAGGAAGATGGATGCTCGTTATTAGCATTTATCAATTTTGGCTGCATTGGTAAGAGGGGAGGTGGACCTGAGGGAATCATCGTCGTTAAACTGGACGGTGAATTATTTGAGTGAACTGATGGTGTTGAGGATATTAAGGCTTGAGAGTCAAAAGGTATTGATGGCGGAGATGAATTTAAATTTGGTAGATGATGAGGTGGAAGCGATGATAAATGATCCGGTGGTAGACCTGGAAAAGATGATGAATCAACTGGTGCTGGACCTGGGGCACCCATGGGTGGAGGTAATCTCGGTGGTATTATACCTGATGAAGGTGGTAACCTTAAATCTTCATCATGAAAGCTCATCTCGATTAATTTATCATCTTCATTGACTGGACCAGAAATGGGATCACATTTAGATTGATCTGACATGGTATCAATATAATAAGACATGACTTTGGGTCCACCACCACCACCGCCTCCACCCTCTGGTCCTTGTCTCATCATCATGTCCATTTTATCATTACGATAATAAGGATGAGGATCACCTTCGGGTTGTGGTGGTTGTTCAATTATTGCAAATTCTTTCTCGATTAGAAACAAATTTCTTTTCGTACCAGTATAAGCTAATTCCAATTCTTTCATCTCTTGTTGCCATAACCATGTTAAATAGGAAGTTTTCATCTCTTCGGTTGGATCACCAAGAATTGCAGGTTTCTTTGCCCTGGAATGATTGGAATCACCTCTATTAACCTCATCGGGTAATTCACCGGAATCAAGATAACTTTTAAGTAGAGCTCGAGTTTCCTCTGTAAGAGGTTCATGGCTAAATCGACATTTATCACCTGAATAACATTCAGCACCAGTGTGGTAAAATTTACAAGGGAATTCACCATGCATGAAAAGACAACCATCGCCTTTACCACAAAATCCTTGGAGATAAAATTTACAAATATCTTTTTTCTTGGCTGGTTGGGAATCGTGGGGAAAGGGACATTCAGCGCCTTTGTGACATTTACCATCAAGATAAAATCTACAAGTATTTTTGGGTGATTTCTCACGTTCTCTGTCATTTTCTTTAGATGATTGATTTTGAGGAATCACAGAAGGATTTTGAGATGAAGATGATGTTGTGGTTGTGGTTGTTGACGGTGATGATGACGATGTACTTATTGGTGTTGTTGATGAGGGTGATGTTGTTGTTAATATTGATGCAGTTGTGGTGGTTAATGTTGAGTCTGTTGTTGATGTGACTGTTGTGGTTGTGTTGGTTGTTGTTGTTGTTGGTGATTGGGTTGATTGTTGCTGTGACTGAGACAATTGTTGGGATTGCGATTGATTTGAAGAGTGAGATTGATGGTGATGGTGGTGATGATGATGATGAGATTGATCGATGCCCATCATTTTATCTCTGTCTCTGAATCTATCGCGATCTCGGTCTCTATCTCGATCACGGAAATCTCGCCTATCACGATCTCTTTCTCGCCAAATCATTCGGTCCATTGTTCGTTCTCTCATCCTTCCACCTCTACCCCTTCGATCTCTAAACCCTCTTTGACCAAAACGATCGAATCTATCACGAGAACGATCTCTTGATGATGGGCGAAATAATCGACGATTTTGACGGACAATTTCCCTCATCTCTCTAGGATCCGATCCACTTTGAAGTCGCTTAAGTTTCTCCATCATTTTCTCAATTTTTTCCCTCTTCTTTCTCTGGCCTTTGTCTTTACCAGATTTTAACATCTCCTCCATTTGTTTAACCATTCCCTTGAAAAATTCTTCATTAAAATCAAGAGAATCATCATCAGAATCTGTTCTATCACTTTCATCCGATGATCCAGTGTCATTCGCTTCCCCTGGTTCCCTGGAAGCGGCTCGACGCTGTTTCGAAGGCCTTAACCCATTATCATCTGAATGATCTTTAGATGAGCCACTTTCTTTATCTCCTTGATCTTTTCCATCCTCATCTTTGCCATATTTTCTTCTTTTCCTTTTGTCAGAACTGTTATTCCTTGAAGATGATGATGTGCCTGCACCTGAGGTGCTGTTGTTGTTGTTGTTGTTGTTGTTGTTGTTGTTGGTGTTGGTGTTACTTGTGCCAGTGCTACTGCCACTGTTGGTGCTATTGTTACTCTTTTTAGAGTCACTTTTCTTTGAAGATGACCTATTTTCATCTTTCTTGTTCCTTTCAGAAGACCTTGAAGTTGAATTATTACCAGATGCTGAACTTGTGGATAGACCACTAATTAACAACCCGGACCCACTTTTATCACCTTGATTACCAAATGAAAATGCAGTTGAAGTTGATGTTAAAGATGATGAATTGGTAAACGTTGTTGCTCCTATTGTGGTTGGTGTTGTTGTTGTCGATTGAAGTTGTTGCTGTTGTTGGAGTTGTGACTCATCCTCTTCATCATCATCAATGATTTCACCTTCTTCAGCATCTTCGTTTTCCATTTCTGTTTCCTTTTTATCAATGGGATCACCACCTTCCTCCATAACTTACAAAAAGAATGAGGGAAAAGATGATAATTATATAGAGTAAATTTTACCAGAGAAAAATGTAAATTGTGAAGACCGAATGAGAGAGAGAGTTTAGCTCAATGAGTCAAAGTGAGTAAGAGAGAGAGAGAGAAAAAGGAAATCAAAGTGAGTGTTTGTATAGATAAAAAAAGAAAAGGGGGGAGGTGAAAATGTCAATTTGAACACACAGAATTAATTGTGCCCCATTTACAATTATTGTGCATCCGAAAAAAAAGGTTAGTCAAAGTAAAAGAAAAAACTTAATCGATTAACAAAAGTGCGTGTTTTCAGCTTCACACCATTGAAATTGGACAAAAACAATTTGTTTCTTTTTCTTTGATTGTTGATTGTTGGATGTTGAATGTTGGGTTGATGGAGAAGAAGAAGAAAAGGTGATGCTCACTAGATGGCAGATCGATCGAAAGATCAAATTCCTTCTTTTTTGTGTTGATGTTGAATCTCTTTGCTTTTGGTTTGAAAATAATCAAAAGTAAATTCAATTGTTTTTGATTATTAAAAAGGCAAAAAACAAATGATAATTACTTTTTCATTGAGTGTTAAAAATAGAACGTTTTGTGAAATGTATACTTGATACTTTGGAAATCCAGTGAGAGTAAATGTATGTATTTGTAAGAGTAATTGTGTATGTATGTGTGTATATGTATGTATATATGTGTGTGTGTGTATTAATGTGTATGTGTATTTGTATGTGTGTGTGTGTGTGTGTGTGAGTGTCAATGCAAAAAATGTGAAAGTTTAAATGTTAGAGAACCAAATCGTAGACAATTAATCATTGTAAATTAATCAATTATTGAAGAAAATTATTAATTTTTAGATTGTAAGCAAAAAAAAATAGAAACAAAATAAACTGAAAATAAAAGTATAAGGGAAGACAAATTTATATGAATGGTTTGAAAAAACATAAAGTGAAGTGATCACGAGCGAGTCCTACTTGAAAATAAAGCTCATTCAATTGAATATGTCAAAAGAAACAGGGAAATAGAAAGAGAAAATAGAAAGAGAGAGAGACAGAGAGAGAGAGAGAGAGAGAGATGGACTGAGACAGAGAAAGAGATCAACCAACTCCACCTTTAACATTAATGGGAAAGAAAGAGGAAGATGGAAGATAAAATGAAAATAGAAAGAGAGAGGAAGTGATGATGATGAAAATGTAGAAGCAGAAAAATATCGAAAGATAAAAAGACAGACAAATAGAAAGAGGGAAAAAGAGAAAACCAGAAAAAGGTGATGGCGGTTGAAGAGAGAGAGAGAGAAACAAGGAAGGGGAAAGGGAAAGAGAATAGAAACAAACCAATAAACTCGTTTATCAGGTTTTTTTCTAATTAGAAACAATTAAAACCAGAAGAAAAGAGTTTCTCACTTAACAAAAAAAACGGTTTTTACTTTAATCCGTTTCCATTAACAAGAAAAAAGCTTAATTATTGATTAAATTTTCAATGGAAAAGAATTTAAATTTCTATCCCCCTTTTCCCCTTTTCTCTTTCATTGTTGATAAGAATTCACAGGAACAGTGGCGACTTCTTTTATCGGATTAAAAGACTACTCTGAATCTCGAAAAATTAACTAATGAGAATTACTTTTAATTATGATAACCAATAGATGACAATTTAATAAATGAAACGTTTGTTTTTTATTGGAAAATTAATATTCTAAATCCAATCAATTTACCCTTTTATTGTATTTATCTTTTTGCATTTTTTTTCTTTAATTGTGATTACAATCATTATAAAGAAGATTCAATTTTATCCTCTCACGAGATTGTAACAATTTATTTCCCCTGATTTTCAAAACAATTAATTAACAATTTGTATTAGTCGTTGTGCTTATCAATCGGATTTAATTAAATTCTCTTAATTTAATTTCTTTTTTCCTCCATTTGAATTGACCGCCATTCTTTTCCCTGGTTACTGTAAACAACTTAAACTTCATCACATGTTTACATTTTGTCTCATTTGATTTATTTTGATTAACTGATTTACCTTTTAATTAGTCATTAATTAATTATGTTTTTTGATAGATTGAATGTTTCGTTAATTAGATCTTATTGTTATCTAAAGTATGTTTTCCAGAATAGGATCAATCTCTTTGGACCAGGAGGTCCATTTGGTCCTGGTAATGAACCTTTTTATTTTTTGATCCATTTTGTTTTCTTTAATTGTTAATCTTTATTTTAGTTAATTGGTTTTTTATTTTGTTTTTCTCTCTTTTCATATAATAGAACCTGGTTGTTTGATGCTACTTCCATTGGGTAATAATATTATTGAACAAAGAATATTGGACAATTATCATCAGTATGATTCAAATGTTTCTTCTGAAAAAGAGACTCCATCTTTTTTGGATAATATTTTTTTCGCTGTTCCTAAACAAAGGAAAACAGTTGAACAAAGATTAAGATCGCGATTCGGTGCTGCCCAATGGGGACCTCATGGATCTAAAATGTTAAAACGTCGATTTGATTTGGTTACTTGTGAAACTTGTGGAAATTATCGTGAAAAGATTCGTTTGTGTCTCCATTGTTTCAATAGAGTAGAAGAAGAAAGTAAGACAATTAAAGAAGCCATTGCCCGAGAATATGGATTGAATCCAGTGGAAAAACCAATGGAAATTCGGTACAAAAATGACCCAAAAAATGAAGTTACCGATAAAATATTGATCGAAGTGGACAAAGAGAGACCAATTTGGTTTAGCAAAAATTTATTACAACGAGCAAATGAAATAATACCCGAAAAAAGTGTAACAATATCAGATGATGGATCCAAAAAATGAAAATCATCAACAAAACCAAAACAAAATCTTGTTAGATATTGTAAAAATGATTACAATTATAGTCAAACATCACAAGTACATTTATTATATGCTTAATTGTTGTAACTTTTGCAACTAATTAAACACAACAACAACAACAAAAAACAAACTTTTCGTTGTAAACAATTAAGGTAAGAACAAAAAAGATCTGAGTTAACATCGGTAATGAACCATAAACTCTAATTTGAAACACTTTGGCAGAAAAAGAAACGAGTGACACTTGATCACAATTTAAACAAATCGACCATATTTACGATAATATGGAATCAATTGATTCTCATGTTGAGCATAATAATCTTTCCACATATCTTTTGATGATGAATAATTAAGGAGATAAGCCAACAATCCGACCGGCGGTCCTTTCCCTCGGCGGGTTAAGAAACCAGCGGGCATCCCGTATGGAATTACTCCTAAACTGTGTCCCAATTTAGGTGAATCATCTTCATAATCTTTGAAAATATCATGAAATCCAAATCTAATTGAGTAAAAGAAACGATCGTAAATTGGTTCAACAAGATTACACTGAACAATTAATCCATTTCCAACAAATGACACAATCACAATCACGATAAAAAGGGTTAACTTATTTTCCATTATCTTAATCTCATAATTTTTATCACTTCGATATTATAACATTGACACTGATTTGATGACCATCGAAACAATCAAAACAACACAATCATAATTTAGATATTAATCTCATCTTGATTGTTGTAATCTCTTGATGACAATTTCAATCCAGCAAATGATGTTAATACGGATTAAGAAGCAGAAAACAAGGAGAGGGAGAAAAAGAGAGAGAAAGAGATTAACAAATTGCTTTTTTTGGATTCTAAAAAAAAAGAGGTGCAATTGAATTAGAGGAACAACGAACTGTACATTTACCTGTAATCCATGACACCCACCGAACACAGGGTGATCCATTTGATGGCGAAATTCATGGCTGAATGAACGACAGAAAATACTCCTTACCTGGATTAGAATCATTTGTTTATCTCTTTATTATACCAATAAGAACATGTATCAATTATAATCAAGATTAGATCGATAACAAGCAATTAGAATCAACAATTAGAATTAGCAATTAAAATCGGCGGGAAGGAAGAGGTAAATTAGTTAATTGTTAAACAAATCAAATCTGCGATATGTTAATCACTTTTTCCGTTTTCTTTTCTTATTATTATCACTTTCACTTTTTCCAACATTCGTATTTAAATTGTTCCATTAATAGAAAGTCAACAATTTAATAAATCACAATATGATTGGAAAAAGAGAGAAATAAATTAATCTAAAATAATTGAGAGCAATTAAAATTGAATTAGAAAGACAATTAAGTGGGAGAAAGAAAAATTGTTCAGAAATTATTATGAAACGATTGATTTAGATTCGGATTTGATTGTTGTTAACTTAATTGTTGATCAATCATTGGATTGACAAATTTATCAATAAAGAAGGAGAATTAAAAAAAAATTAAGCTAAATGATTAACCCATTGGACCAAATCATGTAATCGATGATTAAATAAAAACCTTAATCATTTATTGGGATAAGAATCATGATCAAGTTAATCATTAACAATCAGTTTAATCATCTCATTAATCAATTGAATCCAATGATGGATAACAATTGATTGTAAAGTTATTTAATTATTATTATGTAATTACAATTAAAACTTGTTTTCGCAATTTGTTAATTGCAATCAATTTGTATCATCGGAATTTTAATTGTCATCTTAATTGTGTCTGTAACTTTTTTCACAGACACAGAGATTTAATTTAATTTGATGAAATTAATTTCAATCATAATTGATTATAATTTAATCGAGAGACAACAATTTAAATTCAATTAGTACGTTAAATAAACAATGATCAAGTTAATTAACTTAATTTAGTTACAGCAATCAAATTATATTATTATTTGTGTGTGTATGAAAATATTAATCAAAGCTTTTGATAAATTGAAACTGTTGATTAACAATTAACTTAAATCGATGCTGATTAAATTAAATAACTACATGAGCCCTTGAGGCAATGATTAATTGTTAGACTGTGTTGTTTAGTTTAATCACAATTAATTAATTTCCAGGTCAACTTTTTTCTGTTTAATTGTTAATCAAGTTCATTGTCTGGTGAGATGATCAACTAAATTATCAAATTAAATAATTTCTCATCAAATGTTTAGTTAATTAATTGAAAATAATATCAAATATTTGGATTCAATTAACCAGGAAACGTTTACAATTAACTTTAAACTGATCAACTGATTAGAGACTTAATTGTTTATTGAAAAAAAGTTACTTTGTTATTGCATAATTTGGCTAATTAATTGTAACAATTAGCAGATTGTTATCTATTAATAGAGTCAATTACAAATTTTCATGTCATTAAAAGCATTTAAATTGTTTCAATTAATTGTAAGAAAACAATTGAATTGCAATTAAGTTGATTTTTGATAAATCACCAAGAATCAAACATAACCATTAAAAAGTTAAATTGACAATTTATTGATTGTTATTAGAAGTTGATAATTGAACAATTTCAATTTCCCTTATTCTGAACATCATATTTACAATTTATTTCAATTACAATTAACTAATTAGCAACAATTAAGCTTTTCATTGATTTGGCCAACACGTTGAGTCAATTAATTTAAATTGTTCACTTTAATAAAACACAATTTTACATAAAAAATTAACATAGAAGACAATTAAAAACTAATTGTCGTAATTAATTGGGATCATTAATTTTTAACCAATCGAAAGTTCAATTTTTTAATTACCATATTAAATATCAGGTAAACAATTAAAGATTGAAATTGAATACAAAAATATTAAGTTAACCAGAGTGATTAACCTTTTCCCCCGTAAAAATCAACAACAATTAGCCAACAATTAAGAAGGAAATTATTAATTATTTCACCAAAAATTCACTCGAACTCTAAATTGCAACGAAATCAGTTCACCTACGATCTAAGGTCAGTTTCTACTCCCAACTGACCGCTGATAACTAACTAATTATCAACACAGCACTTTACACATCAACACTAATTAAAGTTAATTCCATCCAATGATTAACTAATTGTGTAATCGATAAATAATCAACCGATAATGTAAGAAAATCTAGTTAGATGTCGCTGTGACTTTCCAATTTCTTGTTACCTTTTTGAATGAAAACAAAACATTGAGTTAAAAGTGTTAATTGTTGCCCAGAGTTGCAAGTCAATGTGTTGACCACAATTAATTAAATTTCCATTCCACAATTAGTTCAATTGTCAACTGGTCAACAATCAATTAATTTTCTATTCCAATTAAATCAAAGGTAAAAAAAGAGAGGAAAAGAAAAGGTAAGTTAACCGATTGGATATTTTTCATTTTCTTTTTTTTTATTTATTCTTCTTAGAATTATTTTCTTCCCTTGTCTGGTTATCTCTTTCTCTCTCTCTCTCTCTCTCTCTGTGTCTCTCTCCTTCTCTCTCAGACTCTCTCCATTTACTAGCATGTAGTTTCTTTGATTCTATTTCTATTGTAATTAATTAATTCTCTTCCCTTCTCTCTCACTCTCTCACCCTCTCTCCCTCTTAATTCTGTCATTAAACTTGTGCTCCTCTTCTGATTCTGTTTATATGTAACATAATCAACAACAATCAACAATAAGAAATTAACTCTACTGTTTACATTTGTTTTTCTCTATCAAAGTAATTAAATCGTAATTGTCTATTGGAACCTCATCGTAATCATCAACTTTTATCCACATCAACCTTGATTGTTATCAATTGTTTCATCATCACCATCACCATCATCATCATCAATTAATCACTTGGTGAAAAATGAGAAAAAAATTGAACAATTTATTTATATTTACCTGTTTTCTACTTATACAAACGGTACATTCCGCTCACTATCCTCAAGGTAAGTGTGTTTTTAATTAGTCGTAATTATTGATTAGTGTTAATTGAGTTAATCTGTAATTTAAATGTAACAATTTCAATCTTTTTGCAACAAAAAAATTGCAAAGAAAACACATTAGTTGAAACGACAACGAAAAGAAATTGAAAAATTGAAAAAGGATTTGGGAGGATAAGCTTAATCCTTTCCCTTTCGTTGGGATAAACAAGATAATTAATCAATCTCTTTAATCATCTTCTCTCTCTCTCTCTCTCTCTCTCTCTCTCTCTCTCTCTCTCTCTCTCTCTCTCTCTCAAGCACCTGATGATGATGAAGATTCTGATATCTATGGGAGCGGCAATGGTCCTGATCCTGAAGGAGAAAGTGTTTTCCCATATGAAGAATATGGTAAACATGGTAAATATTATTATCCTTTTGAATAATTTAATTCCTTGAATCGGAATCGTGATTATAATTATTACTTGTTCCAGTCTAAAGTTACATGTAATTTGATTCACCATCTTTTCAATTAGGTTAAGATAATTGTTGTAGGCTTGTTACAATTAGATGGGATGATGATGATGATTAAAAGACAATCATGATATTTAATCAACAATTAAGTAATCATTACACTTAATATTATTACTTTGGTTAATCTTTAATTGAACACTCTCTTGTTGTTATTAACTTTCTTTACATCTTTAATTAACTTAATCAACTTGTTAATACAAGTTAGTTAGTTAATTATCTATGGTCAGCATATTTTCAATTAGATGATAATCTAAGGTGACCTTGAACTTGTAATCTCTTAATTTTGTTGTTGTTACTCTGATAATCCAATACTGAACATGATGATTATAGATTTACATGATTAGTTTGATTTAGTTTTTCTTTTAAATCAATTAACTGTTTCAATCTTTAATTTACTTCCTCTATTGATAATATAATTTAAAGATTTACTCATGATACTATTGATTTGTTTTTCTCTCACTAATCAGTTAATTGTTGGTCATCTTCTTAATCCGAAAGTCGTTGATCCCGAATAATTTGTTAATCATTTAGAGTAACAAATTTGTAACAATGAGTAGCCAGTCAATCAATTAATCATCAATGATTTTAAATAATTTGATACTTTTTGTGTGTAATTAGTTAATCATTTACCTTTTTTTTTTTAATTTCTTGGAAATGAAATTTTCTCGATTTGATCAAATTAAATGATTTCTTTTTATCAATCAAACTTGACAGTTAATCAAAGTTAGTTGATTATCAATTTTCAATAATTTACACATTAGTTGTACAATTTATATTTTAATCCAGTTTCAATCCAATTGAGAAATCAAGTTTCTCTTAATTAAATTAACTTTGTTTGTCTTTACATCCCATATATACCTTTAAGCTTGAATATTATCAATTAGATGATTAAGATTGATTAAGATGCCATTTTGATTGATATTGATTGCGATGATCAATAAAATGACAAGGTTACAATTAAAACTTGTTAGACAATCAAGTTAAACCAGGAATTAAATTATCATCACTTGTAATCAAAACTTTGGATCACAATTAACCATAATATTTAATCAGTAATCAATATAATTAACTTTAGACTTTCTCAATATAATATTTACTCTTCAATTGATTGTCACTTTAATTATAATTGATTTTTGTTAAACATTAATTGAGATAATCAAAGCTAATAATAAATTATAATAATTAAATGCCATTGATTATAACAGAAGTTATAATTACTGAGTTTGTAGAGTAATTTACAATTGATTAGTACCTTGAGATTTTTTTTAATTGTTATCATCGTGACAATAATTTACAACAATTAACTGTCACTAGAAATTAGTATTTACATTGATGATTAATAACTGATTTCTATGTAATAATAATCAATTAAAGATAATGAAAACTAATTATACAAGTTGATTGTTGCCATTGTCAGACAATGAGATAATCCAATGATTTAAATCACAATTTAAGTTGAATATGTATATTAATTACATTTAGGTGTTACAATCAGCCTACACTAATTAACTATTGGTGTCTCATTGTATTATCATTAATTGTGTTTATAACAACAATAATTAACTAACTACACCCGAGACATGAATGGATTAAGTTGTTGTTGTTAATTGTTGACAATTAAGGTTTTGAAATTTCTTGCCATTTGCTTAGCTTGATTGTTGAATTAAATTTAATTCACTTTTACCAAAATTTCTGTAATTTAATTTGTCAGCCCATTAATTTAATCAATGATTTCATATTTATTAATATTCACCAAGAGAAACAAAATTAATTCAAACAATTAATTTTATATAATACTCACAATGTTTCCCACTGTCAATTTATTTGATTATCATGATTACTCAATTAAACTTTTGGGTAAATCAACATTGATAATCATTCCTGACAACCATGATTCCTGTTTAATCTGAATTGTGATTTAATTTATGAGTTAAATAAGGAATTACAATTAATTTTACTTCATTTTATAATCAACTTGACAAGGTTAAGGTAAATCATCATTAAAATGAAAATTCAACTTTTTTTTTCTCGAAAATTTAATTCCACTCATTAGTAACTTAACTATCTACTAGATGGCGACACTGTACAGAAAAGTTTCTTTTATTATCTGATATTGAACATTGAATATCTGTTGATTGTAATGCTTTCAATTAATACAAACAATTTGATTTTTCTAATAACAATTTGATTAATTGCTTTAGTTGGATGACATGATCGGTTTCCAATGAAAAGTTTTTTGTTTCTAATTGCAACTGATTGTAATAATAATAATTATTATTATTGATTCTCAAGAGGATAATGATAAATTGTAATTACAATTTATCGGATTAAATGTATTGAAAGGGTTAATTAAATCAGTCAGGGGTAAATTAAGTTTAATTACATTGATTACCAAACATTCAATTAATTTAATTCTCTTGTTTCTTTATAATAGTTAATTGTAATGATTATCAAATTACTTGAGCAATATCAAGATTTACAATTAGTCTAGAAAGTTGATTAACTTTTTTACACTATTTTGATTTGATTGTTTGATTAATTAAGTAAAATAAGTAATCAAATATAGACAAGAAATACTTTTAATGATTGTAATCATTTAATTAAGTAAACAATTAATTACTCTGAGTAATATAAAACATGAACCAGAAACAGATCTAACAATTAATTGATTAACTAATTATATTGATGAAACACTTGATGCATCACAATTAGTATCGCCTCTCATTTACTTTTTCAAACAATTAGCAATCAAAATTTTCCTTACATCAATTTTAATTGCATTCAAATTTAAAACAATCAACAATTGTTGAGAAAAAAAAATTAATCAATCAATCAGTTCAAAAGTAAACACTGATTCCAACATTTGATTAATCAACTACAATCAGTGTTGCTGTGCATTTACAATTAAATACCAGTATCTAGTATTTAATTATCATCTTAATCATGATAACGATAATATCATCATCTTAATCATTTGGGTGACAAATGATGAAGATGCTAAGTGAGCAAAGTCCTTTTATTTTTACTTTTAGTTTTCATCATTTTCTTTATGCTTTTTTTAGACATTATCTTTAAGAGTTAATTAGTTTACTAATTGTTCAACAATCAGATCGATATTGTTGATATTGATTATATAAAATTGAAGAAGAAAAAAAAACTCAATATTAGAAAAGATAGAGAAAAACCCGATGAGAAACTAATCATAATTATCAATGATTATCTCAATCAATCTTTTAATTGGACAAATTTATTATTATTTTTTACACTCTTTCAATTGATATATTTTCTCCCCCACAATCAGTTAATCGTCACAACGTAACCACATCAACGCCAGCACCCGAAAAAAGCACATCGAGGGCACCATTCAGATGGCCACCCTATTCTTATCAATATTTTATCACAACACCTTCATCACTATTATCACAACCTTCATACTCTTATCCTTCATATCCTGGAAGATCCCGAGAAATGCCAATAACAATCACCACCTCGACCTCTACCACGACCACAACAACAACAACAGCAGCAACCCCAATTTCCCATGTAAAATATTCATGGCAAGAATATCAATCATCAATGAACCATGGAAATTCAATTGATCGAGATACGGTTTCGATAAAAGTTTATCCAACAAGTCAGATAATCTATACAACCCAAGAAGTTGTCATTAGATGTCGAGATGAAAGTTATCGTCGATTACCAGTTATATGGAGTCGTTCCGATGGTAGGCCAATGTCACCCGAAGCTATCGATAAATCTGGTCGTCTCATTTTACCAAATATCAAACTTTCCGATGCTGGTGAATACAAATGTTCACCAATAGATCAAAATTATCATTATTTATATTCCAACATATCAAAGGTTATTGTTTATCCAAGTAAGTCAACTACTGATTGAAGATTGTTGTTGATTAAAATTAACGAGCAATTAACACACTCACAATCTTAATATTGTACAGTTGAAAGCCTACGATCTCAACAAATGGCCTCAGGCTATGAAGTTTTCCAATGTCCATCCAGTAATTTAGAAACTTGTCCAGAGAGCACTAAATGTATTCCCAAGGCATATTTCTGTGATGGTGAATTAGATTGTCCCAATGGAAAAGATGAAGATAATTGTGGTAAGTTGATCAACAATTAACTTTCGAAAAATAAGAAAACCATTAATCATTTAATTTCTTTTTTAAATCATCAACAATCAGAATCATGTAAGTTATATCAATTTAGATGTCGAAATGGTCAATGTATTGATAAACCAAGAAGATGTGATGGATCAACTGATTGTCGAGATGGTTCAGATGAAATTAATTGCGATAATAATATTAATCAAAAAGGTAATTAAACAAAAATCCCACACAAAAAAAGTCATTGCTATGCGACATTAACTTAAATCAACAGAATTTAAATATCAGCTGATCAACAATTAACTTTTTCCTCCCAATCAAATGTACTAATAACTTTTTGTTTTCAGCCAATTGATCAACAATTTTCAAGATACAATTGAGTAAGTAACAATTGACTTTATCCATGAAAAAAAAGTACAACTAATCAACTCCAATCAATCAATTAACTTGACAAAATAATCAAATGATTTAATATAAATATTAAGAGAGAATCTTTCAAGTTTAATTAGAAGCAGTAATTTGGTTGATTGTTGAAGAAAAAAAAGAGAAAAGTTAATTACAATCAATAGTAATTACCTTTTCTCTCATTTTCTCAGGTCAACATTCTTTACGATGATATTAATTTTGATTGTAACAATTAAGTGAATGTTGATTAATTTTCGATATCTTATTTTCATCTCTTGTGTGTTTATGTTGTGGCAAAGGAAAGGGAAGATTATGATGGAAGATGAGTAAAAAAGCCTCTTAAGAAGACAAATCATCTTGTATCTTGCTGGCAGATCTCTCGAAAGCCACTTCTCTTCATGAGTTAAAATCGATTCCAGTGCCGATATATTTACGCACTTACCACGTCGCTGTTTCAAGAGAAGATGAACAACAAGATGAAGAAGAAAATGAGAGAAGATAAATTTTCATTTTCTTTTATTTTTCTTCTTCTTTCAATCTTCTCTAATTCTGATACTATCTAAGAGATTAAGAGGGAGGATAGAGAGAGAGAGAGCACAATTTACGATAGATAATTTAATTGGTCTCTTAATTGTGACTATTAACTTGATTGTTTCATCAGTTTAGTTATCATCTTCACACGGGCAAGGATGTTGCCCACTGAGTCGAGAAAATCTAATCCTTATAAAAGGATAACATCATTATCATATTCACCTTCATCTTCTTTATCCTCTTCTTCATCTAATTGTTTATCTGTGTCTTCATCTAATTGTTTACCAATGACAAGACGGAATAATAATTTACATAAATATCTTAATTGTTGCTTAATTGTTATTCCATTGATTGTTTTACTTAACCTTCAAACTGTTACCAGTTTAACCTGTGCCGATAATCAATATCCTTGTGCCGATGGGTTTCATTGTGTAGTTGAAACTTATCTTTGTGATGGTGATAAAGATTGTGCCGATGGTTCAGATGAATCCCGATGCTGTATGTTTCCTAAAATTCATGATAACTCATGAGATTCTAGAAATATAGCTAATATATGGATAATCGAATAACATTTTTTCGTAACTTTTTTTTTCTTTTCTTCTAAAAGCTAATCCAAGCTTCATTGAAGGTGATCATGGGGACAGATACTTACGAGAAGGTGAAAGTATTTCATTAACATGTCGAGCTACCGGATTCCCGATTCCAGCGATTCGTTGGAAATTCAATGAAGCTTTTATCACTTCGTCCAATTCCCGATTCCGAAATCAAAGTGCCAATGGTATTGGTACTTTAACCATTACTGGTGCTAAAAAGGATGACGAAGGAACCTATGAATGTGTCGCCGAAAATGCAAACAATTATGTTCACTTTAACTCTGCAGTTAAATTGAGAGTTAAATGTAAGTTGATTAGTAACAATTATCCTTTTTGATTAGATTAATTTTCAACTTTCTCTCCGTCTCTTTCCCAGCCCGTGACAGTGCCAATGATTATACGACACCAAGATCAGATCATTATTATCCCCAACGAGGTTTGTTTGTGATCTCAATTGCATCCTAATTGCTGTTTCAATTTTCTTAATTTAATATTAATCATTTACTTTTTCCTCATTCAAATTTATGTTGATCGTTTTGATTATTTTCGACTTTTTTTTCTGTTGATTTATTAACTTAATGTCTATGGCAATGTTCAATTTTGTGGGTCCATTTTTTTCATGGAAATTTTGTTATTAATTAATCATTTCTTAATCATTAAATTAGGTAATGTTGTACCTTTACAATTATCAATTGTACCACCATATATGGACGTTGAACGAGGTGCTTTCGTTCAATTTGCTTGTGCTTCGTCAAATCCTGGTGCCCGATTAGATTGGGTCTTCGAACAAGGTGAACTACCAAGAACGGCTTCTGTTGTAAGTGTTGTTTTGTCGCTATTTGGACAATTGTATCAGAATCTATTAGATGGGAAATTATCGAGAATATTTTTGAATGAATGATTTTGTGTTTTCTTTGACTTAGATTGGTGGCACTTTGACCATTCGAAATGCCCAAGAAACTGACCAAGGAACTTACATTTGTATGGGAACTGGAACTTACGGAACTAAAGCTGAAGCAGAAGCAAGATTAACCGTTAGAAGGCCACAATCAATGGTCACTGTGAATATCGTTCCAAGATACGTTGAAATTGAAGAAGGTGGTAATGTCATTCTGACCTGTAATTCATCGGCAACTATCGGTAGTACTTATATTTGGTCTTTTAATCGGCAACCACTTCCTCCTGGAGCTGAAACTGTAAGTTATCACTTTTTGATTTTTCTTGGGAAAATCGATTACAACGATTGATTAACTAATATTCAATTATTTCTCAATCAAGAGCAATAACAATCAATTGAGAATCCGATCGGCCGATCAACGTCATTCGGGTTACTATCAATGTAGTGTCCGATCTCAATATGGAGCTGGTGATGCGGCTGCTTTGGTCTCCATTAATCCAGTTTCAAGTGAACGTCGACCAGCAATGCTTGTTAAACCTTCTCACGCCGAAGTACCGATTGGTGGGTCTGCTCGATTCCTTTGTAATGCAACCGATCCAAGACCAAACCAAATTATATGGCAATTTAAACGAGGCCCATTACCTGCTGGTGCTCTTCAATCCCGTGAATTATTAACAATCAACCCAGTAAATGAAGCTCATTACGGTGAATATGTTTGCTTGGTATCAAACTCTTATGGACGAAATCAGCAAATTGTTGAACTTCACCGACCAAGTTCATCAGGTAAGAATCCAGTTGTATCTACTGGTCCGCTAGTTGCCATACAGCCTACGGATGGAATAAGTGTAGAAATTGGAGGTTTCGCTCGATTAGAGTGTCGGTCAAGTGATACTCCAGCCGAAAATATAAGATGGACTGTTCCGGGACGAAGAGATTTGCCTGAAGGTATCACAAGCGTAAGTATTATGATCAAATTAGACACTTTTTGGATTCTTATTTTTTGATTTCATTCTTATTCCAGGTAAATGGAATCTTAATGATCCGATCCGTTACCGAGGTTCATTATGGTGTCTATACATGTGAAGCCACTAACCACCTTGGAACAACTCTAGAAATGACTGAAATACGTCGACCCTCATTGAATCCAAACATATCACCACCCTATCGACCAGTCACAGGTCCAATCGATGCAACAATCGAACCACAACAACAAACAATTGTTCAAAGTAATTCAGGAATCCTTCGATGTATGGTAACAGGTTTACAAATTCCAAATATAATTTGGTCTAAAGTTAATGGAGTTTTGACCGAACGACATCGTATCGATGGTGAAATATTACGAATTGAAGATGCCGTAATTTCTGATCGAGGTCTTTATGTTTGTAAAGTTGAATCTCCACCAGGAACTGTTGTAGCTCAAGGATCGGCTATCGTTGAAATTGAACCTCGAGAAGCTCCAATTGTGGAGATTTATCCATCGGTATCTCAATCTATTCCAGTTGGAGGTTCGGCACTTTTCCAATGTCGACTCACTGCTGGTATTCCAGAGCCTAAAATTCAATGGACCCGAGCCGATAATTCACCTTTCACAACAACCACCGAAACTATCGAAGGTGGTGTAATCAGATTCCTCCAAGTTACTGGACCTGAAGAAGGTGTTTACAAATGTACCGCTGAAAACATCGCCGGTCGTGTTGAACACGAGGTAACACTTCGAATTGAGAGAAGTGAAATTCCAGTATCTCCACCCAGACCACCTTATCCTCCCCGTCCAAGGGAGCCTGAAGATGAAAATGATCGACCCGAATATCCACCAAGGCCAAGTACTAAAGTTTCCGTCAAGATTAGCCAACGATCACCATTAATGATTAGAGAAGGTGAACCTTTGGTGTTAGACTGTATTGCCGAGGGCTCAGTGGATGCTCAGGTTATTTGGTTGTCCAATTCAAAAGGTCAATATATCACAAAACCATCAATGCGACGAAATGTTTACCAAAAATCAGACACAACATCCGAAGATACCGGAGATTATCAATGTATGGCTCACTCTTCAGTTGGAACTACTCGAGAAACGATTCGAGTAATGGTCGAACCCAATTCTGGATCTCAAACTATCCCTCATCGTAACCCCTTACAACCGACAGTAACTCCTTATGAATCGATTCGTAATGTAACCTTGGGCGTTGGTGGATCGACTGAGCTCAAATGTCACGCCTCAGGTCCTGGTTTAGCTTCACCCACAATGACCTGGACTCGGGAATCAGGTCCACTTCCAGAAAATTCATTCCAACAACAAGGTACATTGTATATTGATAGGATTACCGAGGATAATAGTGGTACTTACACTTGTACTGGTCGAGGATCGAGTGGTGAAATTGTTGCCATCCAACGAGTACTTTTAAATGTCCAATCAAAGTTGACCCTTCACCTTGATCCCGTTTCTCAAGTTGTCTCTGTTGGCCAACGAGTTGCAATCAACTGTGTTGCCCCTGGAGCAGGAGCTGAACCAGTAGTGATAACTTGGAATCGTGAAGGAGCATCAATGTCATCAAGAACCCGAATCATTGGAGGACAATTGCTTTTCACTGAAATATCAACAACCGATACAGGAAGTTACATTTGCAAAGCAACAAGTTCCCTAGGAGAGGCTCGAGCTGTCGCTCATGTCCAAGTTGGCTCATCATCATCATCATCATCATCATCAAGTTCCCATCAAGACCATTACCAGCCCAGTCCAACACCCGTCAATCCAACTCCTTATTATCCACCAAACTATGAAACTCGACCTCCTCAGGGTAAACGAGAAATTGTTGACCAAAGGTCAAGTAAAACACTTTCCTGTGAATTCCGTCGTCTTCCCAATCATATAATTCAATGGGAATTCAATAACTTAAAAACATTACCACCCAATGTTGCTCCCTATGGAAATAACCTTGTGTAAGTGGCTTTTGTCTTATCACCAACAATTAACTAAATCTAATCATTTGTGTCTTGAGAGGATGAAACACTTAATTAAAATCAATTTCCTTATTTCCCTTAATTTAGTATATCAGATATTGGCAAAATGAATGAAGGACGTTACATTTGCAATGCCCATTTACCAGGATCCGAACGACCAATTGATCGTGACTTTATTGATCTAATTGTTAGAGGTAAGAAATTAACAGTCAATAATTAACTAATCATCTGCATGTTACCTGCATGTTACACCTAATTGTTTGTTGTATTAATGTTTCACTGTTAATTTACCGCATAAACATAACAACCAAATTAACAACAATCAATTAATTTTCCGATTGAGGAAACAGTTTTAAATTTTTCACTTTTTACAGATTAAAAATATTCCACTATCACAATTAAGGTTCAAGTATATTAGTAAATTGCGATGATTAAGAAGATGGAGAAACTAAATTATCATGATTATAATTTATCACATTTATTTTTCAAAGTTAATTATCAAATTTACAATTAATATGAAGAAAACAAATAATAGTTAATCAAGTGTTTACTTGTTGATCAATTGAAAGTCCAGTAAAAGTCAAGTATCTGATAATCAATTAAACATAAATCTTACCAATCAATTATCAATTTTACAACAATTAACCATGTAATTTAGTTGTGTTTGTTAATCACTAGTGATTACCATTGGTTTTAACACCCTTTTTTTCACGATTATCATTATTAATTATGATTAAATTAACCACTCAGACATTAATTGTTATTTATATTAAGATTGACAAACACTTAATGATCAGTAAATTGCTTACACTAGGCAATCTGATTTAACCAATGAAAATTTAACTTGACAATCAATTAGATGATTACCTTGACTTGATAATCTGCTTATTTATTAGTTTTTACCAGTTTCTCAATTCAATTTCTGCTTAATCAGCTTCTTAATATTAATCAATACAATCAACGATTATTATGATTACTATTACAACCTATTTGAAAAGGCTTAAGATTAACAATACATTTTATTAACTCTAATATTTAGATAGAAGATTAAATTGTGATTAACTTACTAATTCTTACATTAATATTAATCTATCTTTCTTAATCCATTTGATTAACCTTTTGTCTTTGTCCACCATTAATAATATTCTGGCTGTTTAATAGCATGATTAAGCTTTGGGATTAACGATTAATTACCGATAAGATTGAAACAATCAAATCAATAATTTCATATATTTAATTACAGATAAAATCAATGAATCAGCAACTTCCATACCAACAATTAATTCACTGGACAATATACCTTTGATTTCTCGTAAAATCAAACCATTTGATGAACATTATTTCTGGAAATAATCTAATTCTAATCAATGGAAATTAACCATTACAACCGCAATCTAATTAACAATTAACCCATTTACAATTTACTTACTTTTTAGTTTCAATTGATTATACCTTTTTAATTAATCTATCATTTACTATTTGTTGATTTCTGCCATTAACTTTGTCTTAACAGTTTTCTCATTCGTTGCCAAAACAATATTTTTGTTTTTCCAAACAATTAATCAACACGTTGTTACAATTAGTACTTTATTTAAATAACAATTAATTATAATCACTGGTCAATGTTTACAATTAATTGATAATCTTTTTCTTATTACAGTTAATCGTCCAAAATGTCATCAATCAATATCGTCTCTCGAAAAGAGTGTCTTCTCGAATTATTCGTGATTCGAAACTTTTTTTTTCTTCTAATTCTTATTATCCAATTGATATTAACTTTTCCATGAATTTTTCTTTCTAATTTTCAGATATTTCATCATGTTCTCCTTATGAGTTTAGATGCTACGATCAATCTTGTATTGATAGAGAATTGAGATGCAACGGAAGGCCAGATTGTCGCGACGGAAGTGACGAACAATTCTGTCACGGTGAGGAGTTGCCTCCTTTGGATTGTGATGATAATTGTGCGTCCATTGATTCCCATTTGTTTTAACAATTAACTCTAACTCTCACTAATCATGATCAACCTCTTGTCAATTCACAATTACCATCAAATTTAATCTTCAAAATAAGCTTAATACCTGAGCTTTTTTATCCTCATCAGTCAAATGCTGCCAACACCTTTAACCAATTTACCGTTAGGTTTTTGTTAATCTCTAAATCAATTTATCTGTCTACTAATTTAACTTAATTTTCACAGTTAATCTTAATCTCTATTTCTCTAGATATTATTAGATAGTCAATTCGACACCTATTTCTTATATTCAAACTGTCCGTTACTTTTGAATGAGTTTAATTTTCATTAGGTAATAATTAATCTCTTAATTCTAGACAATTACAACTTGTAATACAATCTCTCATTCCATGTTCAATTCAGAGCTCAGTTAATCATGACACAGATAATGATGATAATAGATTGACACAATCTTCTTGTTGTTCACCTTCGTTTCTGTGGATTTTCATTTGATCCTTTTTTCATAATAATTGATTGTTCTCAATTTTATCATCTCTCTTTCTCTTACCTATGCTTTTCTCTTGCTTGTTTATCTTCTTCATCCTCATCCTCATCCTCTTGATTTCTTTTTCTTTTTCTCCATGTTATCCTTTCTTTATTTCCTTTTATTTGGTGAAATAATTTTCTCTTTCTCTTTCTATTCTATTCTCTTTAGATTCGCAAGACTCTTATCCTCGATCACCAGATACCCGATCACGTTATCCATCTGATCCTCGGCCATATTATCCTACTTATCCCACTCAACCATCTTATTCTGATCCTCGGTATCAATCTCAACAACCAGTTCGAGTTGAAGTTAAAATTGAACCTAGTGAGCCATTGGTTACCGTTAATGACGATCTTGAGTTACGTTGTCGTGGAGATCAGCCTGATTATCGTTATGAATGGTTTAAAGATTCCCAACCAGTTCGAAGTGAAAACATCGAAATAAATCACAATATTCTAACTATTAAGAAAATCAAACCCGAAAATGGTGGAGTTTACACTTGTAGAGCCAGAAATCGTTATGGATTCGGAACTGATGATCATGTTGTCATGATACAAAGAGGTAAAGAGAGAGAGAGACAATCGAATCTCATTTAATAACATCGATACCAAATTAACTCAATTTATATTCGATTGGAAAGAAATAGAAAATCTCTTTGTTTTTTTCGAAATATTTTCAGTTCATTAACTTTTTTATTCTGCTGAGAAAAAAACTAGCAAACCTTGGCGATTCTCTGGTTATTAATATCATGAGTCTTTGAGTTACTCATTTTTTTTTAGAATTAAAATATCGACTGATTGTTTCTTTTTTCTTGAAACATTTTCTTCGTTAGTTTCACCTCAAGATGACATTAGGATTGTCGAAGCTGATCTTGGTTCATCTGTTGGTCTTGACTGTCCACGAACTATTTCTGGAGCTGCTTATACTTGGTCTCGACCTAATGGACAATTACCCAAAGAGATTGAAACATCAAACGAACGGTTAATTGTACGAAAAATTAAACCAAATTTCGGTGGTCAATATGAATGTACAGCGAAATCTGCTCAAGGGTCAACAGTATCTTTCGTCTCATTGGTAGTTAAAAAAGTTATCCCTCGATTCCGACGTGATCACAATTCACACATTAGATTATCAGCTATCCCTGACCCAGAGAAATCATTTGATATTGAATTAGCTGTTAAGCCAGAATTTGGTGAAGGTGTCATTCTCTACTCTTCGGGTCCCGTTAATCCATCAAATGGTCAACGAAACTTTATCTCCATCACTTTAAGTCGAGGTTTTCTGGAGTATCGAATTCGAAGTGGATCAGCTGCTGCGGCGAAATTGAAATCAACTAAACCCTTACCTCTCAACGAATGGACTAAAATCGTTATAACAAAAGATGGACCTAATGTTGTCCTTTTAATCAATGATGCGGCTGAAGTTCCGGTTACATTGACCGGTGATAATCTGGATCTTAAACTAGGTGAACCACTTTACATCGGAGGTGTCCCAAGAGAGACTGAAATAATATCGGAAGCAGGTTATCTTGAAGGCTTTAATGGTTGTATGTCTATCCTTAAAATCAAAGGTCGGTCCGTTCTGATGGCCGATGAAGGTGAAATTTTCAGTGTATCATCTTGTTCAACTTGTTCATCTGAAGTTTGCTCAGGTCACGGTGCTTGTCACGAAGATGCTTCAGTAACAACGGGCTTCCAATGTATCTGTCACCCTGGTTTCTCTGGTTCTAACTGTTCAGCCAATGTAGATGCATGTAAAGAGGGTTCATGTGGCCTTGGTAAATGTATCAATCGACCTGAAGGTGGTTATGATTGTTATTGTCCATATGGACGAACCGGACTTCGTTGTGAACGGGAGATAACGATTCGTCGTCCATCTTTCGGGGGTAAATCATTCGCAGCATATCCATCACCTAAGCCCATCACAGCCGAAACAAAACTCGAGGAAGAGGAAACCGCTGGCACTCCAAATAAACCAATGCCACAATTACAGGTTAAAATGCAAGTAAAACCAAGCCCAGAAAAAGAGGGTATAATCATGTACTCAGGTCAAGACGATTCGGGTAAAAATGATTTCGCAGCGATCGCGATTAAAAACAAGGCCATTGAATTTTCTTTCGATGCCGGATCGGGACCTGCATTCATCAGAAGTGCCCCATTGGAAAACTTTGACGATTTTGTTACCTTTAAAGTTTCCACCCATGAAAATATCGGTATTTTAACGGTCAACGGTAAAGAATACACCCAAACTGCCCCAGGCCCAACTAAAAGTTTACAATTAGAAACACCAGTTTACATTGGTGGTTTTGATCAGCAGAAAATGAAATTACCAAGATCACTTAATATTTCCCATGGTTTTGACGGTTGTATTGCTCATGTAAGTTGATTAGCATTTGTTTATCCTTCTTAGAATCATTTTCTCATGCTCTCATTATTTTCATCATTTATTTGCTCAAATTTCATCCTAACACAAACAATATAATATAAACTGACAGTAAATGAATGAAACAATTTATCGAGAAAGAAATTAACTAAATGACTTGAGCAACAACAACGAAAAACTTTCCTTTTGTTACCATTATGATAAAAAAAATCTTTATCCTCTTTTATATCATTTCCACCTCCACCTCTCCACCTCCTCTACAGGTTGAAGTAAATGGAGTCGCCATTGACTTTGCAAGTCAAGTTTTGGATGCAGCAAATGTAGATGATTGTGGTCCCCATGATTCATGTACTGAGGCTAATCAACAATGTCAAAATGGAGGAACTTGTCAAGGTGAATTATGTGTTTGCCCAACAGATTTCACAGGTAAATACCATCATTAACAGATGAAATTGATTTCTTTTCTTTTCCATTAACTGTATGAACCAATTAAACTGAACCAAATCTATTGTATTTTATTTATCCTGTTACAGGTCAACGTTGTGAGACATCAATTAAATCTGATGAAAGCCTAGGAAATACACTCAACGCAACAACAGCAATTACAACAGCGTCTTCGACAACAACAACATCAATATCAACAGCAACAGCAAATACTTCATCAATAACATCAGAGACAATCAATTCTATAGTAACAGCAACAAGCCAGCCAACGATGGGAGATGTAACCTTTTCCTCAACGGTTACGGATGCAACAACTTTACTACCAACAGAAACCACCACGAACCCACCGGTCACACCAGATGAGGCTTAATAGGCTTCACCATTGATAATTTAATATCATTTGAAAAACATTTACCTTTGTCAATCTAACCAAAGTATTAACAGTTTAATTAGTTGATTACAATCAAAAACATAACTATCTAATCAAACAATTTTGTCAACATCATTGAATTTGATTAACTCTAATCAAACCCATTCACTTATTTTGTTAATTTTGTCTTTTAATCACTTGAAATATTTGGACCGTTTTTTTTGCTGCATTTAAATTAAAATTAAATCGCTTACCTTAACTACTGATCAATTGTTGCTAATTATTAAGAAATTAAGTTGATATTCAATTGACCTAAAGGTCGAAAAGCTCTGACCAGTTAGATCTCAACGGGGAATTGATGTATTCAAACTACGAAAGGTCACCTTTCGATTGGTATTATTGTTTTCAATTCTATTGTTGAGTAAAAGTTTTTAACGAAATTCAATCAATCGTCACAATTAAGTTTTGATTAGTTTTGTTTTATTAGAAAGAAACAAAAAAAGTTCATTTGAAATGAGTTTTTTGCTTCTCGTTAGGAACTTGAAGTGATGTTAAAATCACAGATTTAATTACAATTAGATGGTTAATTAACAGTATTTACAGTGAATTTGTGAGTTCATTTGAAATCATCTAATCAACATGATTCTCGAGTAAATTAACGGTACAATTTAATCAAAGGAGAAACAAAAAATGAGTTAATCATTTTTAAAATCATCAAAGATAATTACAAGTTGTAATTAAAACGAGGCTGATTTAGATTGGAGGGTAAAAGAATAAGCTAAAAATGATTGTTGTTTGTGTGCTTTAAATTGTTGACAAATTGTGAAATTAGATCACAATTGATTTAGAAAATATAATCTATCAAATTAATTTAAATTGATTTTCAATGAAATACCTTTGGAGAAAATGAGTTTCAATTCATTTTCTCATTGATTGTGATTACCATTGTAACCGCAAATCATCAGGTAACTTTAGTCGCAGATGAACAATTTGTTAATTAACACAATTAACAGTTGATTATTCAGCAACAGCACTCGATCCAATTGATTTTCGATAGATACTTGTATCGGCAAATTTGCGACCGGTAAAACTGTAGGTCAGTCCGTTCGTCGATTTATCATTGACCACCATACATTTACGAAGAACCCGACAAATTCTGAACCTCGCCACGAATTCAGCTTTGAATCTTTCCTACAATTAGCAACAATTAACAAAGAGAAAACAAAACAATTAGCAAAATCATTTGCATATTTTAATTCATTGAAAAATGCAAATTGTTACAATTAGAAACAATTTAAAACTTAATTATGATTCAAACTTGAAAGATTATCATTTTTTTCAATTCTTTTAAAACGATTTCCTTTTTTTAAATTGTTTTACTAATTTTTTTTCTTTCACACTAATTATCCAAAATTATTATCCTATGCTAATTAAAACTCTACTATTAAATTATCACATTGATTAACAATTAAAAGTAATTAACACTTACCCCATAAATTGCGTATATGAAGGGATTGTAACAAGAATTGGACATTGAGAGCCAATGGCAACCAAACCAGATCAGGTTAATATATTTATATCTGTATTTAAATTGCGATAATAAAGTTAATTGTTGATAATTAATGAGGAGAAACACTGATTATTTCAACGATAAGAGTGATAATAATTGTCCTTTTTTTTATCCGAATAAAAAAAACAATAGTAATCATCATTAACTCTCATGAATTTTGAACACAATTAACAGTTAATCCATTGGAATATATGAGATTCTAGCAATTTATCATCCCTAAATTGTTACAATTAGTTAATTATTAACTTACGTATTTATGGATGGATAAATTTCTTGAAGGATATTATACAATTGAAATGGTAACCAGCAAATTGCAAAAAGTGCAACCACAATGAACAGCATTTTAATCACCTAATTAGAGGAATAAGAAAATTACAATTAGTGTTTAACAATTAGCAAATCATTAGCTTTTTAGTAATCAAGTTTACCAACATCGTTAATCATTCAATTTAAATATAAGGTACAACCTTTATTTGAAACAATTAACTGATCAAATTGAAGATATGATTTGATTGATTTGAGAAAATTGTAATTTTTCATCACCATCAGAATGATTGAAATTAATTATCAACACGATTTAATCTCGGAGTCTGATTAATTTTGGACTATTAATTATTCAGACATTTTAATCATTACTGATATTAGGGATTAGTGATGATTAACCTGATTCTCTGAATGAAAATCAAATGATAAATGAAACGAAAGGTTAATGGGAAACAATGACAATGAAAATATCATTCGAAATGAAGATTTGGATGATAAAAAAGTTCTGAGACAATGATAGTAATAATAACTTCAAGATTCATTTAACATGGAACAATAATTTTCTTCAATTCTCATTTTAATTCTGTTCAGGGGAGGAAAGAGAAAAAGCCGAAAAGGAGAACGAATAACAATTCGATAAAAAAAAGTTCTATTCGTATCAATGAACTTAATCAGTAGTATTTTTGTTCCCTCCATCAGTTCTGATCATATTCATGAAATATGAATTATTATCATGATTAGAATCAACGAACCGAGTGAAACAAAATTCCGAGATTTTTATTATTATTACCATAACAATGATCTTAATTTATATGTACTTACAATGGTAAGAGATAATCATGATTCCTGATCACCTGAATCTTGGCGATAGATGAAATTTCTGAGTCTTAATTTATGTTAATTGTATTTCCACTCAGATTGTTAATTATCTTTCCAGATTTAACTTGTTATCTCTTGTAATTATTGTGACTCAGTTGATTCTTGTTATTAAATAAAAGTGAAAGTAAATTGTTCATCAGTTAATTAACTAAATTAATCTATTTTAATTGTAACAATTCATAATTTGTCTCAAGTTTCTCAACCAAACCAACAATTAACTAAAAAGTTTCTTACTTTGCTTTTTTCTTTTGTAAATTGTTTCTCTTTTTAGGAGAAAAAAAATAACAATCAAAGCTAATTCGCTTGTTAATCAGATGATTATTTAATCCTCTTACAATTGTATTAATGACTAATTGAATTGTTACTATTTTCGATCATCATGATGTAATTTTCAATTTCAATATTTAAATATTTATTTTGTTTTGATTGTTTATTTTTAAAATTCATTCGATTATTTTTTTCTATCGTCTCAATTTGATCAGAACTTTTTTTTTCTTTTCTTTTTCGAGTTGTTCTTTTACCTTACCTCTTTTTCCTTTTGGGGGCTTACTGATTCTCAGGTATTCTATTGCTAAATTATTATGGTTATTATCATAATAATTTTTATCTCAGAGAGAGAGAGTAAAGAAAATTTCTGAATGGAAATGAACGTTCAAAAAAAACTTTGAACTTAATTTGTTCTTATTTCGAACTTGCTTGTGATTCTAAATTTTTTTCATTCAAAATTTTCATTTTTTTACAAAAATGAGAAAATATTAGATCGTGAATTTGAGATTCTCTCTTCGATTGGTTTATTTTCTGTTTAGATGATAACAGTAAAACGAGATAACTAAGATCTTATTGATGAAAACTACGAAAGGAAGGAATAAAGAGAGAAGAAGAAGAAGAAGAAGAAGAAGAAGAGAGAGAGAGGAAAAATGATGCATTCATAGAACTCAAGAGGATAAGAATGCTTAAGAATATGTTGACTATCAAGATAGATCATGAATTTATTTGATATTACTCAATATCGTCAAAATTATGCTGATGAAAAAATGCTAATCTGACATTGAAACGAGTCAAGTGAAAATCATTCAGACTCTTGGTTTCTTTAACCAATCTAATCAACCTTATCAACTATTTATCTCAGAATTTCATAAATTTCCACCCTAACTCATGGCTAATATTTTGAATATTCTGTCAGCATGAGATCAACAAAAAAAACCTTCCAATTAGCAATTGAAAACATGTCCATTTATTACTTATACCATAATAACTTAAGTAAAGTATCGATTGCAATCAACAAGCTATAAACGATCAATTGATTTACAGAAATAAGTTTGACATTTGAATTGCAAATCAATCACTACTCTTTTATAATTCTGCTAAGCTCCAAACACTCAGCAGCTATTTTTATATCGGTGAAATTTGCCATGGAATTTTTAACCTTTACTTTTGATTGCTCACTAAATCTTATTCTTAAGTAACAATAACACCACGAGAACGAGTAAAATGTACAAATAACTGTTTGTACATTTACAGGTAACTGAGACTTGCAACTTGAGAATAAAATAAATTCTGAAAGCCAATAATTTACCCAAAAGCGAGAAATTTATTTCTAACATTACACGAAAACACTGAACTGAATAGAAGGTGAATAAATAAACAGAACTTTCTAACTATTTATAAATGTTACCAAGGAAATAAAGAACAGAATGAAAATAAAAGTAATAGAAAAATTTTGTTTTCTTCTGATACTTTTTTCTTAGCTACAACAAAGGCTCAAAATTCAGGTGTAAATCATTTTTTCCCCTCTAATTGAGATTCTGACCTTCAGGACGATTATGTTATCTTTTACCTTTAGTCTTATTCTAATGGAAAGATAAACATTATTATTAATAATGTATTAGTTGTGAGGTGAAATAATATCACCAGATTGAGTTACCATGAGACTTGATGATGTTAGAATCTTTCATCGCCTCAGCTATTGTGTTTACTTTATCAACTTTTTTCTGTTGGAAACAAAAATAAGATGATGAAACCATTTCAATTGTTGATTATAATTGAAGATTTCAGTTTGATTGGTCGACAATTTCATCAATATCACCACAGTATCAGTTTACCATGAAAAACAACGGATTGAACTAAAGAAATGAAAAGTTTCACAAGAAATTCATGTACATAATATTATTTTCTCTCTCTCTCTCTCTCTCTCTCTCTCTCTCTTGTTTATATCTTCATGAGACTTGTCATCATGAAAAGAGAAGAAAGAAGCAAAAAGACAAAATTCATTTTCATAATGATGTCTCATTCTGTTTACCCTGAAAGCTATCATCAGAATCATTCACGGTATTTATTCAGAACTTTTCTCCCCCTCCTCTCAGCTCAAAATTGATAGAAAAAGATGAAACTTGAATATGTTACTTATACTCATGATAATATATAAATCATCTTTATCATCATGGTTTCTGAATCATGCATGATATAAACATCATCATGAGTCTTAAAGTGTATTGATAAATACATTATTATCAATGTATATTAATATAATATCATATTTTCCATAGATTCTTTTCAAATGATTTTCTAACTTAGATTCTGATATTTGATGAATATCAATCCGAATTGATCAAAATGATGGATATGTTGAACTCGCATGGGTTCACATTAGTCCTCACAATAAGTTGAAGGAAAATGATAAACTTTGGCTCTGATTTTTTTCTCATCATCGTGATCTTCAAGCCAAGGACCTTAAAATGGCCTCTAAATGACCCTTAACCCGTCCAGCAAAATTAAGAGGAAATTATCTGCTATTAATATACAGCCGAAGACTAAGAGCTTCTTTGGACACACAAGTAAAGCAAATAAACTTGGATAAAAGAAAATAACTAATATAATATTTGTCATGAAATCCTTGATAAGATTCCATGATAAAGTTGATAGATCACCTTTTTAATGAATTAAATGTATCTTCTGTTGATCCTTAATCAAAATGGAAATGATTGTTGCAATTTTTTTCCAAAATAAATCAAAGGATGAATTGTTATTTGGAATTTATTTTACCGTGTTGACAATCCATTACTGAGGATAAAGCAAATGTCCATGATAACAATGAGAAAAAGTGAGTTACTTTGTTCAGAACTTCTCACTTTTAAAAAGAAAATTCCAAGATCTCTGAGATTTTGCTTTTTTCTACTCAAAGAAGACTTGAACTCGGATAAGAAGGTGAAATTTAACAAATCTGTTTAGTTCAGGCACTCATGGATGAACATGATATCAGCATAGGCTTCCATCGGAATAAGAATCAGAATATTCAACTCTTGGAAGTAGAAAATTGTTCTAAAAATATCTCACCTTTAATCAGGATAAAATCCATGATAAATGCGATCTTGTTTGGTGAACATTTTTACCAAGTTTCAAACAAAAAACAGAAAAAAATTAAATTAAATCCTCAACATGAAATTAGAGATTCTGAATAATTAACTATTGATAATTTGGGTTAATCTTTCCTGGGAAAAGCAACTGATTCTTGGTGAACTAATTAATAAAATATCAACTTGGGTTCGATGTCGAGATATAAAAATTATAATTCTAAAAAAACGAGCAAATTAGTTTCCATGAATAATTGATTCTTCATGAGGATAAAATTTTCAAGCGAAAAACTTTTTTTAACTTTTTTAATTTTTTTTGAATTCTTTGAATGCTACTATTATTATATTACGCTAGTATTATTAATAGAATTGTATTCATAGATGATTGATTATCAGAAATTAATCGACTTGCATGTTGAAAGTTAATTGATTAGTTTGGTTAATTATTGTTCGAGAGTAAATTGATTGTATCTTTATCGAAAGTACGATGAAAGTAACGTTAATATTTTTCTCTTAAAAAAAAAGAAAATGAAACTTTCGTTCTCATGTTTTATTAACTGTTATCAAATTAAATCTTTAATTTGATTAGTGATAGAAAGATTATTTTTATAACTAAAAGGATAATCTTCTAATATGAATTAGATTATAATTGTCCTTTTGAACTCAACCCAGGTTTGGATGAAAGTATTTAATATTAGTTACTTGGAATGAAATTCTGAACAAAAATTGTAACCATTCATGTTGGATGAATTCAATTTTGTGACATGAAAAGTTTTGGAGACAGAAAAAGATTCAATTGTTTCATTCTGACAATTTCTTGAGGCAAAATAACTTTGTAATTATTATGATGATGATGAT